CGGATACAAACACAAACACAAACACAAACGCAAAAACAAACACGAAGGCAAAAAGAAAAGGAAAAAGAAAAAAAAGAAGCAGATCAAAATATTTTCAAACAACAAGCGCGAGAATTATCAGATCTGATGGAAGGAATTCCATGGATAGACGAAAGATTCAATAAAAGTGTGGAGATTAAGGAGGGGGGTTGGGAGGGGGAAAAGGAGAGGGAGAGGTTGGTGAGGGGGTGGATTGAGGAGGGTGGGTTGTGATGGGGGTGGGGTGGGATATTCATGTATGATTATGATTAGAGTTGTGTGTTTGAAAAAGGGGAAAGTTATGAATATAAGTGATAGAATAAATACAGTATAAACATAATAATTTACAATACTGTTAAACTCACAACTCGATTCTAATCATCTATACTTGATACTTGTTTCCTAATATATATGCCTATCTACCTTTCTATTGCTAGCTACATCTATCTATCTATCCATCCATGTGTACCTGAGTCTATCTTGGATATAATAGAATCTACATCTACATCCAAATCTAGATATATATCCCATGCCTCATCTAATATAAAATCCTTCTTTTGAAAAAAAAAAAAAGGGGTGGGGGGGATGAAAAAAAGAAAATCCAAATCTCGTAAACAAATCCCATCATCCACCCCACCTCCTATTCCCTCCCCCAATACATCCATCTATCTCCTCAATTACACACCCTAAGCAACAACCTCCACTCCCTTCGCCAATTCCTCCGCATCTTCCTTCTTCTGCTGAAACCCATCCTTCTGCCACCCATTCTCAGCCACCAATTTCAAATTCCTCTGTTCCTCCACGGAGAGAGATTTTTCACTTCCCTTTCTCCTCGATCTACTTTCTCTCGTTTCTTCAATCGATGCATTGCTATCAGTGTATTCCGCGTCGCGGAAATTGTAGGAGCGGAATTCGGTATTGGACCAGCCGGTTCCGACGAAGAGGGTGGAGTTTTCCCACTATTTTGGGGAGGAGGATGTTAGTGGGTATTTTGGTTTGTGGAAGGGAAAGGAATGTGGAAGGGAAAGGAATGTGGAAGGGAAAGGAATGTGGAAGGGAAAGGAACGTGGAAGGGAAAGGAATGTGGAAGGGAAGGGAGTGTGCGATTGGGATAGGGATGGGGGAGATGAGAAAAGGAAATAATATGAATCTTTCTTATCTGTATACACACATCATCAGATAAATAATGCAAAAAACCCCCATGCGTCACAACCACAATATTAACATCCGAGACGCCCTGCCTCTCAGACTCCCTCCCGAGATCCCTCAACCAAACCCGCGCTTCCCGCGCCCGCCTCTCAATCGCAGGCGCATTGGCATCCCATCTCCCCGTCTTACTATTCCACCCCTCACTCACCAACTCCAAATCCACACTCCCTGCAAACTCCTCGGCGAGCGCCGCAGGTTCAGACCCCGTATCGCAGGGTAAAGTGGAAGTTTCTTGGAGTTCGGGGAGAGCGATTACTTTTGAGCCTGTGGTGATGAAGGTAGGGAAGGAATAGAGCGCTGTGTAGAGGGTGCGACGGAGTGGGGAGGCGATGAGATGGGTTATTGTTTTTGTAGGGAAGATTTGGGAGAGGGTTTCGCATTGGGTTTTTCCCAGTGGGGTGAGCAGCGGGTCGGGCATCGAGTGGTTTTTTGTGCTGAGGTTGTGGAAACCTTGGGCGTGGCGGACGAGGTGGAGTGTTATGGTCATTTTGATGTGTGGTTGCGTGAATTGGTGTTTAGTTTTTTAGGTTGAGATGTCGGGTAACCTGGTAACCTTATGGTTGATGGCTAATTGATATTCGCAGAGGAAAAACGACTAGGTGTATAGAAACCGAAAAAGTCAATATACAAATCAAATGTAATTTTTAATCCTTCTTTTCAGCAAGCAATCAGCAATTTATAATAAAGAGGAAACATCGATTGGGAATCTATAACCTACCGAGATAATCTTACAAAATAATCTTAATAAGAAATAGATGATGAGTCCTGTACTGAATGACTCTTACATGCGGATATTTACACGATGTCAGAGACTTTTCAGAAGAAGTTCGATATGGTTGAAACCAATGACGTGGTGGGAATTCAGGGCGTGCGTGGTGGGGTGCAAGGGGAAATGTTTGGATGGGGAAGGTTGGCCGTTGATCACGTGGGAGGGGTGAATTAGTAGGTAGGTTGCAGATCTAGCTTCAAGTTAGTTATCTTGTATCTTTAACGACTTCGGGAATATCCATTGTAGATTCCTTGTTATTGATTTCTTATTTATAATACTATTTGTCTCTGATTGATACTTGATACTTGATACTTGATACTTGATACTTGATACATGATACATGATACACCAACCCTTGAACTTCAACCAGATTTCCTGGTATTTATTTTCATGTGCATACGCTCAGCCAATGGTAATATCTTACATTTCGAGCAAAACACATACTCCTTCAGCGTAGCATAAAAAATTGAGTGAACCTAACGGTCTCTCTCATATCTCAGTATCTGGCTCTCTGTGCGCTTTCTTCTTACACCCACCTGAACGCGAAGTATAAAGTTTATACTGAACAGCTTCTAAAATAAATCCTAGTCTTGGCCATTGTGATGCCATCTAGTTGTGGCAGTAGACGGCTTGAGCATTAAGCATATCCGCGTTTTTGTTTGGTCTGTCTTCGCTCTTGATAGTCGTTATTGCCCAAGTTTTCTTCGAGAAATTTCTTGAGTAGTATAGATGTATTTTTCATCTAGTCCGGTAGGATAGCAAGTTGGGCGAAAATTCTCCGATGGCTTTACCTACGACATCTAAGTATATGTACGACCTGAGAAGTTCCCTGAGCAGAAAAATAATACCAGAAGGCTCGATAATGGCAGAGTATTTATCCAATTGTCGACGGTCAATCTCAGAAATCCTGACGCCAGTCTTCAGCTTCTGTTTATCCTCTTTCAGCCTATAGCTTCGATACCATTGCTAATCCGAATCCTTTTTTGAAAGCCCCTCCTTTTTGTAACTTTATGCCAATCTCAACAAATGGGCAGTATCTCTCGTATGCGCTCCAAAGCTGCAAACAAGAACTTGCTATATCTCGTTTTAGAGCTTGTTGAGTTTTCTTCACACTTTCTTCAGCCCGTTTGCTTCATTACCTCTTGAAAGAGCTATTCAGCCTTTTATCATTCAATATCCAAGATGGAAATTTATCGATGAGGCTGGTATATTTTTGCGGGACATGGACTTCATCCCTTGTTGATTTGCCATTCAAATATTCCTGATCTAATATTTTTCCGATTATAGTGTAATATCTTGAAAGAATTTGCGCGGTGCCTAACATAGTGTTCCCCCTAAGCGTGCTAGTTGTACGGTCATACAGGATAGTTAAATACTTAAACTATACTTAGCACATATAGTGATATACCACTACCTGAGATCCAAATTCACACATTATCCGATGTACAAATGAGTATGAGAGATCTTGGTATTGAGCTTTCGTGCCACTGCCATTAAGGTTTCTTGAGAATAACCATCAAAACAGTGCAACTATGCTATATCTATCCCAGACAGTATCGGAAGTGCAAAAAGAGGAAACGTATGAATTATCATAAAATCGACTGTATCATGCAGAGAAGCTCATGCACCTGGTTCCTCGCGATTATCTTGCCAAGAATATCCGTCAACCCATATTTTCAAGCCATGATACAATGAAAAGCACATTATTCTTGATAGAAGACGGTTCTTACTTCAAAATATACGAGACTTGCTGTTAAATTTGACATATACACCGGAAATCAGTGCGTATATCGAAAATGCACAAAAGGAATAATCGAAACTAATAGTCTGGACTAAAACACTAGATATAAACTCTCAATATGTTAAGGAAATGTAACATCTCAGTACACTTCAAACATCCCAAATGATTTAAATCTTCCAATCAAATCCAAGATTCAGAATTCATTTCATTGTTGGACTGCAATCCGGATTATTGGATGTCTACTATTTTGTCTACGGCCGAGGAATGTCGTTGGGGATTCATGGCGTCGCAATAATTAGCATTAAGTCGCAACCTCGTTCGGCAGTAGTGACCAGAGTATCAGGGCTCAAATTATCGAAGAATGCTGCAATGATTCTACCCCCAGCAGTAAAAACACCACACCATTAAATTGGATGACGACGGGGAGGGGCCTGGATAATGATTCCTGGAGCTGCTATACCCTTATCCATGTTAAAAATCTATGTGATCCAAAATGAATCGCATGGAAAAAAGCTGTCACACAAATTATTCCTCCACTAGCAAAGAATAGAACCTATCACGACTCGTAAAAGCAAAGAAGAGCTGAGAACAAACCACGCAATCCTGTACACAACACGAATACTCGATTGACCTAATTTTACTTCGTTTCCTACAAACTTCAAATAGTACACGGGCGAAGCCCAGCAAAGTTACACCGAAGTCGATTTTCGAGAGTAGAATATGTAGAAGTAGCATTAAGTACCAATCAAGCAACTAGAGACACCGGTTTCGTGGACACATTTACCTAAGATTATACTTTTTCCGGAAGAAATACCCAACAATCCACAATTTCGTCTTTTCATTCAGACCCAGCTTGAATTTCTATGCAAACCTGCTGAGTATGTTCATCGGAGCTCACAATTATCGGAAATACACTAGAAAATCCGGGAGAGGGCGAGTTTTGGATCAAGAATCTTCAGTGTATCATTCTGTACAAACATACACCACATCACACTTCTTTTTCGTAGCAATGCCTATGTTCATGATCATTTTCAACAGCATGTTTTCTGGAGGAGTTTACAATAGTATACCCCAGCTTCGACATCCTTGATCAGATTTTCAACTACTCTGCTCTGCTCGGTAATATCAGCCCCGGATCCACGAAGCTATCTTGCCAGCTCAAAGAATTGATACAAATTTTTTCATCCTAATCAAAGAGATGAGATTTTGCAGTTGTTATATGCCACGGGAATGACAATAAAAAAAATGATATGTGTATGAAGACTATTTAGCCCTAGACAGACCTGCAAGACTCCCGCCAATGATATGAATCATATATAGTGCCCACAACGCCCTAAGAAGAAACACGTAAAGTATCGTTCGGGGATGTCTAATAACCCCGACTAGCAGTTCTGAACAAAAATTTCTATATTTGAAGAGTTAAACATCCTTAGAAGTAGATTAATTACTCAACCCATACCTTGTTCATGATGATTTCAAGAATCCAATACATCGAGATTCGAGATGCACTGGTGGATTGCAGTCCAGAATATTAGACGCTGGGAGAGACAGAGGGTCAATGACAATAGATAACGTCACTGCAACGGAGATACTACTGTAGCTACCGTAAATGCCAATTATAACCCTACCTTTTAAATATCATGGCTTCTCAATAATTAGCCGATCTGATTTAACACCCAGGTTGTTATCCAAGCTACCTTTCGCCCGGAATATCTCCCTGAACAGGAATTGCATCTATGAAAACTTATCCCATAGAAAGCAAAAATGCACAGCAGTATACCTTAATGTTTTTCTTCCTCGCATAAAGTATCATTCCATGGATTATACTATCATGTCCGGATCCGAGGTTCTCAAGCCTGGCAGCTGACTTTAGCACATGGAGTTGCAGTTCGAGGACTACTCAGATATGGATCTTGATCCATTCTGGTCCGGAACTTAAGAAGTATTTCGTTTCATCAACCGCAGTCTTATGAATCGATGAGATGATCGCTGAAACATATATATGCTACTACAATATTCCAATCAGTGCCAGAGAGCGGGAAATAGTGCACGTGTTGCTATTTCCTAAAACCAATAAACAATAATACTAGAATAAATCTAATACTCAACATCTACTTAAGAATCTCCAAGAACCATACGATCATGGAAGAGCCCATACGCATATAGAATACATAATCGTACGGATCCGAAATAATGTACCTCTCATGATAGTCCGTGCATTACAGTACGTACCACACATGACCACCAATCCCGTTATTATCATCACACATTTTCCCACCGCCAAAACACAATAATAATATATACACCCTTAACTATCCCGTCGACATCCACTTCTAGAAGATAACTTCTAAGCAAAGCCTGCTTGGCGCAGTGGTAACGCGTAGCACTTGTATGTAAATGAAATGCTAAGATCATTGGTTCGATTCCAGTAGTAGGCAACAATCAAAGTCATTGAAGTTTTGGTCGTGCTTTTGCTATTTTTTCTCGTTGTCGGTCGGTAGGTATTTTAAGTTGAGTTTTTGCCATAGGAGGGAGGGAGGGGCTGATGATTTTACTCGTGAGCACTGATAGATAGATAGAATGGATTTTCAGCGGAACATTTATTTTAGTGTTCGTTCATAGGGGCTGGCTGGTGGTTATGTGGAGATATATATGGATTGTGGATGCGAGCCAAGAATGGCGGGGGAATGATGTTGTTAGGACATCATTGGAAAATGGGTATCTACAGCATAAATGATTATTTACCTCGAGAAATAGATAATGAGATAAATCACTTATTATCTGAGCTATTTTACTAGGTAGGTAGGTATTTGCACGTTGAAGTGCCTAGTGATACTCCCTACAAATAAATACCTATAGGTGCTAATTCATGAGTTACAGAGGTGGGTTGGTAGCCTGTAGATAGTAAAATGTTTTAGATTGTTTTAATTATATTTTATGCTCGTTTCTTCTGATGAGTTTCAATATATGTACAACCTGCAGGGTTATTTTTTACTATTTACTATTTTATATTAAGACTACTTATCAGTTCTCTATTGAAACATGGCATGGCTTCCTCCACCCCACATGAAATCTCAGGATCAGAAATGTCAAACGACAATCACAAAATTATAGGAAGAAAGCAAATCAAGAAATTAAAAGAATCAATTCAATAAATACTATGTACTGTGGTAGAAAGTAATCTATTCTAAAGTCCATGGATAACATTACAAATACTCATATATGGGATATAATACGTACGAACATAATCAATCATCTCTCATCTCATCTGTTCTCATCTCAACTCATCTTTCCCTCCTATATAATCAACCCAGTAAAAAAAACATATCCACACGAGAAAAATCTATCCCCAACGCATCAAGCTTTCTCATAAAGTCATGAATCCAAGCAAATCGAAACATAGCAAATGAATGAGGCCACCCAAAGCCTCATCGTTTTGCCCATCTATTGAAACCGCCAGCGCGAAAATCGCACTGTTACCACCCATCTAAGCATCCGCTTTCTTCTTCGAAAACCATCCCTTTTTAGCACTCTTTTCGTCATCATCTCCTTGACTAGCACCCTTTGGTACTCTCACCAACCAATACATACCAATAGCGCCTGCAACATTAAACGCAATGTAAACCCACAGCAAGCCCCAATTTCTCCACACGTCACCATAATAACTATTTACCGCCGCCAAGAACACATTCGTGTCTTGAATACTACAGAATTCGCAATTAGTAGTCGCTTCAGGATTGTTCAGATATCCACCTGCGACGCTGATATAAGGATTGAGGTAATCGCCGCATGTTTTTGAAGGAGGAGGATTGAAATGAAGATATTCGATGGAATCGCATACGACCTCTGTGTTGGCAAGTCCGGTGGCCATCATTCCCGAGACGAGATATGTGAAAGGTGAGACGCGGTACATGAAGATCCAGAATCCAGGGAGAGCAGTAGGACTAGCGAGGACACCACAGAAAATGAGACAGAGAGAGAACATGAGGTTAGCTACATTTCCTGCCGTTTCCGCAGTTTCCATGCCGGCAATGATGAAATCGGTGAAGGTAGATGTGAACATTAGGAAAGCCCACACAAAAGCGAACATGAGGCCGCTGCGCTCGTTGACGGCGTTGGTCATTTCGGCATTTCGGTAGAGTCCAATAGGATAATACCAAGTTACAAAAATGATGACGGCCATAAGCGTATTCCATGGAAGCTCAACAATGATGTTGGAGAGGATGAAGACCTTCCAGGAGTAGGTTTTGGAAGGGCGTTCGCGAACTTCATAGAGAGAACGTTGAGTTACGAAATGGGGCAGGATTTGTTGAACAAGATTACCGAAGATAGTGAGGAGCATGAAGATGGCGAAAAGTTGGTTTTGCATTCCTTGAAGAGAAGTTTTGGTGTCCCAGAAAGAAAATCCTATGAAGAGGCCCTGCAAATTGTTAGTTACATGGTCTTATGAATGATTTGATGGAGATATAACTTACAACACAAGTACAGAGGATAGTCTTAGAGTAAAGATAAGGAGGAGTACGCCAGTACTGTTGAAACACTCGAATAAGGACAACCTGCATTTGGGTTCCAAAACCTGCTGCAAATGAATCGAGTGACGTAGGGTCGTTTTCGACTGGCTTTTGAGACAGAGTTGCTTTCAATTCTGCAAGGTGCGCCTTTACTTCCTGACGTTCTGGGGAATTTCTCCAGGTTTCTGGCCAGTTTATCGAGGTGTCAGACCCAGGAGCAGCGCCAATAACTGCGTTTAGTGTCAGCGGGATTCAACAATAATCTGTTCAGTAATAAACCTCACCTTCAAGCATCCATTCTGCAGGATTGGCCAGATCTCCACAAGGAGGAGCACCATTGCGTTCAAAATAATCAGTCAAGACCTTCGAATGGTCCCCAATTTCGCCAAAATACACAGTCTTTCCGCCTTTCGCTAAGAATAATAGACGATCAAACTCTTGGAATAGAATGGCAGAAGGCTGATGAATCGTGCAAAGGATAGCTTGACCATTGTCTGCGAGTTTACGGAGCAATGCACAGATAGACCAAGCTGTTTGAGAGTCTAAGCCAGAAGTGGGTTCATCAAGAAATAGAAGAAGAGCCGGCTTTGCTGCTAGTTCAACACCAATCGTGAGACGTTTACGCTGTTCGACATTAAGACCTAGATGACTTGTGAGACACGATTTGAAAATTTAAGTAAAAACGGGAACGAGTGCGTACCTTCACCTGGAACACCAACAACAGCATCAGCATACTCTTCCATCTCCAAGACCTTGATGACCTCATCAACATAGGCGAGCTTTTCAGCACGTGGAGTAGCCTTGGGTTGACGAAGAACAGCGCTGAAAGCCAGTGCCTCTCTAACAGTAGATGTAGCCAAATGAAGATCCTGCTGTTGGACATAACCTGTTTTCCTTTGGAAGCCAAGATCTCTTTGACGGCCGTCTACAAGCATTTGTCCAGTGACGACACCCATGGTTACACGGGATGCAAGCACATCGAGGAGAGTTGTTTTTCCAGCACCAGAAACACCCTAAGACGATATAGTTAGTTAATGTTTTGCAAAGCTTAGCATACTGTAAATGCTTACCATCAAAGCTGTCAAAGTGCCAGGCTTGACCCATCCATCAACTCCATCTAACAGTTTCCTAGGTTCGCCCTTGATCTTGATGTCATAATTAACATTGTCCCAATGGAATATGGCAGTCTGCTTCTGAATACTCGGTGGTGCATCTGGGATAGTCTTTGTTCTGGTAACAGTTGCGGCGGTCATACGATCGTCCATTTTGGCTTCCTCGTCGGATGTTTTAGAAACATAAGGTATGCGACCACGGCGGAATAGAAGAACTTCTCCTTTGGACTTTTTGGCTGAGATGAATTCGCTGGCGCTCAGGTAAACGGCGCAGCCAAGAAACATAAAGCCGATCATGGCACCCAAGTTTCTGCCCAACGATGTTAGCTAGAGTCACGAAAGCCAGTTTGAAATTAAATCTTACCTCCAGAGATGCGTGTGAGAATAACGATAGTTGATTTCAATGTATCTGTCACCATCAACGTAATTTGCGCCAGCTGCAGCACCGGTGGTGGAGCAAATCCTCTCATCAGCGCCAACATTTGTGTAGCCCGCGCCGGAGGGTACGAATACGGAGCATGGAATCCGCCTGCCGTGAAATTCATTGATCATCAAAGCCTCAAAACCGTAACTAACTGGGTCGATATAATTGATCCATCGGAACCAGGGATGCATATCTCTAATTGGGACGGCAAACCCAGTGTAAGTGACGATAGCAAGGATAAAGATGGCAGCTGGCGCCATTGCCTGTTTATGTCAGCATATTGAATAATGAGGGTGTATAAGAAATAGCACAAACCTCTGATAAACTTCGTGATAATGAAGCGATGGAACGAAAGAACATAGACATCGTCAAAGTACACAGAAATGTAAATAGGAAGAATACAAAGAAATGCCCGGGGGTTCTCCGTAAATTTGTCATAAAGTAAAGAGTAAGATCGAAAACAATAGTCGTGAATACTTTATTCGGTATGTCGCACAACATGGACCCACAAGCCTCTGCTACTGGATGATAGAAAGCGTATTTGGTGTGTTTTTCAACGATTGGTCTTTGCGCATATAGAGTTAGAATTTCCAGCATACTCTGAAATGCTGCCATCAAAATGGCAAAAAACAAAAGGGCACCCCTGCTGTAAAGACTGTTGGTATCATTCGGGAGGTTATAGAAAACACTACCAAGAATCAAAGCCATCATTACTTGACCTAATATTTGATGTCAGTATGTGCCTCACTATATATCTACGAGCTAGAACATACCTATAAGACCGGATAAGAGAATAGTCATATCACCCCGAACTCTTTGAAATCCACGCTCCACGCATAACTTGATCTGCATTGGAAGTGAAATCGTATATGGACTCTTAATGCGTTGGCCCTTAGCCTGAGCTGCTTTCCTCGAATGCTTGAAGTCGTCAAGGGCTTGTCCGCCAATGGGGAATTCGGCGTCAAATTGGTCGATCTCCCGGAGTAATTGTGCCCTATCCTCACTATTTTGCCAAACTGCGGCGAATTCATCCGGGGTGTAGGGAGTCTTGCCTTCGAAACCAGGTCGGACAATTCTTTCTGCCGGTGATGTAATTGAGGTTAAGAAATCAGCAGTAGTCTGTCGAGCTGGGCAGTCGAATCCCAGATTGACGAAAAATGTCTTCGCCGCATTGATATCACCAAAATATATTTGCCTTCCTTCGTAAAGTACAGATACCTTGTCGAAAAGGTCATAGATTGATTGAGAAGCCTGATAAATGGCTACCACAGCTGTGGATCCAGTCATTTCGGTGGAGTTCCTAAGAGTCTTGACAAACTCCAATGCCGTCGCAGAATCTAAACCTCTTGTACTGTTGTCCCAGCACTGGAGGGGGCTTCCTCCCAAAGCAGCTTCCGCAATACTGACACGCTTTCTCTCCCCACCACTCACTCCTCGGATAAAATCATTACCCACTTTTGTATTGAATGTATGAGAAAGTCCAAAAGTTGCCATTACGACATCTCGAAGATGATCAGCGTACTGCTCTCTTGTAACACCAGGTATGCGATTCCGAGGGGCTTTAGCCTTAGCTGCAAATGATAATGTTTGTGCCACAGTCAATTGAGGGAAATGTACATCAACCTCCGCTTGGTATATGCACTCCCCCCTGAAATCGTTGTGCATAGTTTCCATTGGAATCCCCTGGTAATTAATATATGTGTTCTTATCAACGTAGAATCCCGATGTCTCTCCAGATATTGTCTTTAATAAAGTTGAGCATCCAGATCCAGGTCGACCAAGCACAACAAGCATTTCTCCACTTCTAACAAGCCCGTCGAAATCTCTTAAAATCTGGATCTTAGTTGGTTTGCTGAGTCCAAGAGCCCTCTTCCCCAGGCCGATAATTTCCAGTGGGTAGTTGCCAAAAGTCTTTTGATAGTCGGTTGCTTCACCAAATCCATGAGCGTTCAAGTTTCTATAGGCGACTCCTGCCGTCCTGTTGGGATATCTTTCAGGATCTCGAGATTGAATTTGGACGAGGTGTTTTGTCCATGCCCTAGGACTGAACTTCTCTGATGATGGATCGAGTTTAGGGTCATTTGATCCAAGAAATGGGTTGATATTATGATCTTGAACACCTTCCATAGATCTCTGTGTAATTTGCCTCGCAAGTGTACGAATGGCAGCATCTTCCCTTTCCCCCGAGGAGTCTAAAGTCGAGGATTCTGTGTCACTATCTTTCCCTTCATGACCGACATTTCGGCCTGCTTTTTCCTCGATAACCTCATCCACTTTCTCAGCAACAGCCTCACTTTGAGGTAGAACCCCAAAAGGCGCCGACGTGGCCATATTGTGCCCTTTTTTCGACCAGCAGCAGATTGACTGAATTCAGATTAAAAAAAAAGTAAGAATTAAATATTATTATACGCGATCGTAAGTGCGTAAAGAATTGAATTTGACTGTAAAGGAACAGCTCAAAGTTGTATTAGTAAAGGAGTGAGATATGTGCAGGTTTCATTATATAAGTTGATTGCAGAAAAGTTCGTTCCAATTATCGCCCGTCAGCTTGAAACGCATAAATTCCGCCGCACATACAGCGGAGAGATTTCATGATGTAAGCGTCTTCCGAGTGGAACCAATGAGAATGCTCACTGGAATTATTTGTTTTCAAACATCCTCGCTTACATGAAGGAAGCTTGAGCTTGCGTGTGTGATTGGTAGATAAGTTCGTCGATTGATAAAGTGTGTGGGGTGGCGTTAGGCTCTCACCGGTGGCCGGCAGGAAAAGTTCCCGTATCCGAGTGATAAGAACTCAAGTGGTTTACTATTTCCACTCCCAGTCCACATTCCAAGAAACTAAGATTGCTAAGGAATTAGACAAGTATTTTAGTTCTGTCAATATCCACTTTAATAAATGTGGCGTTTGGAGAATTTGATTGATTCCCTACATCAGCCTTACCGGTGTTGTCTCCACCGCTCTCCTAAGCACTAAAAACCGAATACGCTGCGCGAGTACATAGCCGACCCCCATTCCTCATGAATAGTTCGGGCATTAGCCTTAGCGGGTGTCAAGAACATCCGAGATAGAACTTTCTGATTGGAAGCCCACGTTTAGCTGATGAATATCAATTCATTTGCTTCAATATAATGAACATGTGAAAGCGATTCTTCAAGCGTCATTTTCTTATTTTGGCTGTCAGATTCGGAGAGTGGCTACGCATTCCGGAGACATTGACCGGAGACAGTAAGAATGTGTCGGAGCATAAAGACGACCAAGCAAGCAGCCATCAGAAGTATAAAGAAGTAGATAAAATCCAGCCAAGATTCGCACATGGAATGGCATAATACCCCGGATATCGTAAGAATTAAACACCCATTAGTTGTTACAGTACTATGTAACTGTTATACATCATCTCAAAGGAGATACCATTCAATAACCTCAATCCTGGACGCCATCAGTCTTCACATGACGACCAGATCTACGCCTTGGTTGAACTGGTGCAATGCCCTCCATCGCCTTTGATTCGGTAGATTTTGACGTCTTCCTCTTAGTCAGCTTGACTGCCTTCGTGGCGATATTCCCCGCACCATCACCCGAAATCTTTTCTTTCACTTGGGTGGATTTCTGAGCCTTTGCTTTTGACTTTTTTGGGTCTGTGGCATCTTCATCAAACTCTTCGAAGTTCGTGGATACCATAGCGGCCTTCCTCTTCCTCGAGCTTTGTTTTTTCACTGGAATATCCTCGGAGGTCATACCATCACCGGATCCATTTCCTTTCTTTATATCGCCGGCGACGGGCCCCGTTTTCTTCTGTACACTTGGCACCACACAAGACGTTCGTCCACCAACGGTAAGAAATGTAATTTTCTCCCCATTTGGTAACGCTGTCGGGCCATCTTTCTTTCCCTTTCCCCATCGATGCTTAAACATCCAATCATCGGGAAACTTGGACGAGTCTGCCAACAAGTCTACCGCTGTTTGACAAATGTACATCATCGAAGCATGCAATCGCTTGATCTCTTCAGAACTGAATGTATTGCTATATTGCTCAGGATGAAGTCTTGCGCGGTATAATATTTCGTCGCTGCAAGTGACATTAGCATAATTGGGCTATTAAGATTAGATTGTATGAGTCGAGTAAAAAAGACTGGGTCTCAAAAATTAGAGATTGAAGTGGATATAAAGATGACTGACCCGACCCAGTTCCCAATCCCGCTAATGTTCGCTTGGTCAAGTAACAATGCCTTTATAGGCACTTGTTTCTTGTTCAGCTTCTGCTCGAGCCACTCAGCTGTAAGGATATCTTTGTCGATTACAGGATCTGGGCCATTTTCTTTGAGAGGGGTCGTGTTTCGAATGGCTCCAGCAACACAATCTACTAGTCTGATTCTCGAAAACCTCCGCGAATCTGTGAATGCAGCATCGACCTTTGGTTCCTCTGCAGTTTGTAGTGAAAACTTTGAGAACTTTGGTGGCCAAACCTCCTTTTCACCCTCATCTTTCGATCTGTAGTAATAAGTATCCTGCCCTCGAATGTGAAACCATCCTATATCTCTCAGCACTTGGTCAAATTATACATTTAATTATATTCATACCCGTCATGCCGAAGTGAAATACCGGATGTGGCGGCGAGGACATAATCATCCTGTCAACAGCTTAGCGCTGCATTTTGCGGGATCTAGAATGGGTCCAACCAGAAATATTTGCCTTGCTGTCCAGTGCCTACTACTTTCTTCCCAGTCAATGCTTTTTGGAATTCGGCAGCACTTGTCCCGACCTTGCCAAAGACATTGGCGTCATCTTGAGCTTTCACGATGGCCAACGTTTTACCAACGAGGTTTTTTCGTATGTGGTGCACGGCTCGCGCAACTGTGAGTTTGCGTTAGTATATTATCGTATCTTGTGAGTAACAGGACGAGGTTTGTGGTTTACCTTCGGCGATTTCTGGCATGTTATGAGTTTCCGGCGCTTGATTACCACTACAGGCAAATGCAAGATCGAGGCGGGGAAAGAAGAGGGTAGATAGAGTACGTAAAGACCAAGTAAAAGGTTACAATGTTGTTCAATTCCAAGTCAGTGATTAAAAGGAATGGAAGAAAGAAGAGTCCAAGATTACCTAGGTAATGAACCAAAACTCAAGCTCCCAAAAATGAAATGCACCCAAGTGAGTATACAAAGCGTGACTTGCCTTCATGTGCCTTCATGGTGCCTGTATATATGCCTTAGTTATAAGGCACACATTTACCTAATGGGGTCAAGGATTCCCCATACACGACTGCCGAGGCATTAGGATAGCAATAGCCATATCCCTTTCACGAGCCGTCTCATCATCATCTCATGCTTCCAGAAGCCGTTTTCTTTTCCAACTTCATAATCTAGCCGATCTCCTGTCTCTTTCTCAATACACTCTTTCTGTTCCATAATCCATAACGTGAATCATCAAGATGGTTGCCGATACTCTAATCTACCACCCAACCGTCGCCCATTACCTCAAATTCGTCGCATCAACCGTCGGTCGCGATAAGCTCCTCCGAACCCTCCAATACTTTTCCCGATTCTATGCCTGGTATCTCCTTCGTACCAATGGAACCTCCAGCGAAATTGCTCCTTTCGAAGCCATCAAAAAGCAATTTGGACTTGCACGTAAATTAATGCGGTTTGGCAAGAATGTCGAGCATTTGAAAGCAGCTGCTATCGCTGCGGATTCTAAGAGTCTTGATCCGGTAATCAGGTACTGTGCTGTGGGAAGACAACTGGGATATGCCGGTTATTTAACCTTTGACGCCCTTACGGTGTTGGATGCTGCGGGCATTAGAAAAAGTCCATCAGCCAAGAGGATACAGAAGGAGGCTTATAGATTTTGGTTGATGGGACTGCTGTTTAGCACGGCATCTGGAATGTACTCTTTGTACAATCTTCGCCAGCAATCTGCGAGGATCGATAAGAAGGATGGGGAAGGTGTCGTGACTAGCAAGAGAATAGAGAAGTGAGTTATTCCTCAAATGTGAAGGCAGTTTTCTTGTTGCTAATTTCTCGTTATAGGGAACGCGCTGCAATAAATATGCAACTCTTATCGGACCTATGCGACATCACAGTTCCCAGTTCCGCCATAGGCTTGGCTAGTTTCGACGATGGTATTGTTGGATTGGCAGGAACTGTGAGCAGTTTGATCGGTGTCTACAGTCAATGGAAGAAGACTGCTTAAATAATATACCAATTAGGTATCACAGTCAAGAGAGCATTTAATAAAATGCCAGGATTGGAGATCTTGCGGCTGCTATTCCGGCCTGTTAGATTGGTGATGGTTAATGAAAATGTATGCATGAGATTGGACCAGTGACACCGTAGCCTTGCAGGTCCAAGTAGTCTGGAATCAATCTCATGCAATTGGAAGACCATGATGACGGACCAGAGTTCGCCGGAGTTTATAAGCGAAAATTGTATTTAAGATAGGGTTAGATTATCCTTTTGCCAGATTGTTCCTCTACCAGTTATTTTTGAATTTCCTAATGAAAAGGCGTTTTGGTCTGCGTTTTTTACTATTACGAACTATCCCTTCAAAATATTTGTTAACATAGACTGAATTTTGAGCAAAGAAATCTGTTTGTACATATGCCTTTTACCAAGCCTTCTTTTAGGAGCTTCTGATTATATAGCAATGTATCGTTCTAATTGAGTCGTCTTCTTCTATCAAAGTTTCCCGTGAAATTAATCTTATTAACCCCAGTGCTTGCTCTCCGTTATTGGGTGGTTAGAGGCTATAACCATCGACCAAGTAGCGGGCTGTTCGTCGGCCATGTTTCGGCAGCAAAGAAGCTGTTCCAGCCGTTTCGTGCTGAACGTGTTCGGGAGACAAATGTCTGACCGATTTGCTTCTTTGTGCTGGATACTTGATACTTTTACTGAATCCGACGGCAGTTAAGTCGCCGAGGCATTTTCTCAACCCGGCTGAGCTCATGCCTACTAGCTCTAGCTATGTCTAAGCTCCTGAAACCTTTCTTGGCGCCTTGAAGTAGCCCTATTGGCCACACTCGGCTAGCACCACAGCCGTCTACTGTTGGATAATGCGACCGAAGCTTCTTCACTCGTGCCGAAAAACGTAATCTTTGAGGTCCCAACTTTTCAAGCACAGAATGTCATGTAAATTCAACTTCTGTTCTGAATCCGAAGGAGTTTATCTAGATTGGGCTTTTTGGGACACCTAGTGGCTCTCAGAATTCTACCACAGCGAGAAAAATGATTCGAGGTAAGCACAGTCATAGTAAATTTCCACTATCGCTGGCAGCAATCTGTGAAGGTAAGGTGAGCCAACCATAATCAGCTCGTCAAATTCTCAACTCCCCACCACGACCAAAGTGAAGCAAAAGATGGGCTTTTATTGCCCCCCATTGTCGGACCAATGTTAATTTGGAAGACGCCTTACACCCACATACCGAGTAGATATAATTGCGGCCAGAGCTACCGGATTCGAGGTCTATTCGCACGCAGCAGCGAGGTATAATGCACAAACAGTAAAGTGTGATTTTGCTGGCGTTGCTGGTATGATGTTTCGGAATTTCTTCAACATTGTAGCCCGACACCCTCTCGAGAAATGCCGAACTTTGCGATTTGGGGAGTATCATATTATAGCCAGCCAGGGACTTGAAATCAGACCCACTAAGTAATATTAGCCGTGCATCACACCTAATCTGGGAGCAAATAGGATTCCTAACAACATCGTCGAGCACTAACCAACAACCAACAGGTAAGTTACCGTTACATCGGTCCATATCACTATTGAATAAGCCTGTCATATGTGTCTGACATGATAAGATTCGTCTGTTTTGGGAATCGCGATATGGCTGGGGAAAGCTCGTATTGACACTCGGGGGATGGCGGATAGATATGCTTCCCCGCTGCATGGAGCTGCCATTGAAGAAACAACGTCCACCATAGTTTAACACTGATAGAAAATATCACACTTCTCGCCTGAGGCAGGCTGGTGCTGAAAGATGTGACAGTTTCTCATGTGGAAAACCAATACTGGGAGGGCTGCTGCAGCTAGGGTGGTATCACCCCATTATCTTGCGTCCAGAGCACATCTGCTGCACATGAGTCGGGCTTTCATTTCTCAACTCGGCTCCCACTGGTTTGCGATTGAACCATACGATATGAGAAGCTAACAGGTCGCCAACAAATCTTCCGGGGTAGGGCTCTCCGATATTACACGACGAATCCGTCCACTAGAGATTGCTCTGCTTGCGAAGATCTATTCGCTAGGTTTATCACAATGTTTGATGAACCACTCTACCGGTATTCGCTTTCGAAGTCTACTGGGCCGAACTCAAACATTCAGTAGTTTCACTCTCGGTATGGGTGAAATTTATACACGGACCGAGGGATCAGCTGGCCTGGCCACGGAGGCACCTCCTGCAGTTGGGGGTAAATTGCACAAGTTTTCGATAAAGTTAAAGTGAAAAGACACAGGAATTTTATGTACCCAAGTCACATTACGATATTCCTTCGCCTGAAGCCGTACTTGCTGAACATATTGACAATTACTAACCCGACTTTAAGGATTAGTTTACTACCTGGGAATCGATGCATTGCAACAGATCGTGCTCCAAAGAAAATTAGCTGATGGGTTCCACCTCTAGCCGAAAGTTTAATCACATTCATTTGCGACTAATGGAACCCGTCAAACTCGCAAGGCTATGATGTCGCTCATGCAGATGCATGGTTTCCAACTTCAGGAATTGAATTTGCGTAACCATCAAGTTGGTGGACAAAGTATTTAGCGAGAGGATGTTACCGAGAAGAGAAGGTGCGATGCATGTCGAACACAGTGGACCGGTAGTCAGGTTCTCTGACAACAAGGCATCGACCATCTTAATATATTCACTCATGCTTGCACTGTCTGCCGTAGCGTTGAAAATTTATCCCGCTTCTCAACTTCTATATTTCACGCCACAACTTCGCAATAAATTCGTGTTCCCTTACAAGTTGTCATTCTCCTTCACTTATGGCGTATTCATCCACAGATCTACCTTTGGAGAAGTCCAACCGCTCTGGTGTTGATGATTTCAGAGTTCAAGCGTCACTCACAGCCTTTGACATTCCACTTTCAAATGAGAGCACTCGAAATATAGAGGAAGGAACCGCTGGCCTAGAAAATACAGAAAGCAATATTCCAAGAGCAGATGGAGGTAGAGATGCTTGGCTATTTTTGGCGGCATGTTTTGTTTTCGAGGCATTGATCTGGGGTAGGTGATCTGTTTCATGCAGTCCGGCACCATCACTTGCTATTCAGACGGAATTGGACATTCAAATCCCTACGGCAGGAAAAACGTTATGGATTCAATCAAAACCAAACATTGACATGTCTCTTGGACTGACAATTAAATAGGTTTTCCTTTTGCTTTCGGAGTTTTCCAGACGTACTACTCCACTCATCCGCCTTTTGATAAGCATGCAAACGCTATAGCTATTACCGGAACTTGTGCTACTGGAATCAGTACGTTTATTCTTACGCTCTCTTTGATTTGACGAAACGGGGCCCTTTTCTCCTTATTGATAAATACTCACAAGGCGTTATCAGTGTATCTTTTTGCTCCGATTTCACTCTACGTTCTGGAGACCTTTCCACCAATTCGCCGGCCGTCGTCGGTAGTGGGTCTTGTGATCATACTGATAGCGCTTGTTGCAGCTAGTTTCGCCACGCAGATCTGGCATCTCATTATCACACAGGGAGTTTTGTATGCTATTGGAGGTAGTCTTTCATACTCTCCAACAATGTTTTATCTCGATCAATGGTTTGGTACGTAATTAGTTCTTCAATTTACAACTTTAACTCAATGCACGACTCTTTTCAGTGTCCAACGCTGTTCAACTTCCAGCCTTGCTCCAAGTCCAGCTTGTTTGGATGTTTAATTTTCTTCAAACATTTACTACTCTTTTGATTTCTAATTCTGTTTAGATTTCTTTTCCTCTGTCCCCTTTATTTTCCGAACTCTTGAGAACCCTTTTCTATCCTACAAATACTGATTTTTTAATCTGGTGGTAGTTAGGCGAAAGGGTCTTGCGCTTGGCGTTATGTGGTCAGGGTGAGCATTTAATGCCACTTCAGCCCTAAATCTAGCTAACTTCGACAGTGTTGGAACGTCTGGTCTCATCTTTCCGTTTCTTCTGTCGTATCTTGTTGATAGATACGGATTCCGCAGTACCCTTCGAATTTGGGCTGTCATTATGTTTATTTTATGTTGCCCTTTGATCTATTACATTAAACCAAGAATTCCAGTGGCGTATTCCAGCCAACCGCCCTCAAAAGTACCAAGCTATACTTTCCTCAGATCACCCATTTTCTGGTTCCTGCAGATCGCCAATATTTTGACCTCGCTTGGTTTCTTCGCACCTGCCATTTATCTTTCATCCTTTAGTGCTTCGCTTTCCTTCTCTCCCATTCTCGGCACCGCACTAATCGCACTCCTGAATTCATTTTCCGTAATTGGCGCTATCTCGCTAGGCCATCTCTCAGACATCAGACATATAACCACTGTCGTACTTCTCTCGTCTACCTTCTCAGCCCTATCTGTATTCCTGTTATGGGGTATATCCACTTCCCTCCCATCTCTAGTTATGTTTACTATTATTTATGGAATCTTTGCTGGAGGTTGGAGTGCCATCTGGGCAGGTATGATAAGAGAAGTCCAACGCGCAGATGAGAATGCCGGGTTTGGTGTATTGATGGGGTTATTTAGTGCAGGTAGAGGCGTTGGAAGTGTGGTATGTGGACCAGTTACCGAATGCCTCATTCGATATGGAGGTTTGAAAGGTGTGGGAGGTGGTTATGCGACTGACTATGGGGCGGTAATCGTTTTTACGGGAGTGAGTGCTGCTTGTGGATTGATCGGGCTGGGAGCGAGGTTTTGGAAGAAGGAAAAAGTTTGAGTGGCGCACGCGATGCGAGGCGTATATAAAAAATACTGCGTTTAAAGTTTTAGATTATGCCTGAAATGCTATTTAATTGTCAAAGATGAATGGAATATTGAAGAATTTGATGCGGTGTCTAAAGCCTAAGGAGCCGATTGATAGTCAAGATCTCAGTTGCATTTTAGAAATCGATCTAAGAAAATTCGTATATATTCGTGTGATTGTAACAAACATGGTGAATTAGTGAGTAATTACATCGAAATTGAGGTTTTAATTTTAGAACATGATTACTTTTAAGCTACAAGGAGTTATGATTATTCTCCTTTTTTAGAATATAGCACTAATTATCACAACACATTTTCTGTCAGCATGGAAATGTTTCCTCAAATGCAAGCGAACTAGGTGTGTTTCGGGTAATTTACTTCATGTCACACTGAACACAGGAACGGTGGAATTAATCTACTTAACTCGCCACTTCCAAGTATTGCAATGGTGAGTGAGAGACAAGAGGAACTCTCATTGAGGATAAAAGATCTTTCATCTCATATCTTCAATTTTACCGAGTATTCTATGTGAATTCTTCAAAGTACGGGATGATGTGAGATAATGAATCTTCCCTGGAGATCTCCCATCTTTCATTATTCAAACTATTACTCCTGGTTGGGTAGAGAAGGATTCCTCAGACAAATTGCATGTATGTCAGAAAGGAATAGAATGGCGGAATTGTGTGTTGCTATACCTGGTTAGGCAAGTGTAACCTTCCTACTCGGGACGCCCCCGCACGAAACACAAGGGGGCTAAGTACCCAGGTATCTTGCAAATATTTCCTCCAGATGATTTTCTACCTGGTCCTCTATCGTAAGCAAAAAGAAATAACCACTCTGTATATCTTCAACCAAGTTTCTAAAGTCAGCCAAAAAGCCATTGTGCATGATACCGCATGGAAACGATCTTCAACAATATGCGCGTATGTTTTCCGAATCTTTTTCGTCCCGTCTTTTTATCCTGGATGCGATATGCTGGAAGTACTTTTCCTCGCTTAATTTAACATCGCACTACATGAAAATATACTATCTCTGGTGCCTGTTCATGAGGAAGGATTCTTTCTTATTAGTTACACCGCAGCTTCATTACAACCTTTTTCATCCTTCGCTCTCATTCAACTATGTCGATTTCAGTACGAAACTCAGGGTAATTTTCAGTGAATTTTAAATAAATTTATGTCCCCTTCATGTAATATGATCGTAAAGTTGCGAGATTGAATCAGGGGCAGCCTTTGCCTTTTTTTTGCTGAAGATCTTCAAGTGAAGAAAAGCCCTGATGGCATTATGGATCTTCATGATCGCAACACTTTTTTCTACCATTAAATGAAATTCAACTCTTACCAAGTTATCGATTTATTATTCTTACCCTATTCTAAATAACATGCAGCTCAATCTGACCAACTTAGCGGCGGGAAAAGGCGCAGTCGCCTCGGTTCAACGAATGAAGATTCTCAAATTAACGAGGTTGAGCGGCACAGCTATCAGTATATGCAAGGGCCAACAGTTTTCATAGAACAGTGTGCTCGGAAATGTCCACATACTGCCTGCTCGTTCGGTACAATTATTCCTACTTCTTATTTGGTGTGGTAGTATTATCTGTGGTGCTGTGGTATCGTTTATTCATTTTGTACAAATATATCTACTCTTGCATGATGTGCGAGCTCGATGGAATATCTCAATGTTCAAATCTATTTGAGGAATTTTAAATCAAAAGATGTCGAATACAGATCAGAAACTCTGACTAGATACTAATAGCTCTAATAAGAACGATACTACGCCTAAACATACAGGTTTGGATTTTGCTTTGATTTAACTTTCGGTTCTTTGCCTTATACAGGATTCCTTCGGAAAATGCGTATTTGTAGATTTGAAGAAGACCTTACTTGAATATGCAATGCCTGGTGTTTTTCCTGGTGTTTGGTATTTTCTTGGGTAATATAAAAGCAGATGTTGTTTTCACGTGGCCTTGTCCCGGATCTACCTTGGGTTCGGGAGATGTTTCTGTGTGGTGGAAGGAGGATGGTGATGCGCTTTTGATCCAAGAAATGGAAAGCTATTTGTTAGGTTTATTTACCGGGAGTGATGGTGTTATGGTGAGTTCCCGATTATCTCTTTCACATATATTGTGAGTTACTGATGTTTGTGTAGGAAATTTTGAATGAATGGGCCATCCCCATTGGATCATATAACGCAACTATACACCTCGATTCAAACATTGGACCTAATGCAAACAACTCATAGTAAGAAATCACCATATAAAACCTGGAACCATTGTTTGACATATTTCAGTTTCTTCGGTATTCAATCAAATCCTGTTAACATCTCCATCTATCCATCAAACTCCATCCCCGTTTTGACCAATTTCTCACCCCGCTTCTCCCTCACAAACATGACGGGCAAAGATTTTAGTCCTGCTATCAGCGCTGCAAATGCCGAGTGCGATAGTACAGATGGGCAAGATTCTCTAATTCGAGACGAATCGCAGGATCAAGTATCCTTAGCTATGGCTAACATAAATTCTTTGTCGTCTGCTCAAATCACAACTTCTGGAGCGATTCATAATCCAACTGATGGTGTGCTCGTTACAAATCTGCCTTTGACACCCACGATTTCTCCATCTACATCGCCGTCGCCTCTTTTAACAATCATAATCTCCACACCAGAGCCTTCTGCCCCTCCTCAGTCCTTTGCCGAGGCGCCAACACAAACTCCGACGTCCACAACCAATACTCACAAGAAGATTGTTATCGCAATTCCGGTCGCGATAGCTGTTGCGGCCGTTATAGCTCTCTCCATCTTCTTCATCATCCGACATCGACGCCGACATCCACCGACCGAAAAGATAGATCCAGACGGGTCTATTCTTCCATTCTTCCCACCACCACCGACTCATCCAAATACATGGATGGATACCAAAGGTTCTACTTTCAAAGAAAAATCGAATCGTTTTTGGCACGTTCTCAGAGCCAAACGCTCACGAGGTAGCGTTGCCGAATTGCCCGGCTACGAGGGCCCCGGTACATTGAAACCCGCTTCACAGCGAAACACCAGCTCAAGCGAGGCGACGGATACAAAGACGAGCGAGATAGCCTATAAGCCTATCAAAATCCCTCCTAGTGCAGCAACTTGTGTTTTATTGGCAAAAGACCAAAACCCACAGGAAAGTCCCCCGGGCCGCGAAGTCGGCTTCTTAGCCGTGGGTCCAGATCCTGCACGCAACGACAGCCACCATTCAGACATCAGACCTCCTATTACTCCTACGCGTAGAAATCATTCTTTTCCACGCTCCTCGACTATTAAATCAATCACAACAGAGAGTTCAGGTATTCCTTCATCATCAGTTCTATCTTCATCTTTTGACCGTGAACGTGAACGAGGGCCTTCTCATTTCGATCTCGGAACTCTCTTTCCCAGAGAACGAGCAGCACAGATGCTATCACAACCACCAAGCCCTACAGCTCTTAGAGGAATGGCAAAAGTAGTTACAATTCCGAGGAGTAATTCATTATTACATTCGGGCTCAAATCCTGTAGCGATATCTCAGGCTTCTGCCGATTATCCCACGAGGGATAACTATCTATCCAGAGGAGCACCAAAGGGATATGTCTTTTCAAATTCTGCAGTGGCATATCAAAAGCCTTTGTGCCAATTACAATCACAGACGTCGTTCCACTCACAGCAAACATCATTCTCTCCACTATCAGCTTCAATATCACCTCCGATGTCCCAACCGAAAAGCTTTAGAAGTCCCACGGAGAGAATGGATGAGAGTGCGGCTGTTAGAGAAGCGGAACAACGAATTAGAGGATTTCTTGGAAGTAATGCTGGGAACAGTTGTGGTAATGAGGGGATTGTGAGTCCCGTTAGTCCTGTTAGTCCGTTGTCGAGTTCGAGATGATTGAATGGGGATCTTAATATCTTGGTGGACGGGGTACGATATGAATTGTATGATATTTGATTATTAGTTATGGATTTGGGTAAGATAGGAGTTGGATGCGATTAGTGGATTAATGATTGGTTGTGGATGGTGAATTATTGGTGTTTGGTATTTGAGGAACTTGGTAATTATGAATGTATTTGGAGGTTAAATGATAAATGAAATGATGAGATGGCTTAATTAGTGAATATATATATATATATATATATATTCTCATTATTTAAAAAGAAAAAGAGAAAAGAAAATAAAATTTGTATAAATAATCTGGTTTAATATTTATTTAAATATACTTTCACAAATTATTCATCACTGTCGTTATCCGCCCCACAGAAAACCGTTGTGTCACACTCAAGAATACTGGGTAAAGTATCTTGTATTAGAAAATACTAAGCTAAGGAGAAAAGAAGAAGGAAAACAAGAGTAGAGAGTTTTCCTATGATTAAATACAAACGGGGCATGCCACGTGACCCGGAGGTGTGAGGCGTCACACGTTGCGCGGCCTAAAAGAAAGGTGACTGACCCTATTCGCTTGAACTATCTCGAGCTAAAAGAAGTTTCGACCTAAAATCTGACCTTCTAGATGTCTCTAATACAGCTGAAAGTGAAGTATAAGGTAAAATAAACTACAGGGGCTGAATGGAAGAGCTTAGGTATCATCCCTGACTGTCTTTCTCCCCATTAAGGAAGGAACGTTCTACTGAGCCTTGTTCGGATTATCTACACGTGCACCTGACATATCAGATTGGCTTTTACAGGAAAACCCCGTACCGAAATCCATTTTCCTTCATTTCCTTGCTATCACAAATACTTTTTTTCACGATGCTCTGCAAAACTTGTACAGATCTCTTTCTAGCAATAAGGGAGGACGTCGACATATTGCGCATGGAACTGAAAGAATGTTCCTTCCCAGATGATAAGGAACGGGAGTTCGAACATCATGCTTCTTATGACGCATACAAAGAGGCAGTTTCAATAGGTTGTCGTCTTTGTAAAAAAATGCAATTGCATAGAATTGGGCACAAAGACTTCAGAATGGCTTTCCACTGGAAGTTTTCTAAAATGCATACCGCTACAAAATGGACTATTCACCTCGACTTTATAGAGTCGTCAAAAGGGTTTTCCATTTTAGATGGTTACCTTGTACCAGTTGAATCGTCTAAAGGTAGAGTTACTCACCGTTTTCGGAGTTTCTCTACAGCATACTAATCAATTACTACCTAAGATCGACTTTTGGTTCCTGGCTACCATGAAACTTCGAATACAGGTAGTGAGGCTTCTTTTGCACTCGCCAATCACTGACTAAAGGAATGCGTGACTTCGCATCAAAAGTGCAATCATCTATTGTCCTGTCTTCCGGCACTGAAGAAATGGCGACCGAGCCGCTTGATTTACATCAAAGACGTGAATAATTTAGTCCTGCATTTATGCCGTGATATTCCAGAAGGGGTGAAGTACGTCACGCTTTCTCACTGTTGGGGCAATATCCCAGAGGCCCAGAGATTAACCTTAACGAAAGAAAATTTTGATTCTTGGACACGAGAGATTCCTGATCTCAAACCCATGAGAACTTTCCATCACGCGGTTACTATTTGTCAAAAACTGGGGTTCGAATATATCTGGATCGATTCATTATGGATTATTCAAGACTCTCAAGATGATTGGTATAAGCAAGCTTCGCTAATGAGCGAAGTTTATAAATATTCTCAGTGCACCATTAGTGCCACAGCGGCAAATGACGATACTGTGGGATGCTTCTTTGATCGAAATCCAGAATTTTGTCTACCGATCCGCGTGGAAATTGCTCAGAATCCAACCCCCCTTCCCGGAACCACCAAGCATTCAATTCTTGAACCGAACCCTGAGCCGGGGGGTATCAGTCTAGAGATTCACGATATCTTTATGACATTCATAATAGAGACGATACCTGGGATTTGAGCATCACTAATGCCCCTGTAAGCAAACGTGCTTGGATTGTTCAAGAGGTATGTCTATAGTCAAGGCGAAAAAGACAATTAATTTACCGTTCTAATAAGCAAGCATAGCGTTTTCTAAGCCCACGAATTCTTTATTTTGTAGAAGGGGAGCTCTTCTGGGAATGTGCTGAATTGTGTGCCTCAGAATCTTGTCCGTTCGGAATCCCCAATTTCGAGGAGACTGTTCGTCATAGATGCGGAGGCGATTATATTTTTGGAGACCAATATCAATATCCGATAGATAACACATTTGATACTGAGACCCAGTCACGAAGTTGCTCCCCCTTAGATAACGCTCTCCGAATTTGGTACAACTCAGTAGAGATTTATACAAAGGCAAATCTAACCAAAGCTTCCGACAAACTTGTTGCCATTTCCGCCATAGCAAGAGAACTGAAACCTTCAATGAAATCTAGATATTTTGCTGGTCTTTGGAGAGATAATCTCGTCCCCCAGCTAGCATGGAATTGTTTCCGTGGTACGCGATCGACCGTGTATCGAGCACCATCATGGTCTTGGGCTTCGATTGATGGGGAGATTTAGCCATCATATAGTTGGAATGTTAGACTTGACGTCTATTGCCCGTTAATTTATATCCTTGATGTGGATACATATCCTGTCAGCAAAGATGAGCTCGGTCAAGTTCTAGGAGGCTATATAAAACTTCGGGGACAGCTTATTGATCTTCAGACTTGTATTCTAGAATACGGCAGCACACGTGAATTTAACTACCCTCGCGAGGTTGTATTCGTTAATGGTGGCGGAGCTACGAGGGTCTGGTTATACGGGGATGAGTACGATATGAGACTTACCAGATCTACGAACCATTTGACGTGTCTGCCTCTTGATATTCGCCGATTAGGAGGACTGTGCTTCAACGGACTTATCCTCGAATGCGTCGACGTCGCAGAGAACGTCTATCGCCGCATTGGGGTATTGTCCAATACTCGATGTTCATCATCTTCAAACCTTACCGATGAAGAATTTTTCAAAGATCCATTGATCTCTGCTATCAAGATATTCGAGAAGAGAAAAGATGGTGTACCGTTTTCCAAAAGAGAATCTTCGTTCTTGAGAGAGATTATGATGGTGTGACTTGTACGGTCATGATTTGGCAATGGAATCACAAGCTGAGGGGCTTTATGATAGATTAGATATATTGAATCAATAAACTGATATATTGAAGTCGTTTAGGATATTGGAATTGCTTGAGAGATTGGAGCTAGTAAGGTTATACAAGTCTAATACCCTCTTTTTGGGCCACCCTTAATATAGAATATTTTTTTATACCAAAAACAACAATTTTAACTTATTAATTATTCAATAATCATGTAACGATACTGTACTGGAGGCAGCGGCTGCCTCAGGTTTCATCTGGTTGGTAGTTGTTGACCTCCTGTGATCTTGGCAGCATATGCATGTATATTGCATGATGCATATAAGGAGCAAACAAAACTCAACTTTTAATTTATTCTTTCCTTTTTGGTATACTGTTTGTTTGCTTTCAATATTTTGATTTCAAAGCACTTTAATTCCGAAGGCCGAATACCTAACCTATTCCTTCATTTTTTGAATATATACTCGTGTGACGGAAATCCCTGCTTTCCTCCCACCCTTATTATATAAGAAACCTCAGGTACATTAACCATGTCCACACATGATACGATTACTCGAGATTAGTATACGATTTAGCTGACCTGAGGATCAGATCCGGACAAGTACTAGGTATCAATGGTTATCGGTAAAGTAAGATCATTGGAGGCATAAATATGACTTCTTTTTGCCTAGCCATTACGGCTAGGCCATTCATTTGTGTATATATAGAGTAGCTATCCCCATCTACAGGTGCTCTTCACCTGTAGATTCTAAGTTAAATACAATTGCTGGTCTATAAACACCCTTTTGGTCACAACTCGCAGCTTAACTGCTTAGCTAGAAAATCAATCAATTCAATCTGATGCTCTTTCTGGTCTCAAGAAACCCAACAGTAGTTGTGGGTTAAGGCTTTATCACTGGTATTCACTTGGAAGTGAAGTCGTTACTAGATCAAGTAGAATGTAGGTAAACTAATTGATAACTAAGTTGAGCACGAAGCTCCTAAACTATGAAACTATTCTGACTATATACTATCGATTTCCTGACTGCTAGCATAGCTAGCACATCACGTGATTCTACTTTTCACATGACACTGATCCTGAGTGTTACGAGGTTTGCCGTCTAGATCACGTGGAAGTGCTCTAGGCTCTCGAGGTGGTTTATAACTAGGCGTCAAGCAGGGACTTAAAGTAATGATAATAATGATATGCAATTCGTAACTAATAGTAGAGTATACTAAATGATTGATCTTGAGCACGAAGCTCTATACAAAAGAAATCCATCTTGATTATATAGACCTTCATGCTAATCGTCCCCTTGGTCCCCTCGGTCCCTTCGATCAAGAGACCGAGGGGATCGAGGGGACCATGTGATTACATAATTGGTCACATGATACGAGATCCGAAGCCGTCGTAACATCTAGATCACGTGGAAGTGCTCTAGGCTCTCGAGGTGGTTTATAACTAGGCGTCAAGCAGGGACTTAAGTAATGACAATAATGATATGCAATTCGTAACTAATAGTAGGGTATACTAAATGATTGATCTTGAGCACGAAGCTCTACACAAAGGAAACCATCCTGATTATATAGACCTTCGTCCTCCATTGGATCTCTTGGATCCTGAGAGTTTGTGGACCTTCGATTCGTATGGACCTACGATTCGTATCCCTGAATATGCAGGGTCCATCACGTGACTTGGATCAGACTATATGTCTGTGCTTGCTGAAGGTGGGGAGACTCTACGAACCGATTACCATACAATTTTGTATGTGAATCGGTTTGCTTTTCCACGGGGTCTAAGCTCATATGGACAGGTTGACTGTTACTACGTAACATGGTGATCATTAAGGATCACTAAGGATCACGATATAGGTGATCACTGGTGATCATGAAGGATCACCAGTAATCATAGAAGCATGAAGGACTATATAATCAAGACGGATTTCCTTTGTATAGAGCTTCGTGCTCAAGATCAATCATTTAGTATACTCTACTATTAGTTACGAATTGCATATCATTATTGTCATTACTTTAAGTCCCTGCTTGACGCCTAGTTATAAACCACCTCGAGAGCCTAGAGCACTTCCACGTGATCTAGACGGCAAACTTCGTAACAAAAAGGGTGGCCGAGAAGTGGGGTACTAGACTTAAATAAAACATATTTACTCGTAGTGAAAAAATGAAAAAGTCAGGGGTTGAAAGAAAAACTAACAATGAAAAGATCAACTTGAGTCATATTGTCCATACCAGAGAATCATCGAGTCACCGCTATATTGCTTGTGTAAAGTCTGGAGAACCATACATTTTGAATGTCCCAGATGATTTCGGACTTGGATTTGCATGAATGTCGACAGAAATTAAGAGACAATTAGACCAGTAGCTCAATTCCCAGCATTGATATTTGAACATAATCATGATTTTTCATATTCCTTGCCCATCCACACCAATCATTAACCTGTCGGTCATTCTATTCATCTTCATCTTCATCATCCGTACTGACCTGCGTCAAATTAGGTGCACCCCTAATACTCATTCTCTCCCTCTTCACACTCTTCCTCCTATCCTCATCATCTACATCTAAAAACGCACTCTCATCAACTAACTCCTCAGGTCTATTTCTCTGGGTACCTCTTGGAGCATCATCATCATCCTCACTATCATGATTCCTCTCTCTCTCTGTAGCCCTCCTCACCTGTCTCAGCAGCAATTGATCATCATACATGTTCTTCATAGCAATAAAATTTTCACATCCCATTGCCGGACACTTAATCACCCTTTCCCCTTTATGAATCGTCGCGTTTTTCCTATGATACTCAACGATTGCTTCCTTCTCAAAACTATGGTTGCACTTGTTATTGGTGTATGGTTCGCGGAAAGTGGCGAAGGTGAGGGGACATTTGAGATCTTTGACGATTTTTTCAATGACAATTTCATCGTCAGAGGATTCGTCTTCACCTCGGTGGTCTTCTTGGGCAGAAGGATGTGAGCGGTCGGAAGGGAACCATGTGGATTCTTTAGCAAGCGGTACGTCTTGGTCTGGGTAGAGGGAATCGTGGACTACACGCTTGAAGCTCTTGTAATCGTTGTGAGAGGCATATCTGTAAAAGAAAGTTTGGTTATTCACTATGCCAAACTTCAGTCCCCGACTTCAAGCGCTCGTAGAGAAGGATAGAATACCTTTTCGTCATAGTTTCCGCCTCATATTTCGTCTTATACTCCTCCTTGATCTGATCCAACAATTCCACCGCACTGATGACCTCCCCGTCCTGCTTCGCTTCTTCCTCATATTCCTGGCCTCTGATTCTCCGATTTGAAGGAGGAGGGTTAGCCTCAACTAATTTATCACAAACATCTCTAATAACCATATCGTTCCTCTCCACCTCATCGCCCTTATCAATCAAGATCCTCATGGCTATCTCCGCCTGCTCTGTCCAAGCCTTAACCTTCTTCGCCATATGTCTCGTGTGAATTTCCAAATCTTTGTGCTCCGAAGGCATCTCCTCATCTTGTTGTCCATCCCTCTCTCTCTTCCGCGCATTTTTTTCTACTTGCCGTTTACGCTCCCATAATCTATCGTTATTGGCAACAGTTGTGTCTGTGATATTTTTGATAGCAGCGCTGAGATGTTTCTTTAGCTTAGTAGTATTATGAAGCGTGCGAATATTGGCAATGGCACGTTGGGCATTTGTGGAAAGAGGACATGTTGGTGGAGTGTATTCAGGTAAGGAGCTTGGCTCATTTTGATGAGAAGGACCGGATCTGACTGGTGCTGGGGATGATTGTGGAGCATTGCGCTCAGCGCCCGTCTGAAGACGTCTCAGAACAGACATGACATAAAAATTTATTGTTGGCTGCTGGTGTTCGTTTGTTGTGAAAAGATGATCTATAAATGACGTGATGCAAGAGGTTACTGTGTGTGGGGAGACGCGTTGAGTTGCATATGGAATAAACTGAAATCTGGGGACGCGAAGTTTAGTGGGTCTTAGCCGCGATCCCTTAGCGTGGGCACATAACACGGCATACAATTCAGAATTATTTCAAATACTCCGACCGTACAGAGAACCAAAAAAATCATTTATTTGTATGTAAAATTTTACCAGTCTTATCATATATTGGGATTTATTCTTTAATAGCAGCAAGGCTCTATCAAAGTTGCTGGAACCGGATAGATTGTCATTCCACAACCATCTGAACACAAAGTTGTCTATTTGTTGTGTTTATATATGCATGTTTTTAGGCTTGATTTACTGGAAACAACATCTCTTTAAAAATATGCAAAATGGTAGATCTGTTCTTCTTTGCGTTGTGGAAATACAGCATTTTAATGCAAAAGGATGACTATTTCATTATTCTAAGCAGAATAAAACATTCAAGCCTCTACGAAAGCCTACCACTCACTTGATGTGCGAAGATATAAACTGAGCAATCAGCAGTGAAAGTTTCAGCTCACGGAACATGCCCTCTCTCCCCCCTTTTGCTACGGCTGTATGACTCATCGTTCCAGCCTCATTCTATCACTATCACCTTTCACCTGACACCTTGATCCTCCTTCTTCCTCTGTCAAAATCTCATAATGTTAACCATTTTCCAAGCTTATCCTTCTCTCTCAACCATCAACATCTAACGATTCTCAAGAACTTTTAAGAAAGGACTTTATGGTATTTCAAAATGTCAAACTTTCCACCTATCACCGACCGCTCCTACGGCATGATTGCCATGCGCTACTTACCCAGCCTTCCACTCTCCGCACCTCCACCTCCTCCAAACCTAGTCAATACCGAACTTCTTCTCATTCAGCAGAAGACTATTTGGGAAAGTGTTCCACCATTTTGGTGTTTTCCAAAAGGCCATGCCGAACCTGGCGATGCATCTACCGTTCATACCGCCATCCGAGAGCTCGAGGAAGAAACGTCTCTGAAGGTTAAACTTGAGGATATCATGAGATTGAATTTAGCTGGTGACACAGGGGAAATCGAGGGACAAGATGCAAAAGACTGGGATGGGAGTTTTTTTGAGATATACATAAACCCCGTTAGGAAGAATGGGAAGGAGGTTAGGTACTGGCTTGCTTTGGTGGGGAAGGAAGAAGGAGAGAAGCAAATTAAGGTACAGGAGAAAGAGGTTGCAGGGTACAAGTGGTGTTCATGGGAGGAAACAGCGGAATTATTAACCTACGACGAGGCAAAAGAAAAGTTGAAGAGAGTCTTGGCCCGATTTGAAGACTGCGGAAAGGTATGAGGGGGGGCCAAGATTAAACTCCGAAGGGACTACTAAGATCTTAAAGCTGAACTAGGTTTTTTCCTATTATTAATCTTCAAATAGATAGTATAGAACTTAATTTATTATCAAAATACTAGACTTAACCTTTTAAATTTTTTATATTTATTATAACGTAACGTATGGGGAACTCGGACATATGGGGAACTCGGACAGGTACCTTTACACCAAATTTTGTATGTAAAGGTACTTAGAGCAACTTTTTATATCTCTAGAAATACTAGAGATATAGTTTTGATATTTTGAAGTTTGATATATTCAATATAAATATTTAATATAGTAAAATTTTATAGAGATATAAAGTTTTTTCATAAAGATATTAAAGTTTCTTTCAAATTTTCGTTTTTGCCTAACAAAAATTACTATGAGAATTTTTAAAATCGTATTAATTTAAGAACAATATAATTAAAAAGTGTTTTGTAACTTTAATACTGTATTTTTATTAGATATTAAACCTAACTATCAAAAAAAAAAAAATTATCTTTAATATCCATAGAGATATAAAAAGTTGCTCTAAGTACCTTTACATACAAAATTTGGTGTAAAGGTACCTGTCCGAGTTCCCCATATGTCCGAGTTCCCCATACGTTACGTTATAAAATCTATATACAAGAAAACCTTTTTATAATATATTATACTATTATCCAGATAGATATTCTAACCATATAGCCAGGGCTCGTGATGGAAATTCACAAGCATATCTATTTGTTGGGTTTCTTGAGACCAGAAAGAGTATCAGATTGAATTGATTGATTCTCTAGCTAAGCAGTTAAGCTGCGAGTATATATTCAAAAAATGAAGGAATAGGGTTAGGTATTCGGCCTTCGGAATTAAAGTGCTTTGAAATCAAAATATTGAAAGCAAACAAACAGTATACCAAAAAGGAAAGAATAAATTAAAAGTTGAGTTTTGTTTGCTCCTTATGTGCATCATGCAATATACATGCATATGCTGCCAAGATCCCAGGAGGTCAACACTATTACAATCGAAATAATTTTTTACAATAATACAAAATTGGCCCATGTACATACAGTATACCGAGATTATCTAGCTCAAAATCTAACGGAAACGGGACTTCTAGCTTTTCTTCTTGACTGATCCAATGGTCATAAGCAAACTATCAAGTATTAGTAAATACTGCATGCATCATGAAGACTACATCTTTCAACAAGACATCTTACTTTGTGGTAGGTACGTCTGAAACATCGGTGTATCGGTTTGTGCACCCATCATATGCCATTTTTTGGCGTTGCTCCTTCCAAAGAACAGCCATCTGTGGATCTAAGTCTAGATCGAAGCATTTCGCATCCCATATATAGGCCATGGGGAAGTAAATATCGCCTCTTTTCCAGGAGGACGGGGTTTCATCTCCGTCGGACCACATTCGTGTTATTTCCCATTCAACCAATTCTTCCGTCATCTGACAGACTTCCAGGCCTACTTTGAGCAGTGTCTCTCGAGCGTTAATATTTCTCCATATCGTCTTCTTCTTGGAAGTCAAAACTCGGATTAATAATTTGTGAGTATAGGACATAGTGTCTCTTGAGTAAGCCCATGATCTTTGCGTCCTGCAATTTCATCCTTGCCTTTTCTTTGAAGGAACTCTCCCTCAGATCTTTCATCACGTCATTTATATCCTGAAGCAGCTCATTCATCCTCTGATTCAGGATCTTTCCCTGATCTCCTGTTCCCTCGAAAATCATCTCCCCAAAATCTCGCAAGGCTTTTCCATGTGTCCAAAGTATTTTGTGCAACCACTCCCTTATCACAATCTCCCTTTCCACCTCCTCCGCTTCACTTGGTTTGTCATCTTCTCTATACCCCAAATACTCTCTCCAAAAGTAGTTTCTCATCTTAAACCTATCAACCTTATTCTTTCGATATCGCCTCACTTTGAACATATAGCAATGCCAATCTCTGAGTAAGAATCTCATATTCATAATCCGTTCAAAGGGGCTGGGGTTTCGAAAAAAAGATATTTTCGAGAGATACCTGATGGATTCGCTGAAGACGTTGGAGAATTTCCGTGTAATTTCCGGAATGAGATGAGCTACACTCGTTGTAGCGAGTAATGATGGGGATCTCTTTCCAGATAATCTCCGCGTACATGAGGGGATACAGAATCTTGAACACAGTGAGTACCCAAATTACGGCAAGGACATCTTCAGCCTTGTACTTTCATATACCCCATCCCAACATGAAGTTGATGATCGCCCATAGGAAAAGAACACCACCGAATTCTTCACAGCCTTTCCTAATTCTTTTCACACCATGACTTGTTGAAAGGACGAGTTATGAGAGGAGAGTCTGAAAAAGGCCTTAGTCCCAAGGCAATGAGACAGCTCTATATGGCATGCGTCACCAGCATAGCTGACTACGGTTCAATTTTATGGTGGAAAGGGCAAAACCAATTCAAGAAAATCCTTCAATCCTTGCAAAACCTCGCCCTTCGAAAAATCCTAGGAGTATTCAAAACCTCACCAATAAAACCAATGGAAATAGAAGCCGCATTGTGCCCTCCAGAAGTACGGCTAAATGCTGGAATCAAACAATACGCATTTAGATTATTGAAAATCTCGCCTTCTCATCCTGTCAATTTAGTAGCTACAAAGCTGGCTACAGAAAAGGAGAATCAAGATGTAGTTGCAACCCCTCAAAGAAAGCAATTAAAACCTACTCAACTCGAAAAGATCAAAAATTCAATTCAGAAAGACTTCGATCCTCTCACTTTAGAAGGAATCCATCATTTCTACTTTCCTCCTTGGAAGAAAGAAGTTCTACATAAAGTCAATATCAGCAAATTAGGAAAAGAAGAAGCTGCGATGATCCACAATCTGGCTTTCAAATATAGGTGCAAAAATACCATTATAATATACACCGATGCCTCATTCACTTTAGAGGGAATAGGGGTTGGGATCGGGATAGCGGTCATCTTACCAAATGGCCGAATTTCACATCAAGAGACTATCAATATAGATGTAAATCAGCTTGTCTATAATGGGGAACTCCTAGAAGTTACTAAAGCGATCGAATACACAAATTCAATAGCCCAGCCAGGAAACAAGTTCAAGATATACTCAGATAATCAAGCAGGATTATTCCGGTTGAAAACCCCCTCCGATTTACCTGGTCAATCATGTCAAATCAAAGCTATAAAAGCTGCGGAAGCTATTCAAAATAAAGGAGCCGAAATCTCTCTCAATTGGGTCCCCGGACATACATCTGTACAAGGAAATGAGCTAGCTGATTCTCTTGCAAAAGAGGCGACCAAAATACCATCCTCATCTCACGAAACCAGTTATGCCTCCATTGGAATGGATATAAAAAGAATGAAATCAGAGAACTGGATAGCCATCCTTAACACTAACAATTTTCATCAACCATCGTCAACATATTCAAGAAACTACCCCTGGAAGATCAGCTCAAAAATCAGAGTTCCAGGAAACATCAAAAGAAGCACAATCTGTGCTCTGTTCCAACTCAAAATTGGACACGGATACTTCAAATCTTATTTGAAACGATTCGGTATCTCCTCTAATGACAATTGTAGATGTGGGGGAAAGGAATCTCCTGATCATCTTCTGCTCAGTTGTCCTTTATATAAAATGGCAAGGAAAACCCTCAATAAGGATAACCCCACAGTCCGACCTACCATGAAATATCTGCTTCATACTAAAGCAGGAATCATCAAGACCCTCGAATTCATCGAGGCGACGAGAATAGCCACCAGATCATGGCATCTCAATAGAATGCATGAAGAAGAAGAGGAAGAAGGCGGAGAAGAAGGGGGTGGACCGGAAGATTGTGATTGAATTGATCAATTATGGCCAATTTGGTCAATTTGGTCAATTTGGTCAATTTGGTCAATTTGGTCAATTTGGTCAATTTGGTCAATTTGGTCAATTTGGTCAATTTGGTCAATTTGGTCAATCACCCCAATGTCAAATTTCATTACATTTCATTTGTTATTCCTCTTACTTGAATACGAGAGTATCTGTAAGGCGGGCTTGGTTCCCTAGTATTAGTTTTCACTTCCCCCATTCAAACATTAGAAGATTGAGGCTTTCAATCTCCCCAACCTGTATTAGCTACGGTCGAATAAGGCCAGCCACCCTCCATTTACTATTGTTAGAAGCCTACAAATCTCCTAGCCGTCTTAGATAGTCATAGACTCAGTGTAGACGTTAATTTAATCAATCAATCAAACCTGTACGACCCAGTTTGCGACGTCATTTCTGATCTTGTCATTCATAATTAAATAGTTCAGATCGATGGGTAAAAAGAAGAATGAAGGATTACAAAAAAAATCGAAATTCGTATGGTTTTATCTCCCTTGCTATACATAACTTCCCTCTTGGTCATCTGTTGATTTTATCGTTGCTACAATCGCAGTTTTCCTCCAAGGCCCACCTTTCTTTATATCAATAATCAGCTAGTTATACCATAGTAAAGGCACTCCCAAAATAAAACTAAAAATCCCCTTCCAAATATTACCCTACAATATCAAGAATTCATCATGAACTCAAGGCAATCTGCATAAGCCTTGCAAAGCCCATCTACACCCGAATAGCTCCAAAACCCCATTGCGCCTATATCTGATTATCTTGAATCTTAACTTGCTCAAGGTAATATGTGGATAGCTTCTAGTGATCCTACTTGTTCTCTTGTATTTAACAGCTCCTGTGCGAGATCCTTCAGCTCAGCGTCATTATGTCTAGCTACTGAAATCGATTTGATATGGACATGTAATTTGCTGGAGCTGGGTGGACTATCCTTCTCTAATGAATTGAAATATTCTTCTGTGAAGATCGTGTTTAGGATTCGGATATTTTGATTATGAATAGAGATAAGTCGGATCTGGCATTTGAAAGTTAGCTTAAACCTCATATAGATATACTTTTAACTAACAGGTAATCTTCGTGGAGAAGGCCGAGATGCACACAATTGCGGCGATTGTTTTTCCATCATTTCTTTCTCCATCTGCTGTTGAACGCTATCATCATTCTTCCAAGCAATAAAAGCAATTCTATAAATTGCAATAAATTCGGTCGTTAGGATTTCATTATTCATCGCAGAGCGCGAATGAATTGTGAGAGCAAGCGCTATTAAATCGCCAGTCGTCCAAGTATCTGTGAAGCCCCAACGCAAATTGTGGGTTTCATACATATCTCTATGTTGGTTGTCAAGCGTTAGTAGAATGTAGAGATATAATAAAACGGATTAGCTATAACATACGACCATCCGTCAAGCCTTCCGAATCCTGCCAACTCCAATTCTTGCATATCGTTGTGGAGTCCAGCGGCGACATCCCGGTTGTTGAACTACAGATCGGTATGCGATAGAGGGGTCTCGGCACGGTCAGTTGAGGTTGTCTGAATCATAGGTATATCTTCAACTGAATCAATGATGATACCAAAGACATCGCTGAATTCTTTCCTCAAGATTTCGCTTTCCCTATATTTAGACTTCCTCCAAATAAACTTGCAAATCTTGATTAGAGCTTATCGGCGAGGCGTAGTGGAGAGCGACATAGTAAACTTCAATCGATCGATAATTATGTTGTGATTCTGTGATTTATTTATAATGTGTTTGTAGGTTTGTTTATTTGCGTTATCAAATACTGCCTATCAAGGTACTTTGCTTAACATCTATTGGCAAATACATGAGGGGTAACTGTTAGTAATGTAATAAAATTTAGTCTATCTCTCATTGATGTTTTTTTAACTTGTACAATCCCAGCATGCTGATTTAAACCAGGCCGATGTCTAATCTTCCATATACTATTGAAGCATGGCAACGCTCTTATACCAGTATCAATAATAAAGATTTTAAAATGCGAACTTTGAGAGTGGGAGTAAATTCAAATTCGAAAGCGCTATTCTTCTGAGGGTCCTTCACATTAAGGCCTGAATCAAATCTTCATCTTCAATGCACTGGATCAATGATAATCAAATATTTCCAGCAGCGCGACGGTCACAAGCCGAAGTGGCAGTTAGGGGTCAGCACTTTGAGCCACTACTTCGAATAGTGAAGAATTTTTCCAAAGATGTAGGGTGGACTTCGAAGGACTTCATAGATTCAGGATGCTTCGGACCATTTTTGTCTCTTTTGGCACTCATTGAACGCAACGATACAAAAGAAGAAGACGAAGAATCTACAGTGCAATATGTCACCACTCCTATTGCTGCACAAACTTGACTTCAACAATCGCAAAGAGACCCTTATATAACACCAATCAAGAAATCGACTGGACAATTAGACCTTCTTGGTGCATTGGTCGATAGGATGGACTTGGATACGCCCAGCACTACTGAATCAATTGAGCTACCACCGTCCGGTGAAGGATCCGTTGCAAAATACGAAAAGGCCAGAATAAAGGTGTAGGATGAACAAATAGGCAATTAGTATCTTATCAACTTGCTGCTGCCTATCTCTTGGCCTCTAGGAATATCTGGCAATATTGACCCACAGCGGAAGGCTTACATATTTGTTCTACAAGGCTCCAAAGTCTACGAAGCTCGGGTTGATGGTATAGTTACACGTCCCAACCGTAATACCGATGTCCTAGATTTCTTGGAAGTGAAACGTGGTCATAGAACAGATGAAGTTCGTATACAAGAGGTGGCTCAAATTGTGACATTCATGAATTCGAAGAACAGCAACCCACTTCGCATGAATGATAATACTTCGGCTTTGTAATGGTACGTTATTTCTGTTACTCGCCTACCTTGCTAATATGCTCTGCAGCTCGTGGCTCATATTCATGTGCGCCAACGAGCTATTTATCACAATAGCAAGCTGTAATCAACCATGGATAGAATTCCTAGGCATGGTAGAAGGATTGAAGGAAGGCATGCCGGAATTGAAATCAGAAAATTTTCTTCATATGAAAGAGTATGGTCCATACACTTTAAGCGCATATCATGATTTTCTTGCAGCTTTGGAGCATCTTTATGTATTATTGTCAGATGTATAACTTTGTTCCTAGAATTGTTGAGAGATCATTAAATTCTCTAGCTCGATTTGGTCCTGTCCTAGCGTCGTGTTCGACAGCAGTTGGAGGAGGGTAGAATGAGTTCCAACGATCGAACAAACCATAAGGGGAGCAAAACAAATGTTCTTCATTACAGTTGTACTGTTTTCTCGTGCCTGAATGCATCAACTACACATCCAAGTCTCACATATTTGAAGCATTGCAGACTGTGTCATCGAGTTCGGTATGTATGGATAGATTTCTCTTTATCGAATAGACGGTAGCGATGGAGATCCCTGGAGATGATGTTGCTACGGTTCAAGTTCGTCTTGCTTCTCAGGCATAACACAGTGTATGAAACCCTTAAGCATTAAGACAAATTGATGGAGCAGGACAATCCCTCGTGTTCTTCAAATGCTTCAGCTTGAAGTATGCATCCTCACATAGAACAACAAAACACCACTGCAATCCTTTCATTGGAAGGCTCCGCCATATCCAGTTCTCGCTGATCTCTGCTGGAGTACGATATTGTCAAATCGGTACTTATTTGCTATTGGAGGAATGCGAATTCATGTCGACAACTTCCATTATCAATCATATCGGTACACTCTACCACCTCCACTATTTTCCTTTTCATACGGAACAAGCTAAATTTCCTCATCATTTCCGCATGAATTCGCCTATTTAGTGACAAAATATCTAAACTCAACTCCTGTGAGACTTTGTTACCTTTTTATTCGTCTTTTCAATTTCTTCCTGAACTTTTAATCATCCACCTTTTTCGGCGCTCTTTTTTAATTGCTCGCTGAGTACTATGCTCGCTTTATTCAAACTTATAGCGTGATCTTCAATCTTGACTTCGATCGTGTGCTCTGTGGATTTGCTGCCGGCTCTGTTCTGGATTCCGTGTCTGACTCTACTGGTGATGTTGCTTTGGTCCCTGTTGCAGACTTTGGATCCGACTCCGCTGGTGATTTTGGTTCGCGATCAAGGTACAGCCTTCATCAAACGTCGAGTCTTCTAGAACCCTTGACTAAATCATAAGTATTTGAGAAAGGGCTATCTGGTTCGTGCCTCTTTCAGCTCTCCTCCATGTAAAAAACTGTATCAAACCTCTCTTGAATGCAGCGCTCGCCGACAATCCCGACGATATTCTCACCTAGGATCAAATCTACAGAGCAGTCACCGAATCCATTTATACATGACCTCGAATCAACTTTCTGGGTGCTTTTCTGGATCTGCATTCACTATGATGGACCAAATCGGGGAAGGGTTGTTAAAGAGTTCGACAACTGGAACTACGCGGATATGAAAGTGTTGGCCAGGGCGAAATTAGGTACTTGTAGCGATCCGGTATTCTCTGGCAACTGATGCCTTACGTTCGTCGGTTGGCAATTATGGCTTAAGGCTTTATCACTGGTATTCACTTGGAAGTGAAGTTGTTGCTAGATCAAGTAGAATGTAAGTAAACTAATTGATAACTTAGTTGAGCACGAAGTTCCTAAACTACGAAATAACGAAGGTTTATATGGATCACGAAACGAGGAGGATAGAATGGATAGCGGCTATCTAGTCTATCCATCACATGATAGATGACTAGTCACGTGTTATTGGATTCGTGACAATGAACTATGATACAAGACTGGAAACAGAATCGAGAATTTACATCTTTCTCTTTATGCTTTCAGACCTTTAATTCTAATAATGATTAGGTCGAAGGTGCATCAAATTAAATATTTCTTTATATTTCTTTGTACCAATAAAACTACCACATCACTACACTAGAACATACTGGAATCAATGTGGCAAATAGAAAGTCTATATAATCATAGACTTCCCCCAACCTCTCTGTTAAAGAGAGAAAAAAAAATAAAAGGATATTATATTCAAGACATAAATAAGTTAGTCATTAATAGATATATTGAAACTGATTTTTACTTAGATAATATGAAATTTTCACTCAAATTTCAGAAAGAAAATGCCACCGGTGGAAAATGCCATGACCATAACACCGTTACAAAAATATGTACTAGTTGGCCGATAGTCTGGAGGTAGCCAAAAAATATTTCGCACTTCTTTATCTAATCTTTCAGCTACCCAATGATTTGATATAAAGTACCGTTCAAAGGCTGAGGATGCCTGTAAACTTGAATGACCCTCGAGCGTTTGAAGCGATTCGCCCGTCATTGCATCCCAAAGCCGAATTGTTTTATCGTGAGAGCCCGAAGCTACTTTTGTACCATCTGGTGAGAAGGCAACTGAATTAACCCAACTCGAATGACCCTCGAGCGTTTGAAGCGATTCGCCCGTCATTGCATCCCAAAGCCGGATTGTTTTATCGTGAGAGCCCGAAGCTACTTTTGTACCATCTGGTGAGAAGGCAACTGACGAAACCGAACCCGAATGACCCTCGAGCGTTTGAAGCGATTCGCCCGTCATTGCATCCCAAAGCCGGATTGTTTTATCGTGAGAGCCCGAAGCTACTTTTGTACCATCTGGTGAGAAGGCAACTGACGAAACCGAACCCGAATGACCCTCGAGCGTTTGAAGCGATTCGCCCGTCATTGCATCCCAAAGCCGGATTGTTTTATCGTGAGAGCCCGAAGCTACTTTTGTACCATCTGGTGAGAAGGCAACTGACGAAACCGAACCCGAATGACCCTCGAGCGTTTGAAGCGATTCGCCCGTCATTGCATCCCAAAGCCGAATTGTTTCATCATCTGAGCCCGAAGCTACTTTTGTACCATCTGGTGAGAAGGCAACTGACGAAACCGAATCCGAATGACCCTCGAGCGTTTGAAGCGATTCGCCCGTCATTGCATCCCAAAGCCGAATTGTTTCATCATCTGAGCCCGAAGCTACTTTTGTACCATCTGGTGAGAAGGCAACTGATTTAACCCAATCCGAATGACCCTCGAGCGTTTGAAGCGATTCGCCCGTCATTGCATCCCAAAGCCGGATTGTATTATCGTGAGAGCCCGAAGCTACTTTTGTACCATCTGGTGAGAAGGCAACTGATTTAACCGAACCCGAATGACCCTCGAGCGTTTGGAGGGCGGCACTCCAATTTGATCGTGTCCTTGATATTTTATAAATCCAACTTGGAATATATTCTTGAAATGTTTTTCGAATAATACTATTCTCTGGAGCAAAGAAAAGAGCTGAGCAATAGATTTGAAGAGGAGCTTGTTCAATTCCTATTCGATTGTAAAGGACGAAGCGTTTAGCGTCATGTATGAGAGTATAGAGTTCAGAACCTTTGTTAGCCTTTATTATCTATTAGCTGAATTCCTAAAAGAACTACCAAATAGTATTGACACACTAGAATATAAGACTCTAAAGAACTTATTGCGTTAATGCCCTCTGAAGTTTTCTCCATCAAGCTCATAACCTCCAGCCAATGTAGCAAATGATTTTTCAGGAATTCATAAATATTGCCGTTATCTTGAATGTGTTCTCTGTTTTGTTCAGGATCTCCATCTCTTAAATGGTTAATCCAGTAAATACAGGAATACCGTATAGAAGCTAATATATCGGGATCGGGCTGTTTGACTTTATCAATAGGAAAGCCAGGATGACCCAAACCGTATATATCGCGTTTTAGAGTTTTTCTCATAACTATTATCGAATTTAGAAGTGCTTTGTTATGAACTTTCCCAATTCCATCAGGAAATATTGTTTTAATAGCCTCTTTAGAAAGGAAATCCTTTGCTGATTGGTGAACAAAGAATACATTCCTATTACGAACAACCAGAAAGGAACCACAAAGTTGTATTATTTCCTCTAGCGGAATCTCATTATTCATCTCCATCAAGGACATTAGTTCGTCAAGCGCAAGAGGCCGATATGCTATTACTACAATAGCCAGGATCTGAAGGCATATCTTAGCTGCCTCGATATCTTCCATATCTACTATCTGTTCCATCATACGATTATATAAAGGATCAAGTTCGGAAGGGTAATCTTGCAGCTTTGAATTCGTGAATAATCGAGCTTTTTCAAGATTTTGACAAACTAAAGCCACCCAAAGAAAAGTTCCATTTGCATGTTCTAGGAGATAACGTTCGATAGTATCCTTTGTCTCCGTTGTGTATTTTTTTGTTCTCGCAAGATATTTCACCTTCTCTCGGATATACCACCTGACAGCAGCAGATACTGATTCAGCATTCAGCTCGAGACTGAGCCGGGTTCCCTGCTCGGCCTGTTGTAACTGCTCTTCGATTTCGGGCCAGTTCCGACTAGAGACAAGCCATTTAACACGAGAAGAAATGGATAAGCCCGAAACAATTAGGCGAAGTAATTGTGGCAGGTCTTTTTGGCATTCGTCAAGCGCATCAATAATCAAGATCGTCGGCTTCAAATTCTTATCATGCAAGATATCCTTCAAAATATCAGAGAGTGCTATAAAGGTATTAGCATCTTTGAACAACTGTTCCCCTGCCTTCTCATATCTCTTTTGTAAATGCGAAAGAAGGGCAGGCTGCCGATCTAGAAGCATATAGATAAGGCCACGTAGAACAGCTACAGCACTATTAATGCGTGCATCAGTGCCTTGGCAAAAGAAATAGGCTAAGGCAGTCTCATCCGATCTCTGCAGCTCATTTATTATACCACAGAGCAACATGGTCTTGCCCTTACCAGGATCTCCTTTAATCCAAAGTAGGCGATTATCTCGGTTAAAGTGCCATTGTTGAAAATCACTATTATCGAAAATCCAATTATATACATTATCAAGTAGTCCTCCTTTAGTCTCTTCGATACGTCTCTTGTCTAATTGTGGATCGGTGGTTCGTAGGTCAATTAGACAGCGGTTTTGCAAGGTGTGAGTATTGATATTAATAGATCCTCCTCTAGTATTAAAGTTTGGTGCATTGAATTGTAACCCACCCGCATTTGTAAAATTGCCTTGCAGGTCATTCTTTATACCGGGTAGATCTCGAATTTCGTGTTCGCAGAGTTGTGAATTGAATGTGGTGGTATTCTCGGTGGAATGTTCATCACGGAGGGATATATTCTAATATTTTATGAAATTAGTATTTGTATGTTAGAGAGGGTGTAGACCTTGCCTTATTCAAACTCAGATTGCGAATAACTTGTCGGAGGACGCCCAGAATAGCACGATATTGTGACTCTGCTCTATTACTACATCTTGCCATTTCCATATGGTTTGCATTGATACTCTCAACCGTTTCAAGGGTTTGTGGTAAATCGAGTTTTGAAGAGAAATCGTTAACTATCTGTTGTATGATTGGGTTAATATAGATGCGAAAATATAAGATTATTTGATCATTTACTTTACCGTGTAACCCCTTTATGCCCGATGTTGCCTGTGCTTCCTGAAATGAATGAATCTTGATACCATACTCGCATACAATCGTTTTAAACCCTTTATGAATATTATCGAGGAGCTCGCTATTCACCTTTAATGGTTCCAGAATCTCCTTATCCGAGTCTCGTAGGGCTAGTCGAGCAAGGTTTGATGCGATTTCGCCCCATCCAGCATATATGCTCCCTCGATGTGGTGTCCCAAGAAAGATGACTGATTTGGTACGCCTGTGAACTGGTTGAGAGCTGTGTATCGCCTTGGTTCAGAAGTTAATATTTATTACCGATCATTAATTTCAAAGCGAACTCACATCCTTTACGATAATGCCACCTAAACTATGTGCTACAAACACAAAAGAATCCTGAAATCATTGTTAATACCTTTTCACATCTTATAAAGCAATTATAGTATAATCTACCTCATTTTCGATCTCTCCCTTAATCTTCTCTACAAGATCTCTGCTATGCTGTAACACGCTGTTCTGATTGTTGGCCTGGAACAAGCCATCAATCATGTCTGCATTGTATCCATATGTCCATACTCTAGCTTCATGTATATCCTCAACAAGATAATCTTGAAGCCAGAATACTTTGCGTATATCAGATAAACTTTGGCTGGTAGTAGATGACCCGGAAGGCTTATAAGACTTAGACCTGAAGAGAGATTTGAAAGAATCGAAAGATTTGAGAGATTTGCGAGATTTTGATTTGTTCGACGCTGCAGAAGCCGAGTTTATATCTGTATTAGACACTTTTCGGCCGGACTCCCATGTATACCTTGGATGTCCCCTTAAACCATGTATGAAAATGATACTATAAGAGTTAATATGTTGCACAATTGTATTGCAGAAATAGAAAATAGAAGGTAGCTTGAGTGGGTACTTACTTGATCTTAGCATTGTTGTTGTCTGATAGCTGAGTAAAGCCAATACGGTGCACGTCCATTATCCTGATGTTCGAGCTATATAGATATGATATGTACTGTGTAGATATTAGTTGGAGTCGTTCAATGAAGCTTTGAGGCTCCCCACTTGGTATTATGTTAGCTTGGTATCAACGCATGGACCATAACACAGCCACTTCCAATAAGCCTCAGTAGGCAAGTCTAAAGTTCATACCTACAGCCTTATGAAGCATTCAACCTTCCATCTCAGGATGTAGGTAGAAACGCAATCATGTATAGATTATTAGCAGAATAAAAAAGTTCGATAAGGCAGACGCACGAGTGGAATATTTGTTACGCATCATACAATAATGGGTGCCAATTACGACGGCCTCTAGCGACGGCTGTTGCTCCTACCCTACCCCATCTGTACCGCGACCGGTTCGAATTCCTTTACAGCTTCTGCCTGCCATTCCTTTCCCGAGCCCTCCAGCCTCAGTTTTCTTTCCCCCCAAGATTTTAACACTCAGATGGACGGGACTCACATGGAGGCGACGTGTAGTCGGTGCAAAGAGCGGTGGTTTTTAATGGATTTAAAACGTGGCCTTTGCCATACCTGTTTCTTGAGAGATAAAGGAAGACATACCCCCTATCTAATGTCTATTTCCCCTTCCCTTTTTCTTTATCTTTATCTGTAGATTCGAAGTAATTGATTAAATCCTTTCTAATGATTATTCTTTAAAAATTCATTGGTCCACCACCTGTGTTGAAATTACCACCATTAAATTGCTTTCCACCATTAGTAGAAAAATGGCCTGAAAAGCTAGCTCCTTCGTCACGACTATTAATTTCATACCCATTTCCATTCCCATTCTTGCGATTAGCTAGTTCTTGATGTGCATTATCACAAAGATTGGTGATGACATCAGAAAGTTCTCTCCAATTTCCATCCTTAGGGTCGGAAAACTTATTGAGTTGGTAATGATCGAGTGGCAGGCCATATCGTTCACAGCCATCTAAGATAGCCGACTTTTCATCCACAATAAAATCCTTATAATCATCTCCGAACATTTTGGATACCTTGGAGCTTTTTTGTTCAAAAAAGCAATGTACTGGAATATTCTTTTCATGAGCCACCATTGAAAACCCTTGTACTGCATCCAATACCATTTCGTTATTAGCTTCTAATGCGATTAATGAGGCTGCTTCTCCTGCAGCACCAGCGCGGATAATTCTTTGCAGAAGTTCGCTCGAGGTAATATTATCAGTGCCTCTATGTGGTGTACCCAGCAATATAACCCCTATCGTAAAATCGAGTATTTTCGACATTTGAGGTTTGATCAAAGCCTTCATCTGAAGTTAGTAACAGGTAAATTCATAGTTTGCTAACCAAAATACCTTTTCAATCACAAGACCACCAAAACAATGCCCAATAAACACTAATGGTCGTGAAGAACAATTCTAGCAATCATTAGCTTATAATATAAGTCACATACGTTACATTACCCTTCTTTACCTTTCGTTGTCGCAAAACCTTTCGTCTCAAATCATCCGCAACATGGTCAAGACGAACTTTGATAGCATTATCGCCATACCAGTTACTATCATAATTGAAGGCCATTATTCGGACATTGGTGATATCTGCTGGAAGCATTGTTGGGTCGCTTAACCAATTAACGCGATCCTCGGATTTATTCGTCGGAACAGAAGGGGGTGCAATGCTAGATTCGGTATTACGATCGATATGTTCTTGTGGTTTCCGTGCTTTGGTCCAGGTCGTTATTGGTGTGGCCCCAAGTCCATGAACAGCCACTATACTTTATAAGAGTCAGTATTCGAAGATAGGATTATTCGAAGGTAAGGTGAAATAAATAAGAGTATATACTCAACAAGAGGGCTTTCGCAATCGACAAGTACATGGATTCCCAAATCTTGCGGATCAATCTGCCTTGGCATCTTCAAAGTTTCCATTTTAGCTTTGCCTTCTACGTTTCGCCTTGGGTTTTTTGGTGTATAACTATATAAGACAAACAACAATTGATTGAGCAATCACGAAAAGATTGGCATACCTCAAGAGAAGTATCGATTATTATGCCCTCAAAAATTTCTCGAGGATAGATTTCCAACAAGAAATAAGAAGGCTATGTTGAGGCTGTATTCTATGTGCTGTTCATATTCAATTGATGCGATTGGAGTATTAGTTATGCAAGCTGACACACTTTGGGCAGGCAATAACGCCGAGGCAGACACGATGCTATAGTGCACATATGTACTCGGTTTATATACGAAACCCATTTTCAGCGTGAATTTGGTATATTCAACTTAACTATTATCCCCCCCCCCAAAAGCACTCCTGGTACATTCTTCTACATCGTGAATATTACACTGAGCTCAAATGCAACGATAAGATAACCAGCAATATGAGTATCAGTTCAACATCGCTAAAATACCCATTCGAAAAAGAGCACGAATTGCATAATGGACTACATAATCCAAATGAAGCTCAGCGACTACCTGGCTATCCTCAAATTTTGCTTCAAGATACAATGGAACTGGCAACCTTTATATCTAAAGATCTTCGTACACCAATATTAGAGAAAATCTCCCCTCGTCTATGGTGGATGTCCACACAATCAAGCGCACATATTGGACCTCTCCATCATCAAGGTGTTAAATTACGCGATATTATCATTTCGGAGAATCCTGAGCTTCATCTGATTTGGTATTACGACAAGATCTTCATCAAACCTGTACCAAAATATTTATTATCTTTCGATTTCTGGCATACCTATCTCATATCACCAACTTCGCCCTTGGGCTCAGAGAGAGAGATTATTAAACGCTCAGCACTCGGCTTTCTTCGTACTTATCGATATCTCGTACAGTATGAATCCGATTTCAATATTGCCATAGAAAGGAGGCTTTTACCGGAAGCAACGACATGGGAATCCTTCTCCAGACTTGTTTCAGATCTCCGCAGAATCGATGATGGCGATGTTACGGGACGTTATGCATTTGGGGAGATACGCCTTTCAAGATTGAATTTGTATATCAAGATTATTCTTGGGAAAAGCACTTTTCATAAAGTCTATGGCCAATATGGTGCTTATTTTGGACGTTTTTATGGTCCTGTTTTGTTCATTCTTGGAATAGTATCAATTATCTTGAATGCTTTACAGTTGGAACTGGCTGTAGAATCTCTTGATAGTACTCCATGGCAAAGTGTTCGGGATATAAGCCGATTCACTAGTGTTCTAGTAGCAGCTATACTTTGTGGGATTGCATTCGTGTTATTTTTACTACTTGTATTCCGAATCGCAGCGGAGTGGTTTTATGCTTGTCGTGATCGGAGACGGCAAAGGCGAAAACTTGATCATATTCTTTAAACATTTTCAATGCCGACCAAGGGGAGATGGTTGAGACAAGAGGAAGGTTATCACCTTGATCCAGGCCATAAATCTATACGTTTTGGGGTTATATATGCAGCTTTAGTCTTCTTAAAAAGAATATAACCTCAAATTGGTTTTCATGTGACCACTTTGCTTCCGTCAAACCAGTTAGAAAAGACACGAAAATAATTAAACTCATAGTGCCGATCATATCGTTCAATAGGCTTCTATAATAAACTCCATCGAAATCACAATCAAGAAATCATCCCTTAGGAAAACATTACCAGAAAGGATATCAAGCAACGATCATTTGATGCATACTTGGGTTTCAGATTCTAATCGTGTGATTTTCTCTATCATACTATATTTACAACATAAATACAATGATGCCTGAAGAGGCAAAGGCGCCAGATCGCAACGTTTTTGCCCGTCTGCGGTTTTTTGACGGTCACATTACTGGATTATGCCCTTTACAATACTACAAATAGCTGGGAATAAGGGACATCATCATCATTACGATAATCACCACAAAATCATCTCTTTAGAGAAGTTCTTTAGGAAATCGGGTGTGATTTACCAAATTTCGATGTTTGTGCAGGAGTTTGTGTGTCGAAAGGCTTCGGTCAAGGTTTATCATACAAGAAATGCATCTTTTTTTCAATTCGTTTCAAACAAGCAAGAATAATTCCTTTTACCGCTTGTCCCATTTGTTGGACAATGCCTGGCCCAGAATGGCTTACAATCTCATATAATTCGATCGCCGTGAACATTCTTCGCTTTGGAACTATGCTAATATATGTTGCGAAAGTCGGGTGTGTTATAACAAAATATTGAAGCGCAGTCGTTAGGTTGATCCATGGTTTGTCTTTCTTGATATATAAGGTTGGGAATTCCGAATTCCAGTATACTTCTTTCTAATTGAAATGGATGGGAGACAAGATATTGGTCATTGTTAGTATCACTTCGGTGATATTAATCGATTACTACTAATATAGTATTTTGTATAATATTTTATTCTGTTTATTTATTATGCTATAAAAGAAGGGGCTATTTATATTAAAGAGAAGTGTAGAGTCCAGTAATAGTACAGTTCTATATGAGGTTAATGGTATCTACCAGTAAGCTGAAAGCCTGTGCGCAAGCGATCAGATTCCTACAATTTAGTATGGCATTATGGTGACCTTATGATCGAAGGTACACCACTTCAGGAAACGTGTGGTATTCCGACACTTTCCTTCCTCAAGGTTCAATACATTCCGTCAATTTTCCCCGCCAAGGATCAGTTCTGCCTCCAACAAATTTCGCTATCAAGAAGTGCCTAAAGAAAATATTCTTTTGGATATGATTATGGATCTGAAAGTTTTGATTGACTGAGCTCAAGGGCGAAGGGCATATAAAACTTGATTGTATATTAGCCAGAAATTCAAGAATATATCTGTCGGAATACTACACGACTTCTGCAATGGTGTGCACTTTCGATCATAAGGTCACCATAATGCCATATTAAATTGAAGGAATCTGATCGCTTGCGCACAGGCTTTCAGCTTATTGGTAGATAACATTGACTTCATATATGGAACCGTACTATTAGCGTACTTTTACACTTCCCCTTGAATATAAATAGTCCCCTCCCTTTTATAGAGTAACAATCAAGAATGAATAAAAGCAATACTATAATAGTACTATGAGAGCTAGTATCACCGAAGTGATACCAACAGAAAGGTATGTTGTTGCCGGTTCCATGCCTAGTTTCACAACTGTAAAATTGAGGAACAAGAGTTCATAATTTGGTTTAGTACCCAAAAAAACAAAATTCTAGTAAGGAAAGAGGGTTCCTTCTTGAGAGCAACTTCAATATAATGATAATGAATAACGTGGTTTATCAGCGAGCGGGCCATATCACCGAGCGGGCCACTTTTACCTCAATTTATCATTTCAACCCCATATTATTTAACAACAATTAAATCAATTGATTGAAACTATCAAGAATCTAATAATCTAGGATCTATTATACTATTCTGACAAGTTCTTGAATTATGACCAGTCTTTCCACACTTACTACAGCATCGACTAGTAGATGATTCCCTATTAAAATTTCCCTCATTTTGACGCTCGTCGCGTTGAATCTGATTATCAACCTCTTGTTGTGATAATATATATTCAGCTTCTTGTCCAGTAAGTACTCCTCCATTACGTAGTTGAATTTTTTTAGCGCGTCGACGTTTACTTAATGCCTCATTTGCTCTTCGAAGCATACGATTCTCAGCACTCAAAAGTGTAACTTCATATGCTAATCTCTCTGTACCTTTAACTAAAGCTTGTACAGTCTCAAATATAGGTGTAGGAGAGCTTGATTGATGACGAGCTATTCGAGCTTTTACTAGAGTTGATTGTAAGAGAGCCTCAGTTGGATTATGAGGAGTTTGAGAGATCCAGGAGTTGGTAAGTTCCAAGGAGGTAGATGGAGGGGTAGAAGTACGAATCCTAATATCTAGTTTTGAGAGTATAGATTGAGGATCGAATGGTATTAGACCTGCTCCTCGAAAACCAGCTTTCATATTCTGAATAGTAAATGATTGTAAATATACAGCTTTAAAGACTATAAAGAATTCAACCTTGGTAATATGATTGATATAAGCTTTGATAAATCCTTCAATTTGATAACTATATGAACGTTTGAGTACGCCAAAACACCCAACATCGAGTGGTTGAGTTAAATGACTTGAATGTAGTGGTAATTTGAGGCATATAATATCATTTGATTTGCAATATGATTGAAAAGGTATTGATTCATAACTTTCGTGCCCATCCAATACTAGCATTCGATATTTGCCCTTCCTTTGACGAATAGTATGTTTATCGAAATGCTTTAACCATTCTAACCCTGTCTCATTATTCGTCCATCCATTGGAAGTAGGTTTAATAGCCCAATCCGCAGGAAAATCGGTTTCGGTATACCAATTGGAAAGATGAACTTGTCCTTGAACTACCAGAAATGGAGGTATAGTTTCACCCTCTCCATTACCACATATAATTGCCATAGCCCACTCTCGATTACCTGATTGTATTGCCTTGCTTCTGCCATTTCGTTCAGCACTAGTTACAACCATTCCAGGGCATATTATACCTATCATAAAGCCGGTTTCGTCGAAATTGTAGAAATCGGAATCGATAATACCATATGTGTGAACGAAGTGAATGACTTCAATTCAATTACTACTGTAATAAAGAACTAAGCGAACGCGAAAGAGACTAGCTCTTTTAGTAAGTCTATATAAGACTTACTACTTTCAATATGTAGCTAGCTCTTTAGACAGAATACAACTAGACATACAGGACCTACGTAATCCGTGGGTGCTACGTCTTCCGTATCCTTCTCGTACCAACAGATACCGAATCGTTTCAAATAAGATTTGAAGTATCCGTGTCCAATTTTGAGTTGGAACAGAGCACAGATTGTGCTTCTTTTGATGTTTCCTGGAACTCTGATTTTTGAGCTGATCTTCCAGGGGTAGTTTCTTGAATATGTTGACGATGGTTGATGAAAATTGTTAGTGTTAAGGATGGCTATCCAGTTCTCTGATTTCATTCTTTTTATATCCATTCCAATGGAGGCATAACTGGTTTCGTGAGATGAGGATGGTATTTTGGTCGCCTCTTTTGCAAGAGAATCAGCTAGCTCATTTCCTTGTACAGATGTATGTCCGGGGACCCAATTGAGAGAGATTTCGGCTCCTTTATTTTGAATAGCTTCCGCAGCTTTTATAGCTTTGATTTGACATGATTGACCAGGTAAATCGGAGGGGGTTTTCAACCGGAATAATCCTGCTTGATTATCTGAGTATATCTTGAACTTGTTTCCTGGCTGGGCTATTGAATTTGTGTATTCGATCGCTTTAGTAACTTCTAGGAGTTCCCCATTATAGACAAGCTGATTTACATCTATATTGATAGTCTCTTGATGTGAAATTCGGCCATTTGGTAAGATGACCGCTATCCCGATCCCAACCCCTATTCCCTCTAAAGTGAATGAGGCATCGGTGTATATTATAATGGTATTTTTGCACCTATATTTGAAAGCCAGATTGTGGATCATCGCAGCTTCTTCTTTTCCTAATTTGCTGATATTGACTTTATGTAGAACTTCTTTCTTCCAAGGAGGAAAGTAGAAATGATGGATTCCTTCTAAAGTGAGAGGATCGAAGTCTTTCTGAATTGAATTTTTGATCTTTTCGAGTTGAGTAGGTTTTAATTGCTTTCTTTGAGGGGTTGCAACTACATCTTGATTCTCCTTTTCTGTAGCCAGCTTTGTAGCTACTAAATTGACAGGATGAGAAGGCGAGATTTTCAATAATCTAAATGCGTATTGTTTGATTCCAGCATTTAGCCGTACTTCTGGAGGGCACAATGCGGCTTCTATTTCCATTGGTTTTATTGGTGAGGTTTTGAATACTCCTAGGATTTTTCGAAGGGCGAGGTTTTGCAAGGATTGAAGGATTTTCTTGAATTGGTTTTGCCCTTTCCACCATAAAATTGAACCGTAGTCAGCTATGCTGGTGACGCATGCCATATAGAGCTGTCTCATTGCCTTGGGACTAAGGCCTTTTTCAGAATTAGCAAGTCTAGCCATTCGGTAGAATGAGGTTTTAGCCTGGGTAGCTCGGATTGTGACATGTTGTTTGAAACTGAGGCCAGGGTCGAACCATATGCCTAGCCATCTGACTATTGTTGAGGGTTGAATTATCTCCTCGTTCGGAAGCTTGATTGAGGCTGTCTTCGTATCTTTGGATGTAGAGAAGTGTATTAGTTCCGTCTTCGCTAGATCAAATTGAATAGCATTTTCTTTGCCCAGAGCATATATCTGTTTAGTTGCTCTTTCGAGGGAGATGATGTTCTTTTTCCAGGATGTTGAAAATGTTGTTAAAGCTATATCATCTATATATGAGAGATATTTGATCGAATTTGCTGAGAATAGATCTCGAATATAAATTAAGAAGAGGATTGGCGAAATAGGGCTGCCTTGGGGGATCCCGGTATTGATCGGTTTGAAGGTTTCAATTTGGCCATCGAATGAGAGCTTGAGTAGTCTTTCCTTCAAAAAAGATGAGATCCAGGCGATTAGGCTGGTTGGGAGGTTTAGGTTCTTGCAGATATCTAATAATTTGTTCATAGATACATGATCAAAGGCGCCTTTAACATCCAGGAAGAGAGTTGAGGTTTTCTTCTTGGATCTTGAATTTCTTTCGATTTCGGTAGTGAGTAAGATTGCTGTATCGATGGCTGATTTCTTTTGTCTTCCACCCATTTAAGAGTAGTGAAGTAATTGCGTAGTCTCCGCTAAGTAGCTAAGCCTTTGAGCCAGAATTCTTTCACTTATCTTGCCAAGGCAATTTAGTAGGGCAGTGATAATATTATATTTGCAAATCTATGAGTCTTTTATAATATATCCAGTGAGACTACAAATATAAGTAAGAGTAACCAATTCTTACCATGCTTTCCCAGATACAAGATGTCAGTCTCAATATCCTTTGAGAAGGTTGCCCCCAGGCAAAAACAACCTTTCTACACCTATTATCCTGTTTGCTCCCTAAGTCTACCCGGTATCTCCATTGCCAGCTGCCTTGTACCCTATTGTAGACCGATACGCGCATCCGTCCTCTCGAGCCGTATAGACAGTGTCACTGTCGCTGCCATTATACGCTACGCCCCGCGGCTTGTGCACCGTTTCGCGTTACCTTGCCGGATCTCTCCTACACAACAAGGCCGACCGTATCTTGCAAGCTTTGCTGTGTCTTAACCCCTAGCCAGGCAACTAAAAATACAACGTTTCCAGCTCACTAACCAAAGCACAGCCTGCAAAGTCCATTCCCCCAATGTATAGTTTGTAATCGATAATGCGGAGGGTTGAGAACGTATCGGATATATGTCTCATAAGGTAGCTTCTGCCAGAGCTCATCCGCTGCCGTGATGTCTGCCGAATGCTTCGCAGAAGAGTGAATCTTGCTAAAAGCATCCCCCTCGTTCGAGAGTTCCTCTGCCGCCATGATACCGCTCTTGTACATTCGTAGAGCAAAGTGCCAAAAGCGTCCCTCCATCCCTAATCCACCCATACCTCCGTTGGCCTCAATAAGACTCTACCACAACCTTTATACATTCTCGATTACTCCCCTTAACCACCTGTAAACTTCCAATCCGGTATACCCGCAGATTGTACGCATTGTTGGGTTGTGAAAATTCTGCACGCTAGCGCCCCAGAGGTGCCCTGTCAATCACCGGCACAACGCTTTCCTTCTCAGGCTCTGCTCCCACACAGATTCGTAAAGGCAGTCCGCTTTGAAATGCTCCTTAAAGCAATTCTCAGGCTCTGCATCCCACTGCAGATTCGTAAAGGTGGTTCCGCTTCGAAATCCGTCGTTGTTTCGTTGATTGTCGGGTAGTTTTCATCTCCGTTCGACTGATAGTCCTCTGTTCCGGGCCAAATTCACGATACCTTCACTCCCAGTACCGCTCCTTTTTAAAGCACGACCTTTGCCCAGCTTCAGCCTGATTCAATCTTGGCTCTGTAAGAAAAATTACAGGTTCGTAGGATGCACCACGTACAGGTGTTGAATCATCGCATCCCGAACTCCTTTGGTCCAACCTGTGAATCACAATTCAAATCAATTATCAATCCTAGACTTCATGTAAAAAAGTCATTTATTGTTTGAAATAATCCTATTAAAGCTTGCCGCCATCATAGCTCCTTGTCATCATTCATAAATTATCATTAAAAATCAAAGTGTAGTGGTGGACTCCTCTCTACTCCGAAGTTTTGGCCCCTTTTCCTTAACCGAAAATCTAAAGCCAGTGCTTATTCACCATCACCGTCTCTATCCCTGTCCAAATCCCTGTCGCAATCCCCATTCTAATACACTAATTTCTGATTTCCTCCGAACTCTGATCAAAGAAAGATAACTCCAGCATGCTAACCTCGTCCCAAAACCTGCAACTTGAAATGAATTATTTTTTCAGAAGGTTTTCTTCCCTGCCAATCAGTCTCTCTTATTCCCACCAGTCTTTTCCGTGGTTGTAGCATTGTACAGCTCACCCAACTTCATTAAATTCTCCCATTGCTCCCCTTCCTTCCATTTATCATGTCTCTTCTCCAGGACTTTCTTACTGAGAGGAAAGCCTGTGACCATGCCATTTCTTGCTGCTCTAGCTTGATCTTCTTTTTCGGACTTCAGACATTCGACAGCTAGTTGTTGAATATGCTTTCGAGCTTCGCGTAGGGGAGCAGAGTTATTCTCTAGTTCTGGCTTTGTCGAATGGGGGAAGGATGGGGATGGACAACCGACTTGTTTCAAATCAAAGTATTCAAGAACTGCTTTGAGCCATTTTTGAAAAACATTTGGAAACTGATCCATTTGGCAACTGAGCAGTAAGTTGGCTTGAGCGGCCATGATGGCTTCGATTTGAAAGTCGGGGGATGACACAGCAAGTGGAATGAGCTTCATTTCAGCTTCATCCAAAGAAAGTTCGAAGAAGGCTTCAAACATGGCTTCCCATTCGAAAGGAGATTCATTATCTGCCATGAAACTCCGACACGCATCCATGCAACCCTTCAATGTTACACGATGCACCTCAATATTTCGTGCTTGCCGAATTCTCCTAGTGACTTCCGAAAACATGCCATCTGGTGTGTTCTTGTCCAAAGTTACATGTACCATGTCTCTTAGAACATTTAGGAATTCACTTTGACAAGAGATAGCGTGTATGTTTGAAACTTTCATCTTCAAATCTCCCAGTTCCATCTTCACATCTCCAAGTTCCATCTTCACATCTCCCAGTTCCATCGTCACATTATCAAACCTCGCATTTAGTTCCTTCCTTGTGTCTTTCAGTTCCTTCTTCGTGTCTTTCATATCCTGTTGCATAGATACCAAATCCTCATGCTGAAGTTTAAAATAAGGTCCGTTGTTTGTTACTATGGCCTGATCACCTACAAAAAACTTGCGCAGGTTTTTTGCAATATTCTGAACTGCTTGTTTTTCGAGTGCAGGGAGTTTCTTGGAAATATTGGAATTGTGTTTAAGATTTTGAAAAGCAATATACATATTCTTTTCAAGTTGCAAGTCTTGGAAGGTTCGGATAGGAACAGTCTTCGTTCGGGATACATCCTGGATTGTAGAAAGAATCATTAGTTTGGAATTCAGTATAATTAACAAAAGATTACGAATTCGACGGCAGGAGATGTAAAATTGTGTCAACAGCAAAGGAAGAAATCATGATTAATATTAAAAGATTGGGTGGAAGAGGCCTCTATATTGACTATATTACTACGTCTGTAGGCATATTAAGATCTCCTCTTGGTATCCTCGGAGGGGACCAATATGCCTGCTTATGGTTCGTCTAATCTAGCCTGTTTAGGTAACCGTATTACTAATCACGACACGTGATTAGTACCGGTAACTTCTATTCCTTTTAACACTCCCCCATAGGAGTTACCACCTTCGATCTCCCCAATCCTCCGCATCTCTATTGTCTCAATCCTAACATCTCTTTGAACCTTTCGAATGCTACTCTTGCTAGGGGTTTGGTCATCCCGTCTGCTACCATATCTGACGTATTGATATAGCTAGTCACTACCTTTTCTTTTTCAGTAAGATCCCTGATAAAGTGGTAGCATATATCAATATGCTTTGATCGCTCATGCAGGTGCGGGTTCTTGGTTAGAGCTATTGCTCCTTGATTGTCGCCTAGTATCTGAACAGTGTCTCCGTGTGTAGATACGTATTCCGCCTTTCCAAGGTCTTTGAGCATTTGAGCTAACCATCTCCCTTGCTTGGTGAACATCGCCATTGATATGTATTCGGACTCAGCACTTGACGTTGCTACTGAATTCTGCTTCTTGCTAGCCCACGATATCGGTCCTCCATAAAACATAGCAACTCCCCCAGAAATACTTTTCCGATCATATCGATCACTTGCCCAATCTGCGTCAGTGAAGACTTTTATAGTATCTGCTGATAGGTTGTATTCCTTTGCGATTTGGTACTGTACTCCCTCAGGTCCATATTTGAGTTTCTGAGTGATCGTAGCTCTCAGGTATCGCATTAGGTTCTTTACTCCTATCCCATGGCATTTTGCTGGCTTTGCCATGTACTGTGATAGCCGGCCTAGTACGAAGGAGATGTCTGGTCTTGTGTATACCATTGGGTGAATAAGACTACCTATGGCTTGTTGATATTCAGTAACATCAATCAGTTCGTCATCTTCAGTAGCGGGTCGTAAACATGAGTAGTCGGCAGCGGGTATCTTCTTAGCATGGTGCTGAGCGTGCGAGATTCCGAATTTGGTTAGCATAGCTTCCAGATACTCTTCTTGGTCCAATGTGAGTGATCTGTTTGCTCGATCTCTTATAACTCTAATGCCTAGAATCTTACTAATCTCCCCCAGGTTCTTGGCATTGAAGCGCGAGGAGAGTATTACAGAGAACCAATCGAGTTGATTCTTTGAAGTCGAGGAGGCAATTATATCATCAACATATACTAGCAAATTGAGTTGGCGAGCGGCGAATGTATAGAGACATGGGTCAGCGAGACTCTGAGTGAAGCCCCAATTGATCAATTCGGACTTTAGAAGTTGACTCCAATCTCGTCCCGCTTGCTTAAGGCCATATAAACTTCTCAATGCGCGTAAAACGTACCCATTTGATACATTGACTCCTTGAGGTGGCGCGAGGTATATTTCTTCCTTGAGATGAGATTCTGTAAAAGCGTTCTTTATATCGAAGTGCCAGCATTCCAAGTTCTCTTTCGCAACGATCGCTAAGAACAAACGGAGTGTATCGAGTCGTACTGTAGGAGCGAAGGTCTCATTGTAGTCTTTTCCGAGAACTTGACTAAACCCTCTTGCTACCAGCCGTGCTTTGAATCTCTCGACCTTGTTGTCCTTCGTCTTTATTGTGAATACCCATTTTGTTGAAACAAGATTCCCTCCTTTCGGCAGAATATACTCTTCCCAGGTACCATTTGCAATCAATGAGCTGATTTCCTCTTCGATAGCTCGCTTCCATTTTTCACCATATTCAGGGTCCGAGACTGCCTGATTATATGTGTTAGGAATAGGGATTCCTAGAATCTGTTCTGCGGGGAAAGCTGTATCCTCGTCTGTAGAGCTCCCTAAGATCACTTGAAGGTTTTCGGATAGTTTTGTTTTAACGCTCGGGTCGATCCTAGATGTAAGGGGTATGGAGATCATAGCATGTTCGATAGCACTTCCATCAGGGTCTGCTGAGAGTATCGCTATCATTGCTCTTATCAGTTTCTGGACATGCTCATCTGGCTCACTATCGTCTCGCTTGCGTTTCCGAAAAGAGTATCTTTCAGGGGTGTCTATATCCATAGGTGTAGTTGAGGTTTCGGTTGAGGATTGATTGGTTACAGGTGCAGTATCTAGTATGTCTATCTCTTTTGTTCCTGGAGATAGTATTGGGTCTGTGGATGGATCGATTTCGATGATATTCCCTTCACTGTCTTCGTTGAATTGCTGGATATTGTCTACTTTAGATGCGCTGGGAATTACTACTTTCGGGGGTTCAGGGGTAGCAGTATCTTGTAAGGATTCGAGTGGGGATTCTTGTACTTCTTGTACCTTGTGAGGTCTACCTCTGGGTCTCCTATCAGGGATGATATTTTTTGTACCTTGGGGTCCTGATACAGAGTTTCTTATTCTTAGGTCTAAGTCTCCGCCCTTTTTGGATTCGTCTATAGTCACTCGGCTTGCTCGTACAGTGTAGCCTAGCTCTGGCGAGTACACCTTAACATGCTTATTGGTCGTGTGCGAGTATCCCATAAAGATGCCTACTCGAGCTGTATCTCGTAATTTGTCGTGCCGTTGGTCCTTCGGGATTGTCTTTGGATTGATATATGCATAACACTTGCTCCCCCAGACTCTACAATGGGTGATGTCGGGGGTTGATCCAGTAAACGCTTCGATTGGGCTTACAACGCTGTCGTCAATGATCGGTCCAGTGTTCGTTCTATTCCTGCAGTGTGCATCATATTCAACAGCTTCGTCCCAGAATTCCAATGGCAATCCAGCTTCCTTTAGCATAGCTCTCATATCGGCTTCGGCAGTGCCGATGTTTCTTTCAGCAGTTCCATTTTGATGAGATGATGCTACGGTAGTCAGTTCTGATCGGGTCCCAGAGTTCCACTCCTTAACGGCTTGGATTAGCTCTGGTGCATTATCAGTTCGAGCGGCTACTATCTCATCACCAATGCCAAGTTCTAATTCGGTTTTCCATTTCTTCAATCTCGGTATAGCTTCATCTTTTGTCTTCAAGGTCAAAATCCAATTCACTCTTGTCCAGCTGTCTATGATCAATAGGAAATAGCGGTTTCCTCGTAAAGACCTTGGGAATGGGCCAGCGATATCAAAATGAATAAGCTCTAATCTTTTCGTCTTGTGAGGACTGAGTTGTTTTGGGATTAGATTCTTCATCTTGGTGAGCGCACACACTTCGCATACAGGGATTTTGGATGGGACTTTGATCGGCTTTCCCAGTGTAGTAACTTTATGGAGATTCCGTATTTTCTCTGGGCCAAGATGGTTAAATCGTCTGTGCCATAGTAGATAAGTTTCTAGATCCTTTTTGTTCTTGTCTAAGGAGGTGTCTAGAGTGATCTCGTTCGATTCAATATCACTAATAATCTCTGTGCTCTGTAGAGCGACATCTTCATATCCTTTCGCGATATCCGAGATCATATAAATTCCTCTATCCATTTTTGCTTTGATGATATTTATTCCATTCTTTCGAAAGTACATACGATCTGAATTGAACCTGCCCTTGAGTCCAGCTTCACAGATCTTCTTGCCGGAGAGGAGATTGACTCCTAATCCCGGTACATACAACGTCTTTGAGAGTAAAACCATACCACCATTTCCTAGCTCCATTGCAGCAGTACCTATCCGATCACAGTACATAACTCCCCCACCAACTTTTATCGTCTTTCTCTTTATCTTCTTGATATCTCTAAAGAGTGAAAGTTGATCAGACATGTGTGAGGAAGCGCCGGTATCTGCGTACCAACGAGAAGGGGTGGTCTTACGAATGAGTTCTTTAGAGACATGGCACTCTTCGTCATCAGACTCTTCTTCGCTTTCTGATGAATCGAGATCAACTAAAAGACTTTCGCCATCTGCAAGATGAGCTTGATTACTTCTTTTCTTAGGAAATGACACTTTGGTTGTCTTTCTAAGTGTTGCTTTCCGTTGCTGGGCTTTATAGTGTTTGCGGATCAGAGCTTGTGCGAGTGTGAGATCTTTGCAATCACGTAGAAAGTGCCCTTCGTGCTCACACAGGTGGCAAACATAGGTTTTGGCTTCATCGTCTTGTTCTTGCTTTGCAAATGGGCTTGATCCTCTGCGTTCTCCTCGTCGATTTGGGATTACGTACTTTCCGCTAGCAGTATGGGCTTGTTCTGTCTCTTGAATGCTGAGTTCTTTAGCTGTGAGATATTTGATCTTGTCTTCCACTGCTAGCGTGCTTTGAACGCTCATAGCATCGATTGTTGTTTGGTATTCGCTTGGTAGGCTTCTAGTCAGAACTAAAAATAGAGCTTCGTCTCTGTATGAATCCTTGAATGCGGGGTTGGCAGCACCAAGCTTGCGTCGGTATTCTTTCAGTTTATCCCAGGCTTCAATAACAGTCATCTCTGGATGGCTAGTAGGCTTGAAGGTAAATGTTTGGATCATTGTTAAGTACGAATTGGCTGTGATATCACTAGTTCTTGAGTACTTTGACTTCAGGTAGTTCCATAATGTTCGTGCTGTATCGTACTCATCAACAAGCGCTTCATCGTCGTCACTGAGTGATCTGCACATGTACGATAGTGCACTAGCTTCATCTTTCAAATATTTGGCCTTCTTATCGAGGTTAAGCCTGATGTTCACGACTTTGCTTCCTTCGAGGATCGGGAAAACTTCGGTACCATCGACTTCCATCCCAACTCCTCCAACCTTAGCATGCTCTTGCAATGTAGACTCAATCGTATAGAACCAATCCTTTCCTTTCAATTGTATTTTCATTTGTCGAAACCATCGATCGTGGGTCTCTTGGGTGAGGTTCGGGATGCTTTTCGTTTGCTCTTTGATTTCGTCCATCTTGGTATCTATGCAGAGAATTTGCAAGGTTTTTTCTTCTCTTTTTTCTGTATAGATAAATCCACACAGATTGTAAATATAAGTATAATTTGCACCGCGTGTTTTCTGTCGTACCGTGTACGTTTTATTCGTAAGTAGCACCGCGTGCTCTTTCAACTCCGCGAGTTGATGGTAGTAGTGATCACAGCACCGCGTGCTGATCGTAAGGTAGTGCCGCGCACTCTTCAACTCCGCGAGTTGGATTGTGATAATGATCGCGTCAATTATGTCCAGAGGCCATGCTAACCCGGGCTCATAACCTATTAAAAGATTGGGTGGAAGAGGCCTCTATATTGACTATATTACTACGTCTGTAGGCATATTAAGATCTCCTCTTGGTATCCTCGGAGAGAACCAATATGCCTGCTTATGGTTCGTCTAATCTAGCCTGTTTAGGTAACCGTATTACTAATCACGACACGTGATTAGTACCGGTAACTTCTATTCCTTTTAACAATTAAAAGTATAACAAAGATGTTCCAGATGCAAACATACCTGAGACCATAGTCTGGAGGAGCTGGAGATCATAGCAAGTGCTATGATATGACTTCGCGGAGAACTTCGAAAGGGGAGGTTGGGGAGACTGGATTTGAATCTGCCTTTGGTGATAAGAAGATGGCATGGCCTCAATACAAGATGACCGATCATGACGGGCCAATATGATGAAGGGATGAAGGACCAACGTGATGAAGGACCAATGTGAGAGTACTAGGTATATGAGTAAACCGTGGATTTGGGTGTATTGTTTGAGTTGGTAATTGCAAACACAAGAATCTACTTTATAGAAAACAAACATGGTGCATAGAACACTAGGAAGTATGCACCAGCGCTAGGGAATGGGCAGTAGCATCAAAAAGCATGCAGCAGCGCTAAAAGCTGTATGGTTATGTTAATATATGTTGTAATTGTTCCTGCCGAATGCACACGGGTGTTAACAGGCTCCGACATCCGGTAGATAATTCTTCCGAGATCTGAACCTATTCTCATCCCTTCTATACTAGTTTGTGTCTCGGCACTCTCTGTACTGGAAAAATTTGGGGTCCTTTGATTATATCCTGATATGAGAGACAACTACTCCTATAGACACACAACTAAAGAGTTGTCCTCAATCGTTCATGTTATCAACTCACTGCAGTTGTCACTATGGTTGTCAATGCACCCCTCACTGCACTTCTCACCGCACTTCCCACAATGAAAACTAAGGAAACTTCTTTTGAAAAACAAACACTCTTTCTTACATTCATTCTAATCGCTCCTCTCATTTCAACTATCATTTATAACAAAAATAGCATTCCCATAAATCAATAACTCCACAAAGATTAATTAAAATCATAAAAGTACTCTCGATTTATATCTCGCTCAAACAATCTCAATGAGCCCACTAGTCATGATTTGAATATTCGCATCAAACCGAAATAGCAGGATTGATTCAGATTTCAAGAATTTCTTTTTATCGAACTACGATCCAGACTTCAAAGTTCCTGCCCGATTACGTGCTCTAAGGATGCAGGAAGCCATTCCGTGAGTGTGCAGATATTTCATCCCTCTTTGCGTTTCAAAAAACGGGTTCTTGATTTATTTCTCTTTGATGACTGATATATAGAGTAGATTCAAGCTTTAGAACACGTTTGTATGCAGGTTCATAGACTGCGCAACGGGGCCCTGCGGGGCGGATTATTGCTCTGGTGGATAATCCACAGATGATCCGCGGCTTGCGGATTATCTCTGCACAGCCTACAGGTTTTCAAGATGGAGTTAACTATTCCTATTATGCATTGTAGATACTATCCACGAATTGGTCATGCGATGGACGACCTTCACCCATAGCCGCGCCGCCGAAAGGAATATCGCAGAAGTATGATGAAGTGTTCTCCCTCTAATATGCAGAGGCACTGGATGAATCTTCCATTTCTGCATTTGATAGGATTGGAAAGAGCAACCATGTAAACGAGTGTACGTAAACTAATGCGTTTGCAACTCCTTATTCACCTCTCGATATGCATGGATACTAAGAGAATATGGCAGAAAGGAGAGAATCATGATCAAGTGCGCGCTTTTGGCTGCACTATCATATCACTACCTATACATACAGTTTTTCAGAGCGCTCGTCGTAGAGAAAAACTTGACTTCAATACATCAAATAAGGGAGAATTGTGAAGGAGTGGTGATAGGGAAAGAATTCAAACGGGGAATGCGTTGCTATAGATTCTGAAAACCATGGAAGCGATGGATGGCTAGATTGCTGGACTCGAAGGGCAGTGAACTGTGATACTGAAATGACATAATGTTATTGGCATGATTTTGAAATAAAGAAATGACTTTTCTTATAATTACTCGAGCACTCACTCTCTTTATGAACCAAATAATATTTCACCACGAACTACGGGGAAAATTCAATTCATAAAAAACTTCAGGTACTCAAAGTATTTGAATCTCTACTACATAGTTATATTATTGAAGACAAAATGAATTGAAAGTGTATGGAGATTCCCAAATAATTGGTAAAGAAGAAGAAGAGGAAATTGGCTCGACAGAGTAGTAATGTCGTCTGCTAATTCTACTTTGAAGTCAAATTCCATTGTTCGGCTACCTCAAGGTTGGTTGGCTAGTCACGGGTTTCGGTCAACTCGACATCGTTGTGTTTCACTTGGTGAGTACCGGAGAGTTGAACTCTAGCAACTCTAAACGGTGTCAGATCACACCAGATAGGGCTGAAGCTTTCCGGTATAAATATGATAGACATCATTATTTACCACTCGAAACGGGATTTTCATCAACATCACAAAAAGGCGGTGGCACAGAAGAATGCAATGTTCAAATGCATGACGGGGCTGATGGAAGACGAAAGATACAGATGGAAAAAAGAGACATTTATCTCCGAAACCTCTTTCTTATCAGTTAATCCGAAATCCGCGAGTATGCGGAATAACAAGTTGGGCAAGTCCTAATTGGGAAAAGAAAGAAACAAAAAATATTTGTCCTTTGGGTATTGAGAATCCTATGCCAAGGGTAGTAGTTCTTGCCCGACAGTTTGGATAGAAACTAGATCTTTATCTATATCCTTGAAACTACCTAGGCATGCTAACGCGTCTTTACAAATTACCAATTTTTAACCAAGATTGGAAGAATTGGAACGGTATACTATAACCTCATAGTAGGTAGCCAATCCAATAAGCAGCATTTGTACATGCACATGCACATGCTAATACTCGCGAGTCGAAACGGTTCGTGTCAAAAGAAGAGAGAATCTGGGACACTGGGATGATCCTTCTTCATTGAGTAAAGTCGTAAGCAATTCGTTATCCCATTTTTTATCTCTTAGTGTGGCCCATGGTCGAAATCGGGCAAACCGGCGCGGATTTATTTTCGATAGGCTCCCTTATCGTCGATGGGCGTGCTTCATCACCTTTTTACGATTGGATGAATGGGCTGACTGGATTCTCCACCAGACGGAAGTAGAAAGCTTGATATCGCCGCAAACAAGGATAAGCAAGGTTAGAAGGAGACCGGTAGGATAAGTTTCCCATCGGGTTGAGCGAGTGGCTTTAATAAATGCTCTGGATTTTATGCCGAGTTGACGGAGGTAACGTTATATTCAAAATTGAGTCATGTTGGTAGCCTTAGTGAAAATACCTACTCGTGATGAATCTGAAGGTTTAGTGATTTGATATTCAACATGTTTCTTCTCGGGATAAGAGATGATGGATGAGAGATAAGAATATGAGATATGAGATATGAGGGATGTATAAATGGAACTTGTGGATTAAAGATTGGCGGCTGTTATCTGATAAACAAAACACATTATTGCAAAGTTGATGGTTATCGCAAGGACCTCGGTCATACTTTTCGTCTAAAAAAGCTGGAGGGCGGTCCACAGACTACCTAGCATGGTCCACAATTTACTCTGTCCTGTCTACCAGGTATTTTACTCCGCAAGTCATATCCACATTCACCCCACCTGGGAAATGGATGCTGATGATTGGATGGAAGTTTTTGACATGCACACACGACCGGCTTACTCTCGCAGCCCACAACGTCACAATCAACTCATGAATTCATACCTAGTATGTCGGGCTGGGCATCACATGCAGCTCTATGCCCTGCCTTTGCCTGTTACATCGCAGCAGACGAGAAAAAGAGAGACCGAGACACAGACAGAGAGAGAGAGAGAGAGATTCGAGCACCTGCCAAATTGATTTGTATTTGATTGATGAGTGGCAGAATCCTAGAATCCAATTCAAGACTAGCTTATTTATTGGTCTCTCCCAATCAAGAAAATGGAAGAGATCATCAGGTTCAAGCACCAACAATTGGTTATATTCGATGTCACAAATCCATGTCCTTGCCTGCCTACCTACTCTATGCATTCTAAACAGATTCACTTGCTGCTAAGAGATACTGCAGGAGAGTGGGATTACTAATTTAGCACTACCCGTCGAGTCCATATGCAAGTATAATCACTGGGAGAAGGGGAGAAGGGGAGAAGTGTATCAATATTACAATAACGGTAGCCGTATTTGGGTTTAAGCTACTGACCCTAGCACAGAAAGCTTGACTTACTTTTATCTACCATTTACAGACTACCTACCTACCCACTTCTAGACCCCAGACTTTTAGGTAAAAGCTAGCTTCAATTTGACTTAGCTGACCTTCCATACGTCGTTACATTTCATTTTCATTTAAGACTGACTACTTGCCCGCCCTTTTTTTTTCTGGCCACATTTCTCACAATCTTCCTCAAAGATTCAAATCCCACATCTAATCTTTAGGTTCTTGTGCGATTGTCACTCAAGGAAAATGTTTAATCGGAACAAGAAATCCGCGGCCGAGGCCAATGATCTTACTGTCGATTCGAATTCGAGTCCAGGAAACAGTGACCCTCTCGCCGACATTCCAAAGACAAAATGGGAACGTCTTTGGCCAGCGATGGCTTGTGGTTCGGGATTATTCTCTGATGGTTACATCAATAACGTATGCTAATCTTCTATACTCCAAATTCTTCAAGTATAAAAGCATACTAACATTTTCCATGCAGGTAATCGGATCAGTCTCTACCATGCTCGGAAAAATTTACGGAAAAACATACACAGAATCTGCCGCCGTTAAAAACATCTCTGCGATTACATTTGCTGGTACTGTTGCTGGTATGATCATATTTGGTTACACCAGTGACAAATGGGGTAGAGCAAATACACTTACGCTGTCCACGGTGATTCTTATCGTCTTTGCTGCTCTTGGCGCTGGTTCATATGGATATCAAGGGAGTACAGGGGGTTTATTCGCTGCACTTGCTGCCTATCGTTTCCTTGTCGGAGTAGGAATTGGAGGAGAATATCCCGCTGGATCTGTGGGTTGTTCTGAGGCTTCGGGAGAATTAAAAGCTGGTACTCGAAACAGATGGTTTATTATCTTCACGAACGTCATGATCGATTGGGGTTTTGTTATCGGTGCTTTTGTACCATACTTGATGGTTGTCATTTGCTCTGAAGATCACTTGAGAGCTGCCTGGAGAATTTCACTTGGTCTCGGTGTTGTTCCTCCATTACTCTTATTCTATCTCCGACTCAAATTGAAGGAGCCAGAAGAATTTCAGAGGTATGTGTTTAGGCTTTGATTGTTTTTAAAACTTGCTAATTATCAATAGGGAGAGCATGAAAAATGTTAAAATTCCCTACGGTCTTGTGATCAGATACTATTGGTTCAGATTATTGATAGTTTCGTTGATCTGGTTCATCTACGACGTATGTAAAGATTCAATTTATCGGATTGATTTATACTAACACAGCAATAGTTCTCCACCTATTCATTCGGTATCTACTCCTCTAAGATTCTCAGTAACATTTACGGAGACTCGGCGCCACTTTCTCAATCATTCGGCTGGAATACCGTCATCAATCTCTTCTATATTCCTGGAGCTATTCTCGGATCCTTCTTTTCCGATTGGATTGGACCACGATATGCTCTTGCGATAGGAGTCACATTACAGGGTGTTGTTGGCTTTATCATGTCCGGATTGTACCCGGTCTTGTCCAAAGTAAAGAACGTTCCAGCTTTCGTGGTTGTATACGGAATCTTCCTTTCCCTTGGCGAACTTGGTCCAGGCGATAACATTGGACTTCTCGCATCTAAAACCTCCGCAACTGGCGTGAGAGGTCAATACTATGCTATTGCAGCTGCCGTCGGTAAAATTGGTGCTTTTGTTGGCACTTATATTTTCCCATACATTGAGGCAGCCGGTGGTGACGCAAACGCTTCAGCGCAATATCCATTTTATGTTTCGAGTTCTGGATGTATCCTAAGTGCGATCTTGGCGCTTTGCTTTTTACCGCATGTTGGACAAGATACTATTACCACGGAAGATTTGAGCTTTAGAGAGTATTTGGAGAGTAAGGGATGGGATACTAATCAAATGGGATTGAGAAAGGCGGACAATCTTGAGGAGGCTGCGGGTAGACGTGAAGTTGGAGAGAAGCAGGAGGAGTTGGTTTCTTCTTCATGAGCCAAGAAAAGAAAGATAGACGTAATGAATGGGATTGAAAGTCGAGTTTAATTCAGAGGGCAATTAGAAATGGGAAGAAAAGTATTTAATGTATTGGAATGAAATTATGGAGGTATAGATATCTATCTGTTTAATAATGCTCTATTTAGATATTCTCTCTTTTTCAATCTGTTGATATCTGTGATATTTTTGATATCGATTATCTTATGTAAATATACTAAGTAGAAAGAAAGTCTAGTACTTCATTTTTAGGCCCACTACTCTTTTTGACTCACTTTTCTTATCAAAAACATCAAAAATTAAATATTTATAATTTTTTGTTACGACAAGTAACAATTAGGTCACGGGATTCGTAATAACACGTGACGCGAGAACTCGAAGAGCTCGAAGGCTTGGCCTCTCGAGCCCTTCGATCGAGGAGAGCGAAAGGATCGAAGCTCGATCCCCTCGCTCCATTCGAGCTATGAAGCATGAAGGTCTATATAATCAAGATGGATTTACTTTGTATAGAGCTTCGTATTCAAGATCAATCATTTAGTATACTCTACTATTAGTTACGAATTGTATAACGTGGTTTATCAGGACCCTGTACATATCAGGACCCTGTACACTTTTACCTCAATTATTACCTTTCAACTTCAACACGCGATTTATCAATATTTAATTATGCAAACTACTTCAAAAGAAGCTCGAATCAATTTAGCTATTGAGGCTATTCGTATATCTCAAAATTTGAGTATTCGGAAAGCTGCAAAACTCTATAATATACCTCATACTACCCCTACCTCTAGAATGAATGGAATTCTGCCTCTTACTGAACGTCGACCAGCAAATCATAAAATAACAGAATTGGAGGAGAAATCGCTTCTCCAATATATATTGGATATGGATGAAAGAGGGTTTAGTCCTCGAATAAGTGATGTAGAAGATATGGCGAATTACATACTCGAAACGCGGGGTGCGAAGAAGGTTGGAAAGCTCTGGGCTCATCGTTTTGTGAAACGATATACAGAATTAAAGACGCGTTTTAATTGTGTTTATGACTTTCAAAAAGCTCTCTGCGAAGATTCAGAGCTTATTGAAAGATGGTTTCGATTGGTATCGAATATGCAGGCCAAATATGGTATTCCGGATTGCGATTTCTACAACTTCGATGAGACAGGCTTTATGATGGGACAAATATCACCACATATAGTAGTTACTAAAGTTGATCGATGTGGAAGAAACAAAGCTATACAACCAGGCAATCGGGAATGAACTACAGCGATTATTTGTGTTGATGGAGAAGGTCACAATATACCTCCGTTTTTGATAGTAAAAGGCGAATACCACCTCTCAAATTGGTATACCGAAGGCGATTTACCGTACGATTGGCTTATTAAACCTACTATCAATGGATGGACAGATAATGAGACAGGTCTTGAATGGATTAAGCACTTCAACAAACATACTGAAAGTAGGAAAGTGGGTAGATATCGAATGCTAGTGCTTGATGGGCATGAAAGTCATAAATCGCCAGCATTTCAGGAATACTGCGAGGAACACGACATTATATTACTTAGTTTACTATCTCATTCTTCGCATTTAACTCAATCACTCGATATCGGTTGTTTTGGTTCTTTAAAGTATTCATATAGTCGACAAATCAAGAACTTTATCAAGGCGCATATCACTCATATTACCAAAACCGAGTTCTTTCAAGCCTTCAAAGCTGCATATACCGAAGCAACACCCATACCAAATGGTAAAGCTGGGTTCCGCGGAGCTGGGCTAATCCCATTTAATCCGGAAATTGTACTTTCAAAGCTAGATATTCGAATAAGAACTCCATCAAATAGATCAATATCAGCCGATCCTGATATATGGCAATCTCAAACACCTCACAATCCAACTGAAGCTCTTTCTCAATCTACTTTAGTGAAAAGTCATATTGCTCGGCATCAAGGGAGCTCATCTACTCCAATATTTAAAACAGTTGCAGCTTTAGCTAAGGATACAGAGCTCCTAACTCATGCGAATACGCTTTTAGCTGCTGAGGTTCATAGTCTCCGCAGAGCAAATGAAGCACTTAGTAAACACCGGAGAGCTAGAAAAGCTTTAATACGAAAAGGAGGAGCACTTTCAGTAGAAGATGGGCATGATATATTAGAACAAGAGAATGTAGAAGATCAGATACGACGCGACGAATTTACAAATGGTGATTCTTCAGCAAGGAGGCAAGCTACTATACGACGATGTAGCAAATGTGGTAGTGCTTCACATAATGCACGAACTTGTCAGTTCGATCTAGCATTAATTGATCTTTGAATTGTATGTAATTTAATTCTAATTTATAGTATTGTTGTAATTTTATTTCAATGGAATGTGGGCAATTGAGGTAAAAGTGTACAGGGTCCTGATAAACCACGTTATCATTATTGTCATTACTTAAGTCCCTGCTTAACGCCTAATTATAAACCACCTCGAGAGCCTAGAGCACTTCCACGTGATCTAGACGGCAAACCTTGTAACACTCAGGATCAGTGTCATGTGAAAAGTAGAATCACGTGATGTGCTAGCTATGCTAGCAATCAGGAAATCGATAGTGTATAGTCAGAATAGTTTCATAGTTTAGGAGCTTCGTGCTCAACTTAGTTATCAATTAGTTTACCTACATTCTACTTGATCTAGTAACGACTTCACTTCCAAGTGAATACTAGTGATAAAGCCTTAACCCACAACTACCAATCGACGGAACCTGAGGCAGCCGCTGCCTCCAGTACAGTATCGTTACAATAATATACTGATATTATAATTTTAAAGGACTGGGAATATCAAAAACTTTTATAGGTTAATCAGAATATTTGAACTTGGGCTTTGGAGCGGGGTTTAGACTTTCTACGGGTATGGTATTTCCATAATTACTACACACTACGGCTACGGATACGGACATGAGTCGAGACTCGATTTAGAGAATAAATTGATTGTGGGAAATTGAGATGATATTAATTAATTAGGTAGGTAGTTAGATAGGTAGGTAGGGCTAAGAAACCCAATCTTACTACAAATATAATAGCAGCAGCAGCAGCAGCAACAACAGCGCGCGGAATCGGAAGATATAGAAATCGCCCGGAACCGGAATACCATGTCGTGTAACCAAATACTGTATGTAGCACTCATATATACACATTTGAAGTGCTTACATGCCCAGTAAAAATTCACTTATGCATGTGTTGTTCATCACAGCCGCAGTTCATTAATCCAACCACGTATGTTGAGTAGATATCGCGGCTCAAAAGTCACACAGTGACGCATTGAGCTTCTCTGCGCCAATGATGTGTATTTTTTTTATGAAACTATGTCTTTCTTGATTTGTCGTTAGAGAGATTCCCACCACCATTCGCTGTCGTTGAGGTTCTCGAGGACTGGGTCGTCCAATGAGATGCTTAGCCTTGTGAGATGGTTTTAAAAAATGCCCTGCGGATATTCCCTTGGATATTATACTTTTGTCACTATCAGGACTCGATGACTTGCTTGGTACTGATGAGTTGGATACGTGGTTAAATCGAGTATGCCTTCAAGTTTGGTCGGTGAGTAAGAGAGGGACAATGGTATACAGGTATTAAGTGGAAGTTCGATAAGTATTTCAATTTCCCAGCAGCTTGCTGTTCTGAATATTAGTGAGTTACTCATGTGTAGGTTGGAAATTAGTAGTGTCTTGAACACTTTGGTCGGGGTTTACTTAACCATGACTCAGACTGTGGAGAAGCCCATGTAAGTACCATCGCTCTTTTTACACCAGACAGATAGCTAATATGGAATAGAAAGCAAGATTCAGCTGCATGCCACCATCACCAACAACAAAATCACCATGAAGGTACTTATACTTCCGTGACCAGTAGATCGACTTCACGAAGCGATCAATCTCGTGCTTTAAAGAAGTAAATAAAACATTCCCCACTTTCACATCAGATACTGATATACAATAGGAAGAGGAATTCCTCCGCTCATCATAACCACCACAGCCAACATCATGGATATTCACCTACGTCTACATCTATCTCTACCTCAACTACCAGCAGAACAACCACAAGAAGTGATCAATTCTCAAATTTCGAAATATTATTTGATACTGTATCACAAGACCAGCTACTGGCAGGTATTGGAGGCTGGATGGAAGATTACGACAGGACTTATGGCGAAGTCTACCCGCAAGAAGTGGATTTGAACAATAATGACAAGCAGGGAGATAAGGAGAATTAGAGGAGGTTTGGTACGATGAAACATTGGGACTGATGGGATGTTAAATGATGCTCTGATCAAGCATGCTACCGAATACCATTCGGACCGCAGGTTAAGGTATCCTTATGGATAGGCTTCCCCTGTAACGAGTCATTTTGAGCGGGGCTCTTCAGGACCTGGCGTTAATTTTTCAACTTCTCATTGAGGAGATAAACTTCTTTCCCTTTAATCATCGTGAGTTATCGTGATGTCATTGCACTTGCTCAAACCTCTTTAATTTATCCTTGACTTGATATCGCAACCTCATCCTAAAAGATCGAACCACCAGATCAAGCCAACATATGGATGACGATGAAGAGACATACAAAAAGTAACAAAACCATCCGATAAAAGTGCAATAATATTTTCGTTGCTTATTCCTCGTAAAACCTTCAGTTCAAATGGTCATGGTATCTCCACACGGGAAATCCCCACCACAGCCCCAATTCCTCCACCCCCACGGGTTTTCGACGCGTTTCCTACTCGCTTCCTATCGCATAGTCTCGGGCACTCACGGTTACGATTCTCTAATATCAACAACTCGATCTCTCCAACACTTCCACACATGATATCATCAAGCCGCGAAAGAGAACGCGATATTCGCATCCGGAAAAGGAGACGATAAATTATCGGAATGATCTAAATATTGATGAATGCCGCATTGTGGGAGATTGCGCTTGTCGGTGATGAGTGTGGTGGGGAGCCAACTATTTAATAGATGAAGGAAGTGGATTGGTTGATGGAGTTTGGCATGTGCGCGTCTGTTCTTTTCCTTTTGTGTCACTGGATGAAGAGAAGATATGGGGAGATATGGAAGGACCGATATTCTTTTCAGCCTTTGTATAGGGATTCGGACATGTAAAGCGGTTTTGTTGTCATCGATGTGGTCTGTGAAGATAAACATGTGAGGGTATTGTATTGAAATTGTAGTAAATTGATATGAGATGGACGAAGACTGATAAAAAGAAATGAATCTGTTGACTATTCTCATATCCCGTGTCTATCCAGTGGTCCCATGTGGAAAAGGAGCTTGGACCGGTTATGGAGATCCAAATGGGAATGGAATCAAGGGATGCGTAAGAGACTAGAACCTTTACGGTATAAGCTACCCCGCATTTTGGCTGTCGGATAACTTCTGATACCCATAGTTGGAGGAGTGGAGATACCAAGAAAGGTACCAAGATAAACGACACAAACTACTTTCAGAATATGCATCTATTTCCACTTAAATGTATGAGCTTTGTATGAGCTCTCTACAGCTAGCTGAAAGATTTGATATAAAATACAAATATTCATGAATGATCAGAACATCCAGAAAATAGATTAAAACCATGTGGTTCTGAAAAGAAAAAATGGTCATCGACAACAAGGGTAAATTCATTCATCCTTTGTCTTTGTTGTCCTGTTTTCCTGTTGTAGAACATAAAGTGACCTCCCGAAAACAGACAATCATGCATTACCAGTATGGAAGGAATTACATCAGCCTGAGGTATACCCGTATTCTCCCATCACATCCCCCAAATCTTCAGGGTGATACCTCGGAAACAGGAAAAGAGAAAAGAATCCCGGTGCTATTTCAGCGATGTGGTAATCCCAGATAACGTGAAGAGGATAAGAATTAGCAGCCCCGATAGGAAGCCAAGTTGCTAAGACACGGTTCATGATTGGTATTAGATTCTTTCTTCACAAACCTTGGAAGCACTTTTTATTTTTCGTTTCATCCGTAAATAAAAAAAGTCAATCCATGTTGTAGCAGGCGTAGTATAACACTACACACCAAGAAGTAAAAGTGCCTTGCAGCCCAAACAGGATTCAATCAATCAAACGATCCAAACCTTCGACCCCGCACCCAATAATCAATCCTACCACTCTTGCTTCAGTATACCAAGTCGGCCACCGGGAAATCAAACACGACCCAACCAATACGTTGAGCCCATCAAAAGCCATCTTTATCATTTACTTATTATTGTCGTCTTCCGATTATTTATTTTTGCAAACTTACAACCTCAATTCTCTTCTCCATCTCATCTAAGATCGTAAACGACGTTATATGAATTCGTCCTTATCAGCAGAAGACTGTCTGTATATGACTGATATTAACTAGATGATCGACTGTGCATATCAATCAATCCAGTTACCACCAGCCAAGTCCACTTTCCTTACCCAGGGTGCGCAACGGTAAATCGGTTGCAGCAATCCGGTACGCGGAGCATTTCAGGTAAGCAATACATGTTTCTCTATCTCATCTATTTGTTTTACCAAGGTTATCCGCTTTCCCGCTCATAACGATTTGACATTCATCCTCGAACTTCCAAGTGCTTCGCTTGTTTCCGGAATGGTTTTCGAATCCCAGGGCCTGTTCGAGCGTTTTAGTATGACGCCTCGAGCCATGTCATCGTTGTTGCAAGCTGCATGTATACATTTATTTGGACCCATGCAAATAGTCCAATGAGATGAGATTGATCGGTTTCCCACGGTATCCAAGAATCAAGGCTGTTTTTGGATCTATACATATAAACAGCATTTCCCACTTCTCTGATTCTATCATGATACATTAGATGTAGAACTATTTTTGCTAATAATTCAATATCTCCTGCAGAGCAAAACAACTGCTCAATACCCACCAACCTACCTTAATTCAAATACAAACCCTTACCAAAACCTAAAATGTCTACCACCAACTCCATCAAACAAGCTGCAGAAGCAGCAAGAAACAAAACATCAGAAGCAATGGAAACTACCAAACGTTTTGCCGAATCTGCCAAAGCAGATCCCATGGCCGTTAAAAACGACATCCTCCATACTCCCTTCATGCGTGCTGCTCTCCCCTTCATCAACGGTGGTCTTGCAGGCATGACAGCCACCACCGTCATCCAACCCATCGATATGATAAAAGTACGTCTCCAACTCGCCGGGGAAGGAATCCGCACCGGTCCCAAACCAACTCCATTATCCGTCACGCGGGAAATTCTTGCTTCGGGTAAAGCACTCGACCTCTACACTGGTCTCAGCGCAGGCCTCCTCCGCCAAGCCGTCTACACCACCGCTCGTCTTGGCTTCTTCGACAGTTTCATGAACACCCTCTCCGCTCGCTCAAAAGCAAACAATACCACCATTGGTTTCAAAGAACGCGCCGCGGCAGGTCTCACAGCGGGTGGCTTAGCAGCTATGATAGGCAACCCTGCAGATCTCGCACTCATCCGTATGCAATCCGATGGATTAAAACCCCTATCCCAACGCAAAAACTACAAATCTGTCATCGATGCCCTAACATCCATCACGAAATCCGAAGGCATCACGGCTCTCTGGGCTGGATGTGCACCGACGGTTGTGCGAGCCATGGCACTTAATTTCGGACAACTAGCATTTTTCTCCGAAGCCAAATCACAACTCAAGACACATACGCAATGGAATCCAAAGACACAAACACTTACCGCGTCGGCCGTCGCAGGATTTTTCGCAAGTTTCTTCAGTCTGCCATTTGATTTTGTGAAGACGAGGTTACAGAAACAGGGGAGAGGGAAGGAGAGGATTTATAAAGGGATGGGAGATTGTTTTTTGAAGGTTGCGAGGGAAGAGGGTATGTTGAGGTTTTATAGAGGTTTCGGTACGTATTATGTGAGGATTGCTCCCCATGCTATGGTTACATTGATTGTAGCGGATTGGTTGGGGTTTATTACTAAGTGAGTGAGTGTGGCTGGATGATTGGTCGGAGGTGGAAAGTGGGAAGTGGGGTTGTGGAGTATGGGGAAAGTGGAGCGCCGCCTTGATGATATTTGGATGATCTTTGAGGTTAATTGATTAATCGGTCAATCGACTACATTTTTTTGATGGATTGCTTGGGACAGGATTGGACGGACAGATGGAGTTATTTATTTAGGATACCGATTTCTGGCTTTTGTTTTTGCTTAGCACTTTTTGGGATCAGGTTTTAGGTTTTAGGATGCAGGTTCTGGGAACTTTACTTCTCTTTTTAGGAAATTTCATATGATTTAGTCTGATTTGATATTGTTTTATTTTATTATCTTCACATTTGACGTTGGCATTAGTTGTTTTGTGCGAGGAGCGAAGGGAAAGAAATCTAAGACTATCTAGTGTTACGAGGTTTGCCGTCTAGATCACGTGGAAGTGCTCTAGGCTCTCGAGGTGGTTTATAACTAGGCGTCAAGCAGGGACTTAAGTAATGGCAATAATGATATGCAATTCGTAAGTAATAGTAGAGTATACTAAATGATTGACCTTGAGCACGAAGCTCTACAATAAGGAATCCTTCCTAGCTATATAGATCTTCGTGATTAGGAGCCACTGGAGCCGTAGGAGCCTTCGAACCTCCAATGCTCCATCATATGATCCTCTAATCATATGGTTCTGTAATTGTTATCGAACCGGATCTAAGCTTAACAGGGTCTGTGCATATTTGTTCCCCACACCACCTTAATTCCATACTAAATCGATCAAATCGTATCTCGTAAGCACACGATTGGTTAGTATAAGATCTGTGGTCGTAACAAAATGGCCCGAAAGCAAAGTAATTGAATTATTTAAATATTATATTAAGTAAAGTTTAAACACAGATTACATCTGGATTTTACTCTAACTTCTCATATCATCACTTACACTCACTCATACGTTATCAGTAAGTACAATGACAGTAGTAGGGTCAAAACTCATAATGCTTTGCCTCGCTAGCATTCCAAGCCCATCACTATAGGCAGGCTGCGGAGGTATTTTAAAGCAGTCAGGCATCTATCACACACCATGAAATTTAATTCTCCAGGCAAATCTGACCAACCATAACGCCCAGCCGTCATACTTAGATTTTGCGCCCGCTCCCTTTATTAGTTAGCCATTTAACATATCATATGCGTGCATGCCTATTAAAAGCATATGCATATTTTCCTTGTTTGCTTGAATCCCGAAATACCACCCCCCTCACTCCATATCCCAGATGAGACCCCTTTTTAGTTCTGCGTATCCTTGATTGCAACGAGAAGATCTGTCATGTAAGTTGCCTATTTTAATTGCAAAAATTAGTATACACGAATGACTTGTTGCTTGCAAGAGAGTTAGGTGTTCAGGATAACACCAAAAGTCATATAGAGATAAATTGTCTCCCCACGACCTTGCGGTCAATACGGATGAACGAAAGTTATGTGGATTTTGTTTTGATAATCATGTGAGTGCTTGCATCGAAACAAGAAAGAATTGATGAGGGGACTTGGGGAAGAAATAGGATAACAAATGACATACCAAAATCTTATTGTGCGCATAAATAGCAAACAATCTCGGCTCCACCGGTTTAAACAATCGGTCAACCCAAGGAACTTCACCCTCCTTGAGAGCAGTCTCCTCTGCTTCGGTTTTACTAACATTCCTCGCCAGATTCCGGAGAACTAGTACTGCACTCAGTGGAATACCTGCTGCATCATTATGTTCATCAACAGCTGTATAGTGGTATTTGAAGCTGATACGAGGTGGCTGGACGATATATGAAGGTTTGTGTTTCTTGGCTGGAGGTGGACCAGAAGGTTCCTGGGATTCGCGCTCGCTAGCAAGAGTGCGCTTAGGAGGGAGATGGACTTTGATATGAGTAGCAACTTCTGATAGTTTGGTGGCTGGGGAGGAACGAAAGCGAGAACACGTATCCCATGCACACACATATTGTTGGCTTGCAGCTGAATTTACGTATTTGTTCTCTGCATTGAGTTGGGCTCCAAAATGGTTTCTGAGGATATGCTGATAGCCTGCCTCAGGGGTCATGAAGAATTCTCCGCAAGGTCGTCCAAGATGAGTGCGCCACAAGCATTTGGTGTATGTCTCCCCTTGTAGATCTATTGGCTCAATGCGGCATCGAATTCCTTTGATGATAAATTTTGTCACTGGGCCATTTTGAACCTGGGCATTCGCCTTGTCGCCGAAGGTTGTGCTCACATTCTTGATAAAATCTGCAGCAGGTAGAAGTGCCTTTGATGTTGCCGTAGCCAGGTAACTAAACTGTTGTTGATAGGCGTGCCACAAGGCGATTTGCGTGATAGATTCATCAGGATCTTCTTCGTAAAGACAACGTAACCAACGTGAGCTCCGCTCTGGTTCCTCGAACTTGGAAATTTCGAGAAGTAAGTCTTGTGGGATAGGCGCAATTTCCGAAGGTGCAGGTTTTCTGTATTGCGTACCTAGATTAAACTCCTTTTCGATGATGCGAGCCCCATGCATGAGGAGTCGCGTCAACTGTTTGACTAGTGGCTCTGCTTTTACCTCTGTGATCAAGTAATCCACATTCTCGACAACAGCCGTATATTGATAGAGGAAGTCTAAACAAGCATGGGCGAGATCTTCGTCATTTAATAAGGTCCAATCGATGATGTTTTGTACAGCTGATGCTGGTACACCTTTAAGAAGATTATTCTCCTCCAGATTCATTGATATTCTGCTAATGGCTCTCAGCGAAGTCAAAATAGCGCCCCGGTCCTGTGAATCCAATTGTTTGAGAAGTGAAAGATAAAGGGGATCTCCAACCTCGAAGTGAAGATATTTGGTAAGCTGCTCGGCAATATCTAAAGCGTAGTGTTTTAATTCTACAACAGTGTCGGAGTTGGGGAGGTTTAAGGCAATACTGAGAAAATCTCGTAGAGGTGCAAGTTCTGATACGTAAAAGGCGTTCTCTTCTAACATGACCATATTTCTCATGGTCAATGCTGCCTCATTGATCTGAAGAAGAGTGTCACTAAATTCCTCGGTTTGAATGTTATCGTCGACTGGCAGCTTAGCTAAACGTTTGATTCTTTCCAGTATATCTGGTGTGCCTTCTAAACCATTGATTGTATCAGTGGTGGAGACCATTTCGCCATCTTCCGTGTAGGATATCCGCCAATGTACATCGTAAAACAATGAACCGATTTCGAGCATTTTCTCGATGAGGGCTTCGGCCAAACCTGGAAATCCTTCGAATTTGTATTTATCACCACGCTCCATCGAGATCTTAACCAGGTGGTGCAGAGCGTAATCTTGCTCCTCTTTGATACCAGATCTCAAAGAACAGAGGCAACGAACATAGATATTAGGTCCATCAAAGCCAGCTTTTTTTCGGACTGTTAGCCACCACTTTCGAAAGGTAAAATCACTTGCAGAGGGAAAACTAGACCACTTACTGCCGGGCAACATCATCCCCTTAGGAATTGCATTACTTTTGGTACCTTCTGCAGCTGCAGCTGCATCTTTCAAAGCTTTTTGGCGCCGCGCAAACTCAACAGGGTTATTTCCTGGGGTGATTATAGGACGGAGTGTCAATGGCATTTGGAGCCGAGGCTCGTAACTTGCAACCGCGAGTGACATACTTTCTGTACCAGAGGAAGGGTTGTGCGAGTAGGGGCCGCCGACTCGTGGCATATGATGTTGATGCGAATGTGATGGTGTTTGCTGTTGGGGTAAGTGGTGCTGTGGGGTTGGAGGTGGATGGGAAGTTGCGGAAGGATGTTGTCGAACTTGTCGAGATGGTTGTGTATCAGGTTGGAATAATACCCGCTGTGGAGGAGCTTGTCGCAGACCTCGAGTCACTCTGCCTCCAGAGCCCGGCGTTTCTTCACTTCCATTCCTGTCGCGCACAGGTGTGCCATCGTCGCCAGAAGCCTCTGAATTTTCAGTACCAAGCATGCCAGTTTCTCTGCGAATTGAGGGTCGAAAATTGTCCATAGTCCGAAAAAGAAGTCCCCCACCCTTAGCCGTTGTGTCTTCTAAAATTTCACGAGGAGGTGGCACCTTGCCATGAAAAGTCGAGATTTCATATGCGGCTAGGTATTTATAATAAGTCGTTTTGAGACTAAATGCGAGCGCAGGTAAATTATTAGCTCCCAAGTTGAAATCTGAACCAAGCTTTCTCCATGCAAGCTTCTCATCGCTGACTTTATCATAGCCACCGCGCTCAATTACAGTATTGTAAAGATGTAAAAGGTCGATAGTCTTGGTTCCAACTCGTGGTTCAGGATCGAAATGCGTTCCTCTTTTTTCATGATAGACTCTGAGCTTTGCGATAAAATCCTCATATTCTGGGGTATGAACGATTGAGGTATCGTGATGAATAACTCTTGGGGGCGCCATTTTACTTTCCTGCCATGCGATAGTTATGGCGATCCAATGGTTGTCTGAAAAGCTGCTTTTGATGCGACGGACAAACCAACGCGTAGAAATTGCGACGGCGACGCGATCGGTCGTTCAGATTGAGCTCCGAGTCACTGTACCAAAAATAATTCTACCTAATATCCAAGGTATCAATGAATCATATCTTTCACGTGATTGCTTACACATGGATTTCTGGTGGGGTTCATGAAGCCATCTCCAAATTTTGAACTACTTTCACTTACAACCATCTCAACCAACTTCAATAAACTTTCATGAAGGCCAATTGAATTGAAAGATTGGTATTCTGGATGGATTCTATCAAAATCATCTAACACAGGAATGGTGGCAATAAACATTAATATCATTTCAAGATTGTCACCATTACTATTATTCAAACATTGATCACAAACTGACAATCATCATTACTTACTCTGTAGTATCTATCATTCATTCCTGGATTTTCTACTTACCTTCCCCTTCTCTGTATTCTTCTATCCTTTCTGCACTCCTGTGTTTCTTGTTTTTATCTGTTATCTACTCTATGCATTCATTGTGGTTTACTCCCTTCAAATGTTCTTATCTTTATAGTTCGAAATGTCTCAATTCTTCTCGCAAGAGTCTCATCTCACTTTTCAGCAATCACAACAAAATCTAACCATTGTTGTTCCTCTCGTTAAGTTCTCGTGCTCTTCAGTCAATCAGGGTAGTACCACAGGTATTCAATGGAGTCACTACTTGAGGAACGATCTCGAGCTTGTGATTCAAGAGATGCAAAATGGAAGTTCTGGAAATGAAAAGAATCTAATGATGAAAGTGGTGGCCGGTGCGGATTATCTGGTAACTTCCATCTCCTTGAGCGTATACAATATTCAATGTTTTAACACTTTTCAAGGAAGAACAAAATTTGGACGACATTGCAAGGAACTATAAGGATTTCATCCCATCACCAGGTAGCCGCAATCCCGTCGACGTAGTGGTCAAGCGTCCAATTCTTGCACTGCGCTATCCAAAGCGTAATAATGTAGGTTTTGAGCGCCGCAGCTTTGTTCCTGCCGTGTAGACACAGCTGATGTTGGATTTTTAGATTCGTAGGATACAATTTAAATTCCGTGATGATTCAGACTTTTTTAGGATTGTCAACACCCTGACAAGCCTAGGTTTGATGACAACAGACAGTATATTCCCGGTGCCTGCCTTTCAATTATGTCCATCAACCACGACCTCGTCATCCTCATCAACATCTATGGTACATCACACTCCTACTGCTGCAAGTTACATCTCTTCGCCGCAGGACACGGAATTCAAGGTTCCCATGCGGCCGGACTCAGCTAGTTCTACACTTCGGCGACCGGTAAGCTCGAATACATCTCGATCTGACGGTTATGTGTTTAGCAGGCCACAGTCCGCCATGTCCATAACTTCATTCATGCCTCACTCTAAACCATCTATCGAAACGCTTAAGAAAAAGCAAGCACTATACACCAGTCAAATCGGGAGACAGGTATGTTCCAATTTTGCAATCACATTGATTAGCTTCATTCTCACCTTTATAGCAACAAGAGATACAACCCTCAAATCTCATAGTGCCTTCATCAAACGACATTTCTTCAAGTCATTCTGCATATCGGAGCCCGGTCTTTTTGCCGAACCATGAAGGGTCGCCCTCTACTTCGCGGTTTTTCGAAACTGGAAAAACACAATACCTGCTCAATAGGCTAGCCTCATTCTCTTCTGTCGATGACACAAATAATCTTAGACACAACGGACACGGGCCTGTGCTAGATAGCTTCAGCCCATCCGAGTGTCAACCATTGGCTCGTCCAGCAGAGTATCCTATATTCAGTTCCCTTGGAAAACGCCTGTTACCTCTCTCAACTGACCATGATATCTGCTCTGGCTTTCTCATACCGCCAAAGCGTCAATTGCCGTTCGCCACAGTGAAAGATCCTTCAAGATCTGAATCTGTATCTGCTATAGAACCCAATCAACCCGTTGAAGCTCCGGGTCAGCGAAAGAGGTCACTCAAAGAATTATCTGATGCGAACTCATCAAATACGGTTACCACAACTACTGAAAAGCCAACAAAGAGACGCTTCGCGAGTCGAAAAGCCATGCACCTACAAGAAATCGATGACCGATTAACCAAACCTGTACCTTCAACAGATGTTTTGGCAGGTAATAGCCTTGGTGTGCCCATACTGTCTGGACAGCCGTCCCCTCTTGCACTGTGGACTGTCGCCGCACTGGCCCCCTCAAATCTACCTTCGAAATTGCAAGAAAAAGAAATCTCCGCTACACAACGACTTTTATCAACTCCTCACGATAAACCCACGGCTCGAAAAATGGCAGAGAGGTCTACTCAAACTCAAACTCTTTCAGGTCGGGATCATACTGCAGCTCTCAAATCTACGCGGAGTGCTTCTCTTGTAGAGGTTCCGTCAAACTTTCCAGCAGCTTTTGTATTACAAGAGGACTTAGACCTATTTATATCAAGGTATAGTTCTCGCTCGCAAATAAACTTACCCCCAAATTATAACAAAGTTCCCGCCGAGGAACGTCATAAAATGCTCAATGATTTCATCTTAAAAAATCTAGAGAATGAGGATTTTCATAAGATGGCTAAGGATACAGATGCTTCTGCGCGTAGGGTGGGTCTCACGAGATAATCTAAGGTTCGATATCACTTGTATTGGTGCATCTATAGCAATTGATGGAAAAATGTATGGAGTAATATGGCATTTGGCTAACAGAGATGTTTAAGGCTATCTTTGCTGGGTGCGTATAGCATTGGGTAAAGATATACATTTGCTGAATATCTAGGAGTTTGCTTGATTCAGGGACTATACTAGGCTAGGCTTCCTTCTGTGATTTTAATTTCCAGGACTATAGCTAGGAACTAAAGATTACCGTTTGCCTTTCTCTACTCATGAACATAAGTCCGATACATTGCTTAGTTTTTGTCAACCATATGAGAAGTTTAATAAGTGTTTTATGGATCATATATATGCGTAATACGTAGTTGGGAAGTGTAACCATAATTGCCAGATACTGAAATAAGAACGTTGAAGAAAATAGGCTTGAAACCTACGTATTATTTGCCATCTCGAACTTATATGTTACCACGGTCAGTATCGTAGCTAGCCATACCAATCTAAGAGTGACATGATCTTCAGATATGCAAAACAATTGCAAAACAAGCTTGTATCACCGACATTAAGAGGGCGAAGATCCTCAATGATCAATAGAGCAAAGGGCCAAGCTACTAATGCCGAGCCTTCATATGCCAAGAAACCATCAGATTCGCAACAAGTGTCTTTTGCAGAAGCTGGAAAATCCAAACCTGAGGATTTCATAGATGTGCAACAGATGGCATATACAAAACCTAAGTGCCGAAATCCGTTAGATATGCAACATAATAACAACGTAATCAGCTGATCAAAGATACAACTTCCAGAGCTAATACAGTCATGTGTTGTGTTAGAGGTATCTAGTAGTTAGGTTGGCCTGAATAGGATCAAGTCCCCGGGAATATATGAATGGATTAGTTCTAGACACAGACTACAGCCAGGCCAACTTCCACTTGTACAATGGTTGGGGTCAAATCATTCATGTTATACATAGAGACCTCGTTAGTTGCTAGTACTTATTCTTAACGCTCCTGTGGCGAATAAATTCTGTGGTATGCGCATAGAGGTCTGAAGTTTTATACTTTTACCTATGGGTATGGTGGTGCTATTACACATATGCTAATTATTTCCAAGCGAGCAAGAACAGTGTCTAGCTTAAATAGGTATAGTCTCAAAAATGTTTAGCGAGGGTCAGGTCAGAAGCACCATTCAACCCTGCTTGTATAGAATGAATTTGAATGGATTTGAATGGATTTGAACGGATTTGAATGATTTGTGTGACGGAAACCCCTGCTTTCCTCCCACCTTTATTATATAAGAAACCTCAGGTACATTAACCATGTCCACACATGATACGATTACTCGGGATTAGTATACGATTTAGGTGGCCTGAGGATCAGATCCGGACAAGTACTAGGTATCAATGGTTATCGGTAAAGTAAGATCATTGGAGGGATAAATATGACTTCTTTTTGCCTAGCCATTGCGGCTAGGTTATTCATTTGTGTATATATAGAGTAGCTATCCCCATCTACAGGTGCTCTTCACCTGTAGATTCTAAGTTAAATACAATTGCTGGTCTATAAACACCCTTTTGGTCACAATTTACTGGCTTTGGACTTGAGTTTGGTAATTTTATAAGTCTTCATTTCATGAAAGGTGGCCCTACATAGGAGAAAAAACAGGCCAGAATTGACCACACGGAATAATGTATATACCTTTATTAATCTAAAAGATATTTTTTTTGTTAAATAATTATAATTATTTATAAAAATCTAAAAGAATAAAATTGATTAAAAGATAATTGAATACATATTTAATTTTTAAAATACAAAATTGTATAATTTTAAAAAAACAAATAAGTCAATGATTATATATTAGATTGGGATTTAAATTATCCCTCCACTTGTGCATTTGTCCCCCAACAAGGTGTTTATAGACCAGTGTAACGGAAATAGTCGTACACGGAGTCAATTCAATCACTTAGAATCTAAAACTAAAGAACTAAGAAGATTCTAAGTAAGGTCTTTATATAAAGGGCTAGTGCACGTGAGCCACTAGTGGGTAACAACCGTCACGTAACAACCAGCAATTGTATTTAACTTAGAATCTACAGGTGAAGAGCACCTGTAGATGGGGATAGCTACTCTATATATACACAAATGAATAACCTAGCCGCAATGGCTAGGCAAAAAGAAGTCATATTTATCCCTCCAATGATCTTACTTTACCGATAACCATTGATACCTAGTACTTGTCCGGATCTGATCCTCAGGCCACCTAAATCGTATACTAATCCCGAGTAATCGTATCATGTGTGGACATGGTTAATGTACCTGAGGTTTCTTATATAATAAAGGTGGGAGGAAAGCAGGGGTTTCCGTCACATAAATCAACTTATGCTATCTTCCAGTCACGCTACGTGAGGATTTTGACATCAAAATGCAGGGTTCTTGGATGCGTTTGCCCAAGTATACAATTTACATGTCGAATGCCTCCAAATATCGTTTCTAGAGTGTACTGCTAACCGATTTCAAAACTTGAGGCCTGGAAAGTGTAATGCTTGTGACTATTTCGTATATAGAATGGAGAGCACGAGACTCTCCCTCTCTCCTTGGATTAGAGTTTCACACTTTACCCAATCGTCCGCTAAGTAGAGTAATGATGCGATTATTATCAACGCCCTTGCGTGGAAATCTTTAAAAATGCGGCAAAAAGAAAATCCGCCCAAAGAACATTTCATTTTGAAACCTCAAGTAAGTCATATCAGTATCCATCCACTCCTTTGACTTCAGGTTGCGACAGCAGAACAGAGGAAATAAAGCAATTAAGGAACCACATCAGCTAATGAAATTTAGACGACGAAAGACTTGTTGCCTTCGTCAACTCGCTCACTACTCACGAGAAAGGATAATGTCGCCGCTAAAACTGGTCGTACAAACGGCCGAACGTCTCGCAATCCTTCCCAGCCGAACCTTACATCCAATACCCACGAAAAAATTAGGCGAGCTCCTCGAACTCCTCTTCCCTCGGAACCCACACCTCAAAATTACAAATGGCTTGTCCGCCGACTCTATCATAATCGTCCTATGTCCCACCACAGTGGCGCTTTTAGTGAGTTGAAGCTGAAGCTGGATAGTGCTCGACACATGACGGGTGGCAAGCCTAGATATATTTTGCGCCGCATGCGAAGGATTATCAACAGGGAAGTAAAATCATCTTGTCCGGACCGCTACCATATTACTGTAGGACAAAATTCCAGCATGAAGGGGAAAGAGCTGCGAGACACAGAAAGGGGAATGTGGAGGATGAGTGGGATTGGGGGACCAGATGGGCAGGGCCTGAGTTCCGTGGCCGACTTGGAAGAGCACAAAGACCGCGAGAATTATCTTCGATGGAAGGAATCTATAAGATGTCGGGTCAAAGGAACCTAAGAAAAGCGGCTCTTTACGCCGACGGACGCAGGGCATATAAGTCTTCTAGCTACATTCGTACGATGGATCGATATTTCAATCAATTGAAAGAGAGCGGTGGAGCGGATTTTTTGAAGGGAGCTAAGCATTGTTTAAGTGCAAAGCCTTGGTATATGCGGTATTATCACGATCATGAAGTGGCTCCCGGTGCAGAATTAACTGGAGCCAGTAGTGGTGTCAGAAGAAAACGTCCAGGCGTCAAATATGACCCCAATGGGGTGAGGAGCTCGTTGAGGATGGTGACGAATGTTCGTGGTAATGTTAAAGAATATGTGCACGCCACTGAGACGGATCTAGCGACTTCAATCCAATAGGTGTATGATGAGTTCAATGAGTTGAGTGACTCAACGGAGGAAGAGTCGGACGAATCGGTAGAAGATTGGTCAGATGAAGACGAAGATCTAAGGGAGGCTCCGGCTGCGAAAAAAGACGAATTGGTTAGAGGTAGAAGACTTTGACGGAAGTCTCAACAGAACCTCCAACTCTTCGCCATCAAGAAGGAATTGCCTCCGCTTCGTTCGCTATAATTTGTATCGAACATTTAACCAGTTCGTGATCGAGCGAAGTTTTATTTATTCATCGCCTTTGCTGAATGGCTGCCATTTCATTTTATATACTGTTGATCACGTCTTAGGATATTCGGGTGGATAAGGGGCATACGGACAACTTGGGCGATATGCAAGACGCCTTAAGCGAGAGGGGTTTCAAGAGTCTTACCATTTTTTTGTGTAAATGCGTTGGCTATGTGTCAAAATAGTAGTAATGAGAGTATTTGAACTTTAGGTGGCGGCTGTTTGTGCGGTGATGACAAGTGTGCGGGTGAGGTGGGGCAAAAGAGTGATAGAAGTATAGATGATGTGTTTTGAAACGGGCGGTTTCGCTGGTCGATGCCAAACTGCGGATTTTGATTAAGAGAACACCTCTCGCTGGGCGCAACGAGAGCCTCAGGAGATTATGGGACATGGTGGAATAGGCCATTGTCGAAGATGAAAGCATGTGTTGTAAAGAAAGTGGCATCATTGAGTGAAAGAGAGCTCTGATGAACATGGAATAGAAGAAAGTTGGACTATAATCCTTCAAAACGGAGCATAAATGAAAGAAAATGAGAGCAGGAGAGCGAAGCAACATGAAATGAACTAAAGGAAGTGGCACAGACAAAATAAATGCACATGCAGAATGTATTTCACTCTTTAAAAGTATGTATTTCTCCCCATGCTCTCCTTAAGGGATTACTATCAATACAGGTAGCGCTTGCTAGTTCGTTAATCATCTTTCGCGTCGGTATCGTTACAGCCCCTCTCCTATCGAGTTCGGGTTCGCCATTCCCTGGCCACCTCCTTCCAATATTATACACTACTTCCAAGTCAAGCCTTACTTTCTCCATTCTTCTTCGAATCATCTACGATCTCATTTCCCGATGCAAACTTCATGCTCACACTATTGACACAGTGTCTTTCATCCGTAGGCGTATTGAATCCTTCGCCCTTAAACACATGTCCCAAATGGCCTCCACAATTCGAACAAACGATTTCGGTTCGTTGCATGCCCAAAGTATTATCCGTGTGTCTTGTTACGGCGCCAGGAATGTTATCGAAATAGGCGGGCCATCCACATCCAGATTTGAACTTATGGGAGGCTTTGTATAGAGGGGCGTCGCAGCCAGCGCATGTGTAGACGCCAGAGTCGGGCATGTGTTTGTCGTATTTGCCAACATGGGGAGCTTCAGTGCCTTGCTTGCGGGGGACTCGGAATTGTTCTTGGGAGATGTCAGATGGGTTTATGTAGTATATCAGGATTTGGGTCGGGGGGGGGCGTGAGGAGAAGGGGTCTAATGGCAGAAGAGGGGAGGCCCGGCAAAGCTTACCTTTAGAGAGAACAGCTCGCCATTCTTCCTCGGATTTTTGCACAGGGTAAGACATGTGTTGGGAGCTAGAGGTACCAAAAAAAGCTGAGAGAAATGGGATGGTTGGCATAGATCGCAGGACAGTTCCTCTGGTAATGGGTTGAAAGGGCTTTGTATTGAGTTGTTGGTAGACGAGAAAGGGTATAATTGCTTATAGTATAGAATGTACGGACAAGATTGGGAAACGTTGGAATCCGCATGGAGAGTACTTATAATAAATTTGAAGTAGTATTCGATTTGATTTAATATTATGACAAATTATGCGATATGTAAGAGTGGGAAGTGAGGTTACAGTCGTCTTTGGAATCATCGACTTTCCTTTTTCTTTGTACTCCGGATCCTGCGCCGCTTATGTCACATCGCACAACCATCGGTCGAGATCGAGTGTACGTGATTTGAAGAATTGATAACGATTACGGAGTATTCTTCTAGTCTATTCTAAGCAATAGTTTGTTTCTATTAGGTGAAAATATCTTCAGCATCAGATTTATACTATCCCAGTACTGTTCTCGCGCACACCCAGGCAAGCAATACAGACACGTTCCGAGGCTAAAGATGTTTATTCTCACTGCAATGCAATCTAAAATCCCCTCCCTCGGTCTTGATCTATGGAAAACGGGGTTGTGGCTTGATAAAATGAGTCCCGGATCAGAGGAAAGATTGACTTTCACTATGATGTTGAAATAGAAATTCTATTTCGGCACGAATAATATCGGGGGGGTTATATGGCCAATAACACGCCGAGTCCTCAAGTATCTGGTACCTATTATCTGGTTTAGAGGCTGTCTCTTTCATGTTAATGACTTGGAAGAGACTATTTGATATGCGAGTTTTGCCCCTCGATGATGTATCTCCCATCTAGGCAACCTAATAGGTACACTTTGCGAGAAACAAAAAACTTGACTGATTAGTTCATTGATATTCATTTCTATTTTGTCTAGGTTTCCCCACAGGCAGGTTATCTAGAGCAATGCCGAGTCAAACCAAGCATAGGTTGTTGAAAGTTCTCGAGACAACTCTTGATGCCATTATTCGAACGGTTGGTCTGTAGGCAAACTACTCATCATAAGGTTGGGGGAAGTATCTTTAGCAGAGGTACTCTTCATCTGAAAGTATATGTGTTGTGGTTTTACTGGCTCTGGCAGATTGGCAGTGATACGGCAGACCTTAAGTAGGTTGATGAGGAGAAGAGTCGATCCCCATTTTGACTTTATGCTAGGAAACTAATAGAAACTAATTCCATCAAGATACTCGAGTAGTATCTATTCAACACTAATGTATGATATGGCAGACCGTTCGCCATAGCATGGAAAAGATGGAGGCTATAGTCGTACATATATGTTGTACGTGTTGCTTCTGTGATGTCAATCACCTATGGTCTGAAGTCTCTAGTACGTGTTTCCCAATATGAAAACAAATGTAATAATTAGCATAATTATCTATAAATGTTCAAAACCTGGTTGACGCATTACAGAGTTGTTGGTAAGGTTCTCACAATTTTTGTGGGGACGCGAGGCCGACCTGTCCGGGCCTGTGCGCTTTGTGTGGAATCAAGAAAGCTCCTTTCAGAAACATTAATTCCAAACCCTCAGGACACGCGACATTAATCTTTCAAATCTTACCTACATACAGTTGTTGTAATTAATATTTCCTGTTAAAGGAGCATAAGCATTCGATTTCATTAAACTTCATTTGATCAACCTCACCAGGATGTCGCGCAGGCCAGCAAATCCTCAGGCTGAGCGTATTGCGCAAAACACCCAAACCATTAAGAGTCTATTGAAACTCGAGTGTAATAAGGTTTGTTGTGACTGCAAAAGAAATAAACGTAGGTTCCATCGCTATTCTTCCAGTGATTATACGAGCCAGAAGCTGACAATTTCATTCTGGTTGACAGATCCAAGATGGGCAAGCTGGAACTTGGGAGTATTCATGTGCATAAGATGTTCTGGAATACATCGTGGAATGGGAACGCACATAAGTCGAGTAAAATCGGTTGATTTGGACTCTTGGACAGACGAACAAGTACAAAGTGTTTTGAAATGGGGAAATGCCAGAGCAAACAAATATTGGGAAGCAAAGCTGGCTCCAGGCCACGTACCATCAGAAGCCAAGATTGAGAACTTTATAAGAACGAAATACGATTCAAAGAGGTGGGTGATGGATGGACCAATTCCGGATCCCTCAACACTTGATGTCGACGGAGATGACGATATGCCCCTTGGACTTGTCAAAGAAAAACACAACCTCGAGAGATCGACATCACAAAGGACTGCCCCACCAAGTAAAGCCCCTACTCCGATCAGTACTCCCCCGCAGCAGGATCTCTTTGGCGATGATATTGGGCCACCGCCGAGGGCGAGTACTGCCGGTCCGGTACCTGCAAGACCTCCGCCAAAGTCAGAGCCCGCTCCTCCAAAACAAACAAAACCAGCGGACTCCCTGCTAGGCTTGGACTTTTTCGGAACTGAGGCTGCTCCTCCTAGTCGACCGTCGAGTACAGCCCCAGCTCCAGGTACTCAGTCAAGACCCGATCTAAAACAGTCGATTTTATCGCTGTATGCATCCGCTCCCCGTCCTCAAGTACAGCAACAGACATCACATATTTCACATGCATCATCTGGATCTTTTGGTGGTATGCAAGCTGCACCGCAGCAGTCACCACAGCGTTCTACGTTCGGAGGTATGAACGATGCATTTAGTAGCTTGAGTTTCTCAAATTCCACATCTCCGGCTCAATCAAAACCCACAGCCTTCTCAAACTTGGGTAACATTTCCAGCCACCGATCCGCAGCTTCTGGGGCTCAGATATCATCCCCATCACTCAGTGGCGGCGGCTTTTTTGATACGAAGCCCAAAGCAGCTCCTGCTCCCTCACAAGTATCCCGTACATTCAGCTCCTCAAGCGGCTTTGGAGCTTTTGATTCGGCGCCAGGTCAATCTCCAGCTCCACAGTCCACAAATGCTAGTTCCGCATTAGGAGATCTATTCGACTTCTCCACACCTGCTGTGCAAAGTGTTGCGGCGCCCAAGCAGACAATCGCCTCGCCACCCATTCAATCATCCGTTTTCAACCTTTCAAGCACAACAGCAACATCACAAAAATCTCCGCCAGCGGCGCCCGCTATGAGCAGCGCTTGGGGCAGTACCGATGCGTGGGGCTCAAATGATGCTTGGGGTAGCTCTGCCAAAATTAGCCCATCCCTTCCAAAACCTGCACCACCTCAAACTAGCACTGGGGATTTTGGTGGCTGGGGAGGACTATCGAACCAGAGTATAGTACCAGGCGCTGGAGGTAGTTTTAATACAATTGTTAGTGCTCCAAAAGTGGCAGCAGATGATGAATTTGGTGGTTGGAGTAGTGCAGCTCCAGCGCCTGCCGCGAATGCGACTTCTGGTGCTGGAAAGGGTTTCTCATCCGGTGGTGAGGATTTGTTCTCGAATGTATGGGAGTGATGCAGGAATACAGTAGGGTGTGTAGGAGGAATGAAAGGGACAAGAATGTGGAGAAGGTATATGGATATGAATGGATGGATGCATGGAAAATGACATGAACATAGATATCCTATAAATAGCAGATGATTTCAAGGCGCAATTTGGTCTGATGTGTCTTTATACAATTTTCGCGTATATATGTATTCCACCCCTGAAAGCAATAACCAACCGTGCATAAGGTAATATCGCCATGTATCCTGATCCATTCATTCGTAGAGTATATGCAACCGACAACGCCATTAGAATGCCACAGCCGCAGTTTAATATATCTGCCGATGTCCCATCCATACATATAATACAGTTCTCTCCTCTCTCCCATCTCTGCATCCAAACACCATTATTATACGTATATCGCCATGCGGTCACACAATGCCAGTCTCGCATTATATCCATCAAGCCAGGAAATTTCCATTCCCACTCCATCCCATATCCCCTCACCTCTCTCCTTCCCAACCCCATCCAACCATCCACAACCCAAGAATCCCCCGCCCTTCCCTTTTACTTCCTGTTCAAACAACCAACCCCCACAAAAACCACAAAACAAGCACACTCCCCATAATCAACCCACTCAACTTCAAAATCGCAACCTTATTCCCCGAAGAAGCCATACGACCAAGTCGAGACGCGGATCCCTTGAGCGAGGACGACATGCTAGAGAAAGTGTCGGACTATTTATTTGTGTTAGTTTTTTGTATTTGTTTTTATATTCTCTTTTATCTTCTTTGTCTTGTTTTGTTGTATCTGAAATGGGGAGTTGAAAAGGTAGGGGAGGAGACAAGGGAAAAGGGGAAGAAATACAGTATTATCAATAACATCTTGCGCTCTAGCATGATCATATATATCGACCGTGACACCGCGCAGCGCAGATACTTTTGCGGATAATTCGTTGAGACGGGAGTTATTTTGGCGTTCGCGCTCGTAGGCGTCGGACATTTTGGATGGATTGCGTGGGAATCTTGAAGTGGTTTCTTGATAGAGAGATAGTGATAAGGATGGTAGACACAGAAGAGGTGAGCGATGTGCTGAGACTGTAATGTGATGCCTGTGTTTCGAGTTTCGGGGGGCTAGGATGGACGGATGCGTTTCTTTGTCTGCGAGGTTCAATACCTAATGGATTTCGTGATTTAATGAGAGTTTGATTCTTCACTATGTGACGACTGATTTAGTTGCTCCGTTCACTCAGGTCAATTCATATAATACGTAAATGTATGTTCTAGGTGATCTTGTCACAGCCGTGTTGTGGTTAACTAAAATGGTTCAAGGCTGAGGCTGATTTAACACAGCCACAGCTCGGCTTTTGGTACTTGTCCGACCGGTGATCATTTACTAGTCCAATTCATTGCGCACAAGCGATCACCTGAAGGGGCGGGAATATTATGTAATGTATATCATGTTTGCATCAAGTCGCTGAAAAAACCACATGCTTGCTAAAGTTGCGAATAGTACCTCCAGAAAACTAAATTACACGCAAGTTTAATGGGTATGAGTCGCACGTCTACTTTGAAAAATCCTCCACCCATGAGATCCGTGAGGGCCGTACTCCATGAACTCCAACCAATTTTCTCCCAGCCATATCTATCCATTTTGACATTCTTCAATCAAAGAAGTTGTAAAGCCAATGGGCTTCGAATTAAAGACTCAACTCAACGGCCTTGCTAGACTTGATCTGTCCTGACCACTCAGCAAGGGCAGCTTCAACCTCTCCACCAGGTCCACAGTACTTCTCGACCGAGTGTGCACTACGGCCAATGAAGTTCTTTGGGTCCATCATGTTATCAAGATCGGCCCAGACTGGTTCAAAGTATTTGGTAGCCTTAATACGGTCGATCAAATCGTTTTGGCCACCTTGCTTCTTAACAACATCAGAAGCTTGGTGAGAAAGAACACGAATCTCCTCATGAGCTTCTTGTCGCGATCCTCCGGCGGCAACAATTCTCATAATGATTACCTCTGTAGCCATGAAAGGCAATTCTTCCATGACACGAGAATGAATACGGTTTGGGTAAACAACAAAGCCAGAGACGACGTTGTCCATAGCCATACAGACGGCGTCGGCTGATAGGAACATCTCAGGGATGGTGATACGGCGGATTGCGGAATCATCGAGGGTTCTTTCGAACCATTGAGCAGCATAGGTATCGTTGGCGTTCTTGTTGAGGTTGGCAAGATGACGACCAAGTGCTGCAATTCGTTCCGATCTCATTGGATTGCGCTTATAGGCCATTGCGGATGAACCGATTTGATCCTTCTCAAATGGCTCCTCCAATTCCTTCAAGTTGGCAAGATGACGGATGTCACTCGAGATTCTTTGGGCTGTAGCGCCAAAGCTGGAAAGGGCATTGGCGATTCTAAGGTCAACTTTGCGGGAATAGGTTTGTGTGCTGATAGCGTAACAGCTTGGGAATCCGGCCTTTTCACAAAGGATCTCGTTGAGCTGATCAATCTTGGAACCGTCACCTTTGAAGATCTCCATGAAACTGGCTTGTGTACCAGTTGTGCCTTGAGCACCACGGTAACCTAAATTTAAGTGTTAGCAGGTGTTCATAGAAATTTGAAACCTGATCGCGCTTGAGTGTAAGACATATTGAGGACTTACGAAGATCGGCTCTGACTCTCTTAATGTCCTCCAAATCCATGAGAAGATCTTGAACCCATTGAGAGGCACGACGACCTACAGTGATCAATTGAGCAGGTTGGAAATGGGTGTATCCCAAGGTGGGTAGATCCTTGAACTCGAGAGCAAATTGAGCCAACTTGTGAATGATAGTAGCCAACTTGGGGAGAATTAAGTCGAGGGCATCACGTTGGAAAATGAGATCGGCATTATCAGTGCAGTAGCATGAGGTGGCACCATAATGGATGATACCAGCAGCCTTTGGAGCAACTCGGCCAAATGCATGAACATGTGCCATACTGAAAAGAACGAAGTTAGCAAGTCCAATCTGGAAAGTGAAAATTCTGGAGTGGAACTTACACATCATGACGACGCTTCTTCTCTTCCACTGCAGCAACCTCAAAGTCCTCGTCTGTCATGATTCTGTGGTCCTTCATTTGTTGAATTCCCTCAGCACTGATATCCAAACCCAACTCCCTTTCGGCTTCAGCGAGATGGATCCAAAGGGTTCTCCATGTGGAAGCACGGTTGCGAGCGGAGAAGATCTCCTTCATTTCATTGCCTGTAAGAATGGAATGATTAGCATTGAATCTCTGAGGCTGGTTGAACCAATCATTTGATTGTCAAATCCGAATTGGAACATTGAAGAGTGTTATGAGGTCTACAACGTAGGCTCGATAGGTATAATCAAAGTGAGATTTATTTTGTCCATTGAGAGGAGCATAGATCGAGTTACTTACTTGCATAACGCGAAGTCAATGGAGTTTGGTAGATGTCATTGGCAGACATCTTGATTATAATTATCCAAGGATCTCAGAATTTGCTAAGTGATTCAGTGTTCTTGTTTCCGGTCTTTCAAAAGGAAGTTTCCAAAAAATGAGGAATTTTATTGTGGTGAGAATAAAGTAAATTGAAGTTGGAGGATTAATAAAAATTGAAAACCGCGGGGCAGACAAAAATCAATAAATTTGTGGAGGGGAAAAATTGAATTCTGGAGTCAGCAGCGGCCGCTTTGTCCGTTCCGAAGAGGGAGAGCACGGACCATAGACCCACAGACCACATGCACCTTTTATGAGGCTAATCCAATTGCTTTTGTCTACTGGGTACTTAGCTACCTACCTGTTTAGTACCTACTTATAGTACCTACATACCTAGTACCTAGCAGAACACAAATATTAAAGGTAACTCTTATCCCACTTTTCAAGCTCTTTCAATTGATACTTGAAAATCCATGAAACACGATATATTCGTCTGCTACCTACTAGGTATCTAGAAAATACTGATATACATAAAATCTGGAGTGATTGATTAACCCGCGAATATTATTATTAGCCTTCTCACAGGATCATGCTAGCTGGTGCTGGCTATCGGATAACCTTTGCTTGAACCCCACACTTTGTCATCGAAATATTCTGTGGCGCAGTTGATTCTCGGTTCGCGAACCCATATCTACTCTACCTACAGACAACCCAACAGAATCATAGAATAGTTTCGCGCAAGCTCATCACAACTGACTATACATTCGAAAAAGAGATTTCCTTGAATAATCCTTCAAGATGCCTTTGGGAATCAATAACCCGCTTCCTTCGTCTATGGCGTGTAAGTTATTTTATGACATCCTGTTGAGCGGCTAACATGAAATCATTCCACTGCAAGAAGAGCACCGAAGCTGACAATCTACTCTTGAACAGCGGAATGCAAAAAATGCGGAAAGATTTTAAGCTCTTTCATTGATCCACGACAGTCCTTTGGTCCCGATAAGATCATTCCACCACATGTCCTTGCGCAAGCAAAGGTTCGTTCTTGTTTCCGCTGTTTTCCCTTCCCAGCCTCCCAATAACCCGAGCTCCCTCACTAACATTCTCCCCAAACCAGGGCCTCGCAATCGTGACTGTCCTAAAAGCTGGGTTTATTGGTTCCGGTCGTTATGGTAATGGTGTAGTAATAGCTCGTCTCTCGGACGGTTCCTGGTCCGCACCTTCGGCAATTGGAATCGGCGGCGGTGGAGTTGGCGGACAAATCGGTTTCGAACTCACGGATTTCGTTTTCATTCTCAATGATGCCGCGGCTGTGCGCACCTTCTCCCAAGCTGGTTCTCTCACACTTGGTGGAAATGTCAGTATAGCAGCTGGACCAATAGGACGAAATGCCGAGGCAGCCGGAGCTGCCAGTATGAAGGGGGTAGCTGGTGTTTTCAGTTATAGCAAGACAAAGGGACTTTTTGCTGGTGTCAGTCTCGAGGGAAGCGCAATTATCGAGCGAAGAGATGCGAACGAGAAATTATACGGAAGAAGATTCACAGCTGCAGAGTTACTGGGCGGAGCAGTTCGAGCACCACCAGCAGCACAACCACTCATGACTGTGTTGAATTCGAGAGTTTTCGCGGGGCAAAGTACTGATGATGGCACTTATAATGATATACCTGTTTATGACGAACGACACGATGATGTGGTATGGGAAGGTAGAAGAGGAAATGCCTACGGAGAAGGCACGCGAAGAGATCGTGGCACAAGTTTAGGAAATGATTCTGATTATGTCAACCCCAACCGTCCTCAACGAGCGAGTACATGGGCCGATGATATTTATGACAGAGCCCCTACCAATGCAGGCAGGGCTAGGTCTGGAACCGCATTTGAGGATGATTATGTATATACGGATTCTCCTCGTACATCTTCAAGTCAATTTGGCGGTAATGGTAGCGGAAAACCAGGACCAGGTAGACCGGCGGCACCAAAACCAAAGTTTCAATCCAAGACAGCTAGTTTGAGGAGTAATGAAGCCGTTGCGCAATTTACGTTTGATGCCGATCAGCCAGGAGATTTGGGCTTCAAGAAGGGTGATGTAATTACGGTGACGAAGAAGACTGATAGCAATGAAGATTGGTGGTACGTATATCTTTTTTTGCCCTCTTTTTATGACATGTTCTGGCACATAAGGATAGAAAAAGTGCGTAATCAGGGCTAATACATTGTGTTGATAGGACTGGTACTATCAACGGACGATCGGGTATCTTCCCTTCAAATTATGTCAAAATGAGAGAATAAAGTTGCGTCTCAAACGCAACATTATTTCCTACCTGACTCCACTCCCCACACATCCTTTTACACTTCTTAACCTAAAAACACTCTTGATTTGCTTCAGGCATATCCTTGTTTTCATATTCCATATACCGGAGTTCTCGGGGGTTCTATTGTCATCTGTTAGCTTTTTCATACACATCTCTATGTCTGTCTGTCATACTAGCGAATCGATTTTTGTCTCATTACTTTGCCTTCCTTCATTTCTTATATCTTTCTTGATTTTGGAAGAACATGATTGTGGATAGAGCTTGGGCTTGGGCTTTAGGATGCGGATAAGGAATTTGTGAAATAAAAAGCACAGCGGAAGATATTCCTTGATACATAGTGATTGAGTGGTTATGGATGGAAATTTGAATGTAAATATAGGAATAAAGAGAATATGAGTTGAAGACTTTTCTTTTGGACCTCCTGGGCTTGGATGGGATTAGGCGAGTGATGAATGAATGAATGAATGAATGAAAGTGGAAAGATACAAGTATCTACTATGAATTCTTGATTGTTGACTTATGGATGTCTAGTGAGTGTGTGACAAATTACCAGAACACCTTGGTAAGTAATTAAGTCCTATAATATAAACATATCATTCCAATCATAGATAATTATCCAAGTGAACTTTATAATGGGAATCAAATAAATAATCCTAACTCTTTCCCCAATTTCAAAATTAACTTCGAGATTCTCCCTATAATACATGATTTATGAATTTCAAAATTCATATTGTCGTGGGTTTCATGTGATATATAATTATTCTTTTATTTCTTTAAACCGTTTAAGGTTAAGTGAGATAGATAGTCATGGATCTCTCTTTGTTTTTCTTTTCAGTACTATTATATTTTTATTTTTTTGGCTTTTTGTGATTTTGTGATATTTTGGTGATTGTAGAGGATAGATGGGTTAGGATTAGGGTTTTGTTATTGGTGTATATTTGTGTGGGATTTGGAATTTGTATGGGTTGAGTGCAGTGTAGTGCTTTATGGTTTGTTGTAGGTTTGGGATTTGGGGTTTGGTGGGGGGTGGTATGTATGTTGGGGGTTTGGAGTTTGGTAAGGATTCGGTATGTATATTAGGGGTTGAGAGAGTAATTAGATGAGGGAGGGGAGGAGGGGATTGTTGTTTTGAGATAAAGGTGATGTTGTATTAGATGAGAAGAGTTGCAAGACTCGGTGGGTTTCTTTCGTCCAATTGTTTCGGGACGCGGGATCGAGGAAAATATATTATTAAATTGTAATAATGATATTGATATTGATTGGAATTATAATAATAATGGTTATAATAGTGTTTATAAAAGATATTTTTTCTTTAATCTTCCGATCTAAGTAGTTTAATTTGGATTGGAATTGGATGGGGTATAGAGGAGTGTTGGGGGGCTTGTCTCAAATATATATATATATATATAAAGAAAGAGAGTTTGAAAGAAACTAATATGATAGGAAACTTTATTTTTTATACTAGGAGTTTAGAATATCATATTCATCGGAAGGAGCGATAAGAGGTGTATAGTCTTTCAAGTGAATTTCTAACTTTTCGGGGAATATGTTGAGAGGTGTGACGGAAATCCCTGCTTTCCTCCCACCTTTATTATATAAGAAACCTCAGGTACATTAACCATGTCCACACATGATACGATTACTCGAGATTAGTATGCGATTTAGGTGACCTGAGGATCAGATCCGGACAAGTACTCGGTATCAATGGTTATCGGTAAAGTAAGATCATTGGAGGAATAAATATGACTTCTTTTTGCCTAGCCATTGCGGCTAGGCCATTCATTTGTGTATATATAGAGTAGCTATCCCCATCTACAGGTGCTCTTCACCTGTAGATTCTAAGTTAAATACAATTGCTGGTCTATAAACACCCTTTTGGTCACAAGAGGGATGAGATTTTCTTGGTTATATAAGTACTTCAAATATTTACTAATTGTGAGTTTGGATATCAATTCTTTTTATTAGATATTTTAATTATTGCTTTTCTTTTTCTTATATTTTTTGTAAATTTCTTGGTCTATATGTTTTTAATTTCCTCTAGGCCTGCAATATTATATCTTCGAAGAGATCTAATCAATAATGTTGTAAAGAATGGAGATTGATAAGTAGAAAAGATGAATTGGTTATAATATGTTAAATTATTGCGATTATATAATGCAATGATGAGAGTTATGGATATCTTTAGGTGTTTATTCTCGTTTAGTAACATGAGGAGATTTGTGGATGATAGTTGTGACGGAAACCCCTGCTTTCCTCCCACCTTTATTATATAAGAAACCTCAGGTACATTAACCATGTCCACACATGATACGATTACTCGAGATTAGTATGCGATTTAGGTGACCTGAGGATCAGATCCGGACAAGTACTCGGTATCAATGGTTATCGGTAAAGTAAGATCATTGGAGGAATAAATATGACTTCTTTTTGCCTAGCTACTGCGGCTAGGCCATTCATTTGTGTATATATAGAGTAGCTATCCCCATCTACAGGTGCTCTTCACCTGTAGATTCTAAGTTAAATACAATTGCTGGTCTATAAACACCCTTTTGGTCACAATAGTGTAGAAAACTGCTAATAAGGAAAGAGAATATCAATTATCTAAAACAAGGATATCATATAAAACATTAGATGTAGAGATATACGGAAAGATACTCATCTTTCAATCTCTTAGATTTTGTTTTACTTTACTTGGTTCTTCTGTTCGGATATTCTCAATATTCACTTCTAATATTGACGTATTCCCTACCTTCATTTTTTGCTTCTTGTACAATTTATAATTTTCCTGTATCTCGAGGATTGGTTTTGAATGCAGATTCTAAATGAAAATCAATCTTCTACTATCAGTAATCTGAGAAAGTAGATAGTTTGCACAAGGTGGACATTTTATTACTTGGAAGTTTTCATGTGGGCGAATTCGGGGTGTTTAAGGAGGGATTTTGGATATTCTGAATGATGAAATGATAAATTAGGCGATGATAATAACATAATTGACTAGAATCGCAGTGAAAAGGAAGAGAGGTGGAATGATAGCGTGGGATGATACTATGGCATAAAGAGGATTCATGTGTTAGGACCTACATTTCAATGTCTAGAAACACACGGAAACGCCTCCTTAATGACCGCACTTTGATGATACAGTTGATTCAACATCCGCTCTTCTCACCTGATCCATTCAAGTCCTCATCTCATCTCATCAAAGTCAAAGATTGGAGTTGAACTTCATTCACCTAATATATTCTTCTACTAGGTACTTTCTATTAATTTAGTTTTAGTTTAATATTATCTACTCTATACCCGGATACATAGCTTTTTTTTTTTGCTAAGTTCAAAATGGAAATCATATATCAAAAAAAAAAAAAAACAAGTTGAAAATAATGACAATTATACAGATTGATTTTGACAGTAGTAAATTAAACAAAACAAAACTATAAATAAATACTACACTTTCATTTCTAAATAGTTTATTTTGGGCTCGTTCATGATCATGGCCATAAGTTATATATTATCAGTTAGAGGATTTATATAAACTAATTTTCTCCTATAGTAGGGTCTCTGTTTTATATAATTTAAAAATATTAAAAATTGTTTATTATTTATAGCATTTTAGTTCTTTCTTATAATTACATAGGTAATACATCGCATAGACCCTAGTAATCAGAATTTATTAATTGATGCTTGTGGATATTATTTAAATTTATAAGTAGATACCTATATAGAAGATATATATAAATGATAACAGATTAAAAAACAAGACCCTTTCTTTTCCCCATCATTCATTCATTATAAATTAAGCAGTCCATCAAAGGAGTGTAAAACAAATCAGACTCCTTTATAATCAGGATCTTGTTATAGAATTATTATGTCAACGTTCAAGCCACTGGTATGACAGTATCAGAGTAGTTACTCTATCCAACAGGCGATGAGATGTTTTCTGAGAGTTTGGGAGAATTTCCCGCCAGGAAATGGTGTGGGTTGGTGCTAGAAATTAGATAGATGATAGTGATGATATGGTTAGTGATAAATGTAGTAGTACTAGACTTAATATGACAGAGAAGATATATCTCTTTTATATTGTATATAAATAATAGTAATATATAAGACTTATATACCTAAATCTTTCTAAATGTTATTCCATTTATTATATATTTCTGTTAAAAGGAATGACCTCACACAGGGAATAGTGGGAAGCTGATAGGGCAGAACTGAGGTAATATTGGTCTAGTAGGTTAATCTCTCTTCTAAGTTCTACGGAAGTGCGAAGCTCTCTGTAAGAGAGCTTCTCAATCTAGTCCTAACAGGACTAGTGCCCTGTGCACGTGCTACGCAGGAACCATTCACTTTAACAATTTCGTTCATAACTATAATATAATACCGCCAGCGACCTATGGAGTTCAAGGATACTAGGAGTAAGGTATTCCTAAACTATTTAATAAGCTTGTCTTTTTAAAAGATCCTTAAAATAATCTGGGGATATTTGTACCCCATTATAATATTGTAAAAATAAAAAGTATTTAAATAGATGAGATTCTATAGCAAAACTAATTCCCATACCCTTCAAATTCTCAAGGCATATCTCTACGAATCAGAATCTCAATTCGTTAGTTAAGAATCACATACTTCTCCTACCTTACCTCATTCATATTACATATTTGATTTTCCCACCAAGGTCAAATTGTATTGGAAGTAGGAATTATAAAGTTCCTGATCCTGACTGAGTGGGGGAATGGAGTCATTCACTATCATTATCACTTCATAAGACTTCTTCAGATCTATATTCATACTAGGTACTTTATTGTATTGTGTTTATTATTCACTTGATAGGTGGATTGTTAGATGTTCAATTCATGAATGTATTATATAATTCGAGAGATTTTTTTTGAAGATAATGACGTAATGTTTGTTTGTATTGAATTTGGATGTCTTGGAGAGTGTATATATTCGAATGTTTATAGAAGTAGGTAAAAGTGTTCATGATTTCAGTTCAAGTATCTTCCATATGATCAGATAAGAGTAGGAACATGCAAAGGAAATACGATCAAAACCTTTTGAAAATCCAAGAAAGATAGATATCCATCTCCAGCCTTATCAACGTACTAACACAACCGCACCAAACCAAAAGCCCTATCCAAAAAACAACCCTATCTCAAAGACTTTCAGAAAACACGAAGCATCTACTAAAATATTCGTCCAGTTCACATCACACATCAAGTTTCTTTTTGAAACTCAACATAAGCTGTCCCTATCTGGATATTCATCATGTAAGTCTTTGAGATAGAGTCCTTTTATCTCCTTCATTTCTTTCCGCTTTCAACTTCCATAAGAAAAATTTGCATCAGGTGAGATTCACTAATGTTCTAGATGAGGAAATCAGGTCCCTTGCCCCTTGCCCCTCATTCCTCATCTCTTATCATTCATCATTACCTACTAAAATAGAACAGTGAGGAAATAAATGACGTTGCAACAGAAATAGAAAAATAGAAAGGTGGGGGTGACATGAACTCCTCCCAACAAATACCTCCCTGTTATCAAAATCTAGATTGTAAAAGCCCAACAAGCTGAAAATTTCGATATGTGTGCTTGGTGAATGCGACAACAGCCTCATCAATGAATCGAGAAAACAGATTCCGTGGCTATACGTCGAACCTTGATTTGTGATCCACCATCATATGAACATGAGCCCAAATATAAAAAATGTGAATATAGTTTCTTTGCTGATAAATTCAGGCTGCGATGATGAATGGAACTTCAGAATCGTAATTTGACGAATTATCACCACACCATCTTGATGAGAAATTTTTTATCAAAAGATCATGCGGGAGCTTTCTAATCCGCTGTTCATACTATTCGTGCTGTTCAAGCGCCACTTGTGAAGCTTATGATATGTGTATGTGCGGTAGAAATTCGATGATTCGGATTTTCGGAGCATTCAGACCGGTCCAGTCGAAAATGAGAGAAGCTTGGTTTGTTGGGAGGTTGATGTTGAAGCTATCTGGTATACGTACCAAAGTGTCGTTCAATGTTTATAGGTATTCATGGGTGGAAATACTTGTATGATTGATATCTATTATCGAAATATAACCGACGGTTCCAGCTAATCCTTTCCTTTCCTCATCGTTTATTCTGTGATTCGTGATTTGTGGTTCGGGTAGCAGTACATGTGGTAGGGTGAGTGATTTGTGGTATGCATTGGTACCCTTTCGATACATCCATTGACATGGGAATTTGGAATTGATGCCTATCTGTTTTTTGAGATGTTGAAATACACTTGTAGAATGGATGATATAGATGATTTTTGATGTATGAATGATGTTAAAGAAAGAAGAAAAAGGAAGGAAGAAAAAAATGACGAAATGGAAGAAGACGAGAAGAAGAATGGAGGCCAAAAAGAGGGCAAAAAAATAGAATGAAGAAAATTTTCCATTTTTCCTCTCCACAATAGAAAAGAAAAGAAAAGATTTTTTTAGACCCTACTCCGTTTAGTTCTTCAAGAATCAAAACTTGTTCTATTGCCACCGATGATGCGAGTCATTCAGGTAGGTAGGGACTTTTTTCATTTTTTTTTTTTTTTCATTTCCAGGGTCCTCTAGAAAATGTGGTAACAACTCCATAAACTCCATAAAATATGAAAAATCCAAAAGACATGACCCAGAAAAAAGATCCATAGTGACTAAAAGTTAGTAAAGACCCTGATCCGCGGGCGGTAAACCTGGGAATTTACTAAATAGGAACTATGCTTCTAATTAAGTTCTAGAAAGATTTATTTATTTATTTATTTATTGATAGGTACTCTGTAAGTAAGTAGTAGATAACTACAGATAATGCAGGGGAACACAGTACTCAGCATCGTAGTGTTTTCAAATTCTTCAATAAACAGAAATAGATAAACAAATACATATATATATATATATATATATATATACATATAGAAAATACAAAATTAGCTGAGTATACACACATACATTATCAAAACACCACTTAAAAATCGCATCATCTACATGTGGCATATTTACCTCTCTACAGTGGTATCTACTATCTAGAGTACTTACTAGGTATCACCCAGCCAGCCCTCACCCCCTAGAAAGCAATAAACCCAAATCTACTCCAGTACTTCCAAAGAAAGACTCGTAAAAAGCAAAAAAAAAACACAGACCTTCCCGTCCCAACAGCTCGTAAGATTTAAACCTTTTCATAGCTGTCAGATGACTTTCTTTCCTTAGATTAGATTATACTATGATACCCCGTATTTGGGCACTTGAGCAAAGTTTTGCTTTGCTTAAGGGAGCAGATACAATGAATTATTCTACTGCAAGGTTACATTTACATTTAAATTTACACTTACAACATAAACCAAATCTATATATTTCGTACAGAGTGCTTCGTACCAAACCCCCTTCTACAATCATTCCACCAAACTTCCACGGACATAGTTTACGGAGTAGAAATCCGACCTGAGCGTTCCAAATTCCAATATTCATACCAATATTCCAACTCACACCGCTACCTACGGAGACCCAAGTACCAATATTTCAAGACAGTCTACTCCATAAACCACAATAATTTATATTTATTATTGATGGAGAAGAGAAAAAGTGTGGGATAAATATATACGCTAGGAGTAGGTAACCAAGTACACCTGTAAAAAAGAAAATGTGGGTAAATAATCAAAAAGGGATTGAGATTAACGTTGAATAATGAAGATCCTTTTGCTTTGGGGGAATTGATCTTCGAGGTTTTTGATGAGAGTTGAGATTGAGTGACATTTTTTGTGGATTGTTTTGGTTGGAAGATACATTATCAGTTGCAATGGCATCAATACTGCCAGTTTGTCCAATCCACATCCCAATCAATGTAACCTTACCCTCTTCTTATAATGGACCCTGAAGGCGAGATGGTGTCTATTGGTGTTTGCGTGAACTTTGTATGAATCGTATCAAATTGTTCAACCACTCACTCTCCACGTATTCTTCCTGTCAGTGGCTTTTCAAATCATTCCATTCTGAATTGTGGCTTCTAGAAACATTATACTTTTTCGAATTTTCTAATGATCCACAAATAAATGTCTCAAAGAAATCCTCAGTAAGCACTCCGTTCCGCCAGGGGTTTAATATCTAGATGGGGCCATATTTTCCAACAGCCAAGTCTGATATCCTCATCCAAATTGCTATACCTATTGAAATACCACCAAAGAGAGAAACAAATATTCCATCGACAAGTCTTTTAATTTTCTCAAACAGATACGATGAAAGTATGATTTGAGATGCAGAGAAACTTCCCCAAGTGTCAAAGTTCTCGCCACATCTGACCCATATTCCTGCATACAGTTTGCAGCGACAATCATGCACCTTGTAGTAACGTATGTGTAGGTAGGGCACACCGCCTCATCCTTTTCCCAAAAATCTTCACGGTTGGTATGATTCTGGGAGTATCGGAAACAAAAGTATCCTTTGAAACTTGTTCATCATCCCCCACGGCTTCCATGTACGCCATGTCAACCTTCTCCTGCATAACCTAGTCATCATCCGTGGCACGCCAATCTGATGGTCACCCAATTGCCCCCACTATCATGGAAGGATCCTCTCTGCATTGATGTTCTATCAGATACCCCGGTATCACAACCCTGGTTTCGGGAGCCTTCCAATAGCGTTTTAGGTGGGACATACCATGCAAATCAGCACGGCTTTGATGGGAAGCTGCCCTGTTTAACCCTGATCAACTAGCTTGGGGGAGAGAGAGCCTCGGGGGGGCTCCGATGAGAATTGAGAGAAGGAAAAAAGTGTTTTGCTTTAAAGGGTCTCTGACTCTTCCAAACTTTCATCTTTTCTCCCTTTCATATCCCCTTTTATTCCATTTAGAAGAAACAGACTCTCATCACCATCAAATTATCTTTGCATAGCTTGTTTTCCGCCAACATTCTGCCCAGTATAGTTCTTTCCACACATCAACTTTTCCGCAAGTTATAGACCACTTGTTTTTTGCATTCGACTCGATACCATTTAGACATTTCTTCTTGTTGTAGATTTGTTCCGCACATACGTTGATAAAAATTTGAAAGGATAACCAAGAGCTGGATTCCTACATACACAGTCAGCATTACTTTCTTTCTGCATTCTCTTTCCTGAAATCTCTTCTAGTCACAAGAAGAAGAGACTCATCTCCGATCCGGGTTTCTTACATCATAATCAACTTCTGGTAACTCTCATGAACTCCGAGTTCTGTTTTGAGGCTCCGATTCTCCATCATATTTGACTTCTCATGAGGAAATGATGCGAATCAGCCAACTGTTGCAGATTTGAATACCAAAAGCATCATTCTTCGGAATACTTTTTTTCTGACCAGTTTGCAGAATTAGAAGCTTCAGCATACACACTTCATATTTTTATAAGTTATTGAATATTTCAGAGGTTAGTTTTAGATTCCCGGCTGATGATTTTCCCTCTTTTCCTGCATCCCAACACTCGGGTCAAGTAAGAAAAGAAAAGGGTGAATAAAATATTGGAACCTGCCAGCTGGTTTTCTTCCTTTCCCAATTGTCATCATCATGTCTATCTGTCATTGAGAATTAAATCTGGGTCTCGGTCCTTCGGCTTTACTAGTTCTGAAGAATTACGCTAACATTTCCTACTTCCCACAGATTTCTTTCTGGAAACCACTTTCAAAAACCACATACTTCCTTCTTTCCACATATAATATCTTCGACAAACTCCCTTTTTGAAAAGACACAACTGCTTTTCATATTTTCAATCATCTTGAATCAACAGCAAGCAACATTCTAAATTTCGTTCACAAAGCACTTTAATAATCTACAAACAATATGTCTGCTATCCGATCTTCCTTCATTCGAGCTGCCACCAAGGCTGGCCGCAGAGCCACCCCTTCTGTTATCAGCAGACAAGCGCTCCGTGCTTTCACCACCACCCCTCAAGCCAACGATTATGAGGCTATCCACGAGAAGGAAATTCCTGCAACCAAGTTTCAACCTGGTAAGCTTAATTGCTACTCCCCAATGTCTAAATCTATGTTGAGGTTCCAATATCTCGCATAGCTTCGGCTCCCAGTGTCTTCGATTTTTCGGTTTGAGAATATTTCTGGTGGTCAGTCATATACTGACTCTCGGGTGTTTCAGGTTCTGGACCAGAAAGAGTAACAATTCCAGTTGAAGAAGCTTCAGCAGCAGCAGCAGCAGCAAAGGAGGTCGTTGACGTTGTCACACCTCTCACACAAAGTGCATACAAAGGAATGACTCCAACTATGCAAAAAATGAGTCTGATGGGCAAGGTCGTTGTTGTCACTGGGTATGTTTACACTTTCTTTCCCAATTCCCAGTTCATAATTACCATCTGCAATATTTCCTCCTATCAACTCGAATTTCGAGATCGAGATTGAAATTTTATTCTTATCGGATCCTATCGTTCGATCTTGTCATCCCAACTAGTTGTTTAGGGTCCATTTAGTTCACACACCTCATGTTTCACAGGTGAATATCATAGGCTAACAACAGTTATAGTGGAGCCAGAGGTCTTGGAAACCACATGGCCCGTGCCTGTGTTGAGGCTGGAGCCAAGGCTCTTGTTATCTTTGATGCAAACCAAGAATTGGGAGATGCATCAGCTGCTGAGTTGTATGAACTCACTGGAAACAAGATTCCAATCTCTTTCTTCAAGGTTGATGTTCGTGATGCCGATGCTATCGAGTCCGCTGTCAACAGTGTTGTTGCGGAGCATGGTGCTCCCGACGTTCTCATCAACTCCGCCGGTATTGCCGAGTAAGTATATTTGATCTGATCTGCTAGAAGCTTTATGCTAACAACGACCTATAGCTCTAACATCCCCGCCGAAACCTACGACCACAACATGTTCCGCCGATTGATTGATATCAACCTTACTGGATCTTTCCTCATGTCCCAAGCCGTCGGAAAGGCCATGATGGCCGCTGGCAAGCCTGGTTCAATCGTTCTCGTTGCCTCGATGTCTGGCTCCATTGTCAACTACCCACAAGAGCAATCATGTTACAATGCCTCCAAGGCTGGTGTCGTTCAACTCGGAAAGTCCCTCGGTGCCGAGTGGGCTAAATACAACGTTCGTGTTAACATGATCTCTCCTGGATACATGGACACTGCTCTTAACAACGTCCCTGCCCTTGATGCTCAAAAGGTCATCTGGAAATCTCTCACCCCACAGAACCGCCTTGGTGCTGTTGATGACCTCAATGGTCTCGCTGTATTCCTTGCTTCCGATGCATCCGCCTTTATGACCGGATCCAACGTCATCATCGATGGTGGCTACACTTTGTATTAAATCGATAATGAGGAGCTCAATTTTCTGAGAGTCCATCGACTGGATATTTATTCTTTTGGGTACACCCCAAAAGTACAGCTTGCCGTTTGATAGTATCTCGGGAAAGAGCTTAATGATTCTGATACCCCTTGCATAAAGATTTCATTTCCAAATCGATATGATGTTTCTTTGATGCGCGGGCTGGGAAAGGGTGGCGAACTTCCCTGTAATTACTTTTTCAAAATGGACGACAGAGGGTCTAAAGATTTGTACTCTGGTGGCACACTGGTACTTGGATTTGGCCTAGGGTGGTCCTTGTTATATTGGGCGTTAAAACTATAGAGGTTGCATGGAAATGATCTATGTGGTCATGAATTTGAGCGAATGGGTTCGGTTTGTTTAGAAGAGAGATAGGTCAAACTTTTAGAAGATAATTGATACGACTGGCTATGTGTAATGACAATAGCACAGTACAGCATAACATAGCATTAGCAATAATGCGAACGGAAAATGCATATGATTTTTTTCTTTAGATTAATATATGATCTTTTGGTGATGCATAAAACAGTGATACAAAACTATTTCCTATTGCTCTCCTTCTCATCTCTTTTCGACTCATAGTTCAAAAAATAGACGAATGCGAGGCGAAGAGATACAGGTACAGATAGTTATAGTAAACCTCATTTCTTTACCCTACAATATCAAAGAATACTAAAAATAATATTATGTTATATTATGGTAGTAGATTGTGTTTCTAATCTTAAAACCTTTCTTTCTCACTCATTTCCCATTTCCCATTTCCCATTTCCCATTTCCCATTTCCCATTTCCCATTTCCTCCATCATCAATCACCCCACCGTACCCGTCCTCCTCCCCTCACAACCAGATTCCTCATATCCTACTCCAAAAGATCCTTTCTTTCTTTCCTCTTTATAGGAATAAGAGAGAGTATAGTAAATATAATAATAATAATAATAATAATAATAATAATAATAATAATAATAATAATAATTGTTAAAAGGAATAGAAGTTACCGGTACTAATCACGTGTCGTGATTAGTAATACGATTACCTAAACAGGCTAGATTAGACGAACCATAAGCAGGCATATTGGTCCCCTCCGAGGATACCAAGAGGATATTGAGATGCCTACACGTGTAGTAATATAGTCAATATAGAGGCCTCTTCCACCCAATCTTTTAATAATAATAATAATAATAATAATAATAATAATAATATGTTACGTCGGACTTCACATACCGAACATCACGTGCTCAGCATCATGTGATATGAGTATCCCAGTGGGCTCAGCAGTCCCAGTAGCACTGGGACAACTAGGAGCACTGGGACGCATGCCACGAAGGTCTATATAATCAAGATGGATTTCCTTTGTATAGAGCTTCGTGCTCAAGATCAATCATTTAGTATACTCTACTATTACTTACAAATTGCATATAATTATTGTCATTACTTAAGTCCCTGCTTGACGCCTAGTTATAAACCACCTCGAGAGCCTAGAGCACTTCCACGTGATCTAGACGGCAAACCTCGTAACATATACATTAGAATTACAAGATCTCTCTCTCTCTCTCTCTCTCTGTTATAACTAGTTCCCCAAGGTAAGTAAGGTAAGAACTTCCTATTGGATTATATAGGTGAGATATCTCATTTTTCTTCTCATTTTCATATTATACACGCATGCTTACACATAGACAAAATGAAAATGAACTTTTTCAACACTTTGCAATAAAATGCATTCAGGTAAATGCTAACTCCTGTAATTTTTCCGCCAGTATCTTTTAACGACACGGCACCTATATATCAACCTGGCTGTTCCCATCACATCCCCACAAAGTACAACCCAGGAAAGAAAGATAAGCCCTGCATGCAATATGATAAAATATCTTTCGCTCATGAATCCTCCATAATGAAACGTATCAGCTATATCCATTTCCCGTAAATCTTCACCATCGATCATCACATCGAGGCGCGACATCATCTCATCTATCCTTCGCTCACTATGCAATTAATATCTATCACCTCCACGAGCAGGTTTGTTCTTTCCCTCGGCAACAGCTTGAAGTATCAATTCCTTTGCCTTTTCAATACCCTCCTCACTACCCACAACCTCAATTGGATCAGTTCCCTGCCCGCGAGGAACAGTAATGTTACAGCCCGTAGCCTTTCGAATGCTGTTGACCTTGCTACCATTTTTGCCAACAATTGATCCATACAGGCTAGGATCAACGAGGGTAAGGTGTCCAACAAAGTTGTTCTTTGATGCTTGTTCAATGGCTTGTGCCAAGAGAGACTTGGCTTGCGCAATGTTTTCGGTGGGGCCACGTAAAACCCATGGAATATCACCAGTCTCTCCAGAATCAGACTTGTTGAAGACAAACCATTCTTCAACGTCATCGGATGTATCCTTTTCATCGGTGATCAAAGCATCCTTTGCACCGGCACTAGAAGGTGGTGCCGCTCTTGCTGGCATTTTAGCTCCTGCATGATCGACTGTGACTTGAAGATCATTTCGTAATTTTCTGAAAAATTGACCATTGTTCGAAATATCGTTGTGAAGCTTACGGGGAACCTGGACAGTTTCACCTTCCTGACCTTTAACGACTTCAAGAATGTGAGCCTTTGCCTTCTCAACATCAGCTGGAAGACCAGTGATAGTGATACCAGTTTGACCACTACCCTGTCTAGGGATATCAATTGAAACTTTGAATTTCTTCTCCATACCCTTCTTAGTCTCACCGCCAGCACCAATCAAAGGACGGTGCTTATCGGTTGGAACATCCACAGTTTCCGTGATTTGGCTCTCTCGTTCCTCAACGATCTTTTGAATGGCAGCGACAATGTTATCAACAAGTTGTCGATTACCTTCAATCTTGATAGCATTACCGTCAGAATCGGCCTTGGGGAATTGTACAACACGAGCGAGTTCTCGACGGTCACCAGATCCTCCAGCATTGACAATGATGGCATGAATGTTTGCGCCCCCAGCACCGATCAAAGCTCTATGGTGCTTCTTATCAACATTCAAAGACTCGGTTACTGTCGAATCGAAAACACTCTTCTTTTCCTCGATCAATTTCTTTGCCTTTGCTACCTGAGATGCTGTGCCCTTGATTTGGATCTCAACTCGTCCTGATTCATCGGCACTGTCCCGAGAGTTTGGAACATCAATCTTGGCTCCAGTCAACTGTCTCAATTCCTCCATACCAGCTCCACGTTGACCGATAAGGGAAGGAATCTGGCTTTGCTGAACACTGACAGTAGCACCGTGTGAGTTATCTTGTAGATATTGGAACAGAGAAAGAATTTCGTCTCTGGCTTCATCAGCTCCCTTCCTGGGTCCCTTAATGGTAACTTCATCTGGGGCTTGTTGGCGTCGAGCACTCTGTTGACCAGCATCACTTCCTGTATGGTCATCATCCGTAGGTCGGCCTGTGCGTGGGAAGTGAATTTGGACCTTGTAACGAGTTTGCAGCCTGTTGATCTGAGTACCCTTAGCACCGATGAGCTCAGGGTGATATTTAGGATCAATCTTCAGAGTGTAAGTTGTTTCATCAGCCCATTGCCTGCCAAGCGACGAGATGTGCGATTTGGCAGCATCCGCTTTAGCCTTGGGGCCCTTGACTTCAACTTGGCCATCCTTGAGTTGTATGTCGACATCGAACTTTTCACGCAACTCGTTTACAAATGCGCCTCCCTTACCAATGAGCTGGTTTGCATGCTTCTGAGGGAAATCAAAAGTAAGTGTGTAACCACGTTCTTTCTCCTCCTCAATTGCTTGCGCAACAAAATCTTTAACCTTGACAGCCAGCTTTACCACGGTAGGTCTAGGTCCTTGGAGTGTAACGACAGTTCCATTTGCACTAACACGAGCAGGAATCTGAAAGGCCTTATTCTCCGCGAATATGAATTTCCTGAGCTTGTCGTGGTAGCTATGATGGTCAGCATCGGAAATAAACAAATTTCATCAAAAAAACTTACATTCTTGGCACGTCAATGGATTCGCTGATGATCTCTGCCTGAGAACCGATAACATCAAGAATGTGTTTGCGAGCCTCTTCCAACCCACGTTGGAATTCTGCGATATCATTTCTCGAGGGCTGGCTACGGGGTATGCTGTATTCCGGTTCCCTACCAGCAAGTCCTTCAAAAACAAGAAGTACATCACCGTTGGGGCCATCTGGCAATACCATGTGCACGCCATAATCTCTCTTGACTCTTGGAGAAATATCTTGTCCAAGATGTTTATGATAGAAGGAGTCCACAGGAATATTTGCCATGCGAGAGAGAGGGTGAGCATCAATCATGCTGATCAGCTGTTCCTGCACTTCAAACAAACTATCTTGATCCCGAGAGTAGACCTCCCATGGTGAGGTAACATCGGCTTGTGTTGGAGTGAAAATACGAGCATTATGAAGCTTTTCGAGTCTTTCAATCTCGCTTCGCTGGCGTAAGTATCGTGCGAGATTCTGCGCGTGCTGACTGGTGTTCCCCGATGACTTCTTGAGTTGTTTATGGATGTCAATGTTGACAGTTTGCGTAGCCATTGCTTGCTTTCTAGCTTCCCGCACAGCATCTTTGATCTTCTCTGAAGGGCCAACAATCGTAATAGCATCATCTTCATCAGCTTCGCTTGGCAAAAATATGGCACATCCAGTTTTGGCAAAAAAGTCCTGTCCTGGGTTACCTTGATCACCAAGAATAAATTGATGACGGCCCTTGTTTATTCCTTGCAATTCTTGACGGGTTAGCTCCTCGTGCAACTGCTTGGCCCGACGTTCGATTTCAGCGCGTGCTGCTAGAACGGCAGCACGTTCACCATTGAGAGTGATGCAGTTATCGGCAGCTGCTGGAACGAAGAGTGGACCTTCACGATCGCGAGCAGTGCTTGGCAAGGTGTAGTTATACGGGATTTCCAACTCGGACAAGTTGTGAGTGTTTCTCAAAGAATCCGCATGAGTGTTATGAGGACCAGCAAGGAAGGTGTAGAATTCAGATGGAATACCACGCAATTTCGTCTTGGTTGTGCCTACTTTTTCTCCCACAATTTTCTCGATTGCCTTCTTAGCTTCTGCGACCGCAACGGCATTGCCCACGACTGTAACATCTACTGTAGCATCTTCGTCATCATCGGCAGCGCTAGTCTTATCATCCTTTGGAATTTGAATTCTAGCACCGGTAGCTTCTTGCAGTTCTTTAATCTTTAAACCTTGTTTTCCAATGATGAAGGCTCGTGCTTTGCTGGGGATAGACACGCGAATTTCTTGCTAATGATTGTTAGAAACTGGTAAGAAGAAGTGGAATTTAACTTACCTTTGCACCGATTTGTTCCATCAAGGCCTTAATACCAGTACGAGCAGCTGAGGGAGGGCCGTAAGCCGTGAAAGTCATCTTCCCTCCCATACCAGTTGATTGAGTGATATTAGACCTATACTTTTTGTTGATCTCTCTCAAAATTTCGGGCAAAGGCTTCTTCAACTCTCCCCGCTTGAGAATTTGATCTTGGGCTAATTCGATTCTCTCATGGGGCTGTTGGCCTGGCTGATTGACTTTTGGTCGGTTGGCAGAAGACATTGGGGTTGCGGCGCCTGAGTTGGGAGTAGAAGCTGGGGATCCACCATTTGCTGGAGTTCCATTGGCATTGGCTGAGGCTTTCCACCTCCCCATATCCCTTGAGCTTGAGGCTTAGGCTGGGAAGAGGCTCCGAGAGCTGGGAATAACTCGTGGGATTGTGTATCGATGGAGGGCTCCTTGCGGACATCCTCCTTCTGTTTTCCTGCAGCTTTTGTAGATACAGGGGGAACCCATCCCGGAGCAGCGGAATCCCCATTGGCATCCTCGAGGATACTAGCAGAGGAAGGTTGTTCACCATGTTTCAAGTCTTCTTCATCAGGAATATCCTCAATGGTGGGCTGATGTTCTTGGTCATGCTTTTGCATAAGCTTTTGAGCCTGGCTTAATTCGGGGCCATTGCCGTTGGCTTCGGAGTGGCCATTCGGCACAGCAGTATCGACAGCAGACATAGTATGGATGGTGAATATAACGATTGTAGAATGACAAGGTTGAGCTTAAAATCGGCTAGGGTTTCTACGGCACGCCAATCGCATTAGAATATGGTGTAATGGACAGCTTGCTTTTCACTGCAGTAATAAATGAAGAGAGAATAGAATAACACACCTGAAGAATTGAAGAATTGCTGAAGGATTGAGGACAGGGTGAACGCAGATCAATTGAACCGGGAAGATAAGGACAAGTATGGCCACGCAGACAAAATTATGGGAGAATGAGCTCCAGGGTCTAGAAGACTGGCATAAGGGGCGATGCAGAAACAATGTATATGGAGGTGTAGAAATTGGTGCAATGCAGAGCTCTTCTTGATCGAATAGGCTCTGTAAGTACAACTGCTTTTCTCTTCTAAATTGTTGTGTGCAACGACGTTGAAGCTGTCCAGAACTTAAAGTTATACTGTGGGTGGGACGTAATTATGGAACTTTCTTGAGCTTTCCAGGTGTGAACACTTAATCGGAAGCTTGGACGATAAAAAGAACTGAGTAAGCGAAGCCCCGATATAGCTAAAGCCTCTTGGCGTCCCGTGATCGTCCTCGAGACTCGATTCGTTTAAAAACCTTGGGAATATATCAAGGCATTTAGTGAAGCTGCTGTCAAAATGAATGTAGGACTCAAATGGTTCGAAGTAGCGACTTGAATAAGGTCGGGGGTCAGAATAGAAAACTTAGTGATTAGATGATAGTCTTTTGTCCCTGAATCACAAGCGAATTAAAGCAACAGTAATCACAAAGAACCTTCAAATTCTCACCAAATTATCAAAGGCTGCATATTAGAACTCTGGTACTGCTCCCAGTCCGTTGCTTTTGATCATATCAAGTACATAATCATGACCTACTACTGGCTTCAATTCAATCCAATTGACCTTATTTGTTTCCAAAATTCGTTGAAATGAGGGGTATATCCACATTCAAAGTGTCTCTCCGTACACGATTAATGTGTGAGACTTAATCAGACAATATTTGAAAAGTCAATGATGATGCACCTGACGCTTTCGAGAAGGTAGAGCTGGAGTGGCTTCATCATGGAGAGAACACTTGGGTATACATACATGCACTTACATGACATTTGTATGGAGAAGTAAGGCACCTCAGACTTGAAGATAACTGCCAAGACAAGAGCTTCACGATGAATTCCTGTGCCAAGTGGCTATGGGCTTCTTTCCTTTCTCAATAAGAGGGTCCTGAGCTTTTGATTACTTTTCATGGCTTGTCACATAGTCGAATGGACATAAAATTCGAGTCCAGTTCAAATTTCGATTGAGGACCACCCCTCCTGTTGTGTAGCATATGTAGTGTCTTAAAGTCTTTCGGAGTCAGCCCACCGACCTGCTCTATGTAACATATCACCACTCTATACAGAAAAGTACAAGAGGTCCGCTGCACTGTTGTATATCATCAGTATAAGTACCGTATAATATTGTAACGGTGCTCTCCCTTTGTCTATTTTGAAGTTACGGAGCAGGCGGTGGTTTCTTCGGCAACCAGAGGTATGACCCCACTATCTTAATAGCGGCTTGGATGAAGCTCTGTCGTTTGAGATTTCGGGGATAAGAGAACGGTTTGTATTGATACTTAGTCAAAGGTTGCAATCAGAGGTTGAGAATGACTCGGGCTGGCTGTGAAAAAAGTGATAGTATGCTGTACCAGTGCAATCACATACAACGGCTGAGGATATCTCCTTGGATCGAAGCGAAAAGATCCCGAAGATTGATAAACCAAATTGGCAGCTATAGATTGCCAGTACCACATGGTGACTTTTGCAAATTTGAATCTGCTCGAGTATGAGTAATAATTATAAGGATAGGGAGGTGGAATTGACAGTGATGAATGATCCTTGCTCCCGGAATCAGGGATACAGCTTCATACTTTTCCCGGTGGTATTTGTGAAGTCCTTCAGGTTACTAGGTACTTCATTAACCTTACTCCTCCGTGGTCCTATATAATAATATCAATAACCTACTATCGCTAAGGGTGGGGGGAAAGAATATGATGATCTGCAAGGAAACGAGAAATCTAGAAGCCGGAAGCATGGAAGCCATGGGATGTTATTTCAAATGCACCAACGTTTTCGACCATTCAATCCTAGGAAGTTTATAAAGTATTATCAGTTACGTACTAACCATGGAGGTGTATGGGGTTGATGATAGATTTTTTTATCCGAACAAACGGGTGGTGGTGGTGGGTTATTTCTTTTTTGTTAGGTACAAGCGACGAAAGGGAAATACTGTAATGTACATACTATGCTCCGTACACATATACCGCATTAAAAGTTCTGACGAACGAATGCATTCTAATTCAACAAACGAGAGAAGTGCTCAATGAATAGCAGGCAACCAGGTAAGCAGATAAAGGAAGACCTACTGTACGAAGCCATTCGGGGTCTTCGAAGGAAATTTAGAATGGCCTAGGAAATGGTACGAACATGTTTCGTTGAGCGATAATTGGATCCTAGGCACCTAGTAGGCATATACATGCAACACCAATATGTATATGCCAGTAAGAAAATGGGCTGCAGAGTTTGTATCGCAATTTGACCAGGTAGTATAGTGTGAATGGACTCACGAATACTTTAGAATACAAATTGAAAGACCTTACTAGGTGTGATGCTTCCCTACTAAATACATGCTGCCGATGTACATTAGTGTCATGTAATGTACATGTTGTGGTAATGAGGCTTGTTTGAAATACTGTAAGAAAATGGAGCAGTTCAGCGGCAGCAAGCATTTTGTGGAGTACTGTGGCATGAGGAGAGACGAATCCCGGCGAGCATGTGCAAATAGGTAGGTAGGGAGGTAGGTAGGTAATCATAATCATCAAATATGGTGAAAGCTACCTAGTAAGTTAGCAGAATTGCAATATAAAAGTCTTTACCAGCGTCTTTTCATCCTCCCCCTCTTGTTATCATCTCTAGGATTTGATTCGCACTCTCGTGTTGGATGATAGATATCATTGATTGATATCCTCCACCACTCCTTCCTGTCTGTTTTTGGCCCAAAAGGACGTCCCTATATTTTAACCCATCAATCTTTGCTTTCCTTTCCCTCCCTCCCCTTCCCTTCCTTCATTAAAAGTTTGACTCAAATTACCCAACATTTTATATTACTTCTTCCCCATACCTGGTAATTTTATCTTCTAGAATTCCTTGATCATTCCTTTCCAAGATTCATCACGATTGCACCTCAATTAATGGCCCAGTCATTATCTCTCTTCCTAGTCAAATCGGTTAAACTGACAGCGAAAGGGTCGGGCAGTGGAGAATATCGAAAGTCTTTCCGAAGCCAAAATCCAAAGTCTTCATAATCGGGCAGGGAATATAATCAGGGAATCAATCTGTTTACTTTGGAATTGTTGAAAGAAAGCCCTGCCATACATTGGCAAACCACTGGCAGCTCACCATCGAGCCACCTACCTTATCATTTACATTTACTGGCCCTGGGGTGCAATAACGGAAAATAAAAATCTTAAGAATTGGAGAAGAGATGTGCATCGACAGTTACCCTTTTGGAGAGAATAAAAGTAATTCATTGATTCGAGGAATTACCATCATTTCATATCTATACAACATACGAGTACATCCATACTCCGTACATCCATACATCTTCTATACATACATACAGTAACATTCATTACTTGTCATATCCAATCTATCTATACTCATCCCAAACCCCTCTCATCCCCTCTTCCCCAGCAAATCTCCTTTCATTATTGCTTCCCGATCAACCAAGCAACTAAACAGCTAAGCAAAAAAAAAAGAAAACAAACAAAAAAAAACACAAAAGACAAAACCGTTTCTAAATTAATTCACCACCATTCATTTACAAGCTCTCTTGGCCGCCAATTTCATCGACAAACACATAGTGTTACTGCACTGTTCAATTAGGTACTCAATCCCATACACATTCTCTCGGAATTTCCGCCCGCTACCAAATAACAAGCCCTCTTCCTCTTCATTGAAGATTGGCTGCTTACTGGCTACTCACTGGCTCAGTACCACTGTACCGATTTATTCACACCAAGACAGAGACTTGTGAACCCCCATCACTCGTTACCCTGTACCAATTTGATATTGCATGCAGATTTCATTTTTGATTGGTTTAAAGGCCACGGCAATTTACGAAACACATCCTCCACTCAAAGCGGCGGACCCTCCAAAGTTCAAACGAAGGTCTGAGCAGTGACCGAAGATATGGATCAAGAAATCAAAACACCCAGCCGTAGGTTAACTAAGTTAACTAAAAGGCCACCACCATCCAAAGCTATAGCTTCATTCGAGGCCAGACAAAAAGATAATCCATCTTTCCCCTTTCATACATCTTTACGAAGTCAGCGAAGCTCTGGAAGCTTACAGCGAGCCCCGTCGGCACCTTCTTACCCCAGATCTTACTACAACCCGCAAGGTCATACCCGAAAACACACCTCACCAAATCCCGCTTCCAGTAATTCGTCTCTCGAGCATCAGTATTCGAACCCCTCTCCAGTATTGGCCGCTTCAGAATTCGTGCTTCAGCCCATGGGCATGGGAGAAGCGAATGATAATCGACGTTCCATTCCATCGCGACCAATAAGTGAGAAGAGTTCTGAAGAGTTTGTCGGTGCTCCCTTTGATAGTTCTGGTATATTTAGTCATATCGATTCAGCAAAGCCTTCTAGTACTCAAAATACTTTACGAAGACCACCACCGCCGCCGTCATCGCATACGAGTCCAGCGTATACTGTGAGCCCACAGTTACGGCAATCCGCAAGTTTTACCGCAGGCGATAAGATGAACGAAAAAGCCTCTCCACGCGTGGGCGACAACCAGCTCATCAGCCCGAAAAGATACTCTGACGAAACCAAGGAACCAAAAACTGGAATGCTAAGAAAGAAGTCAGGGTTCTCTGGTTTTATGAGCAGTATTGGTGTTGGCTCGCCAAGAGGAGTCAAAATTTCCGCACCTGAGAATCCTGTACACGTTACTCATGTTGGGTACGATAATACAACGGGACAGTTCACTGTAAGTATTTCGAGTGACGAATTGCCCCGCTTCAAATTTATTGCATATCTGACTGATTCATAGGGGCTGCCGAAGGAATGGCAGCGTATGATCAACGAAAGTGGAATCACGAAAAAGGAACAAGAGCAACATCCGCAAACAATTGTCGACATCGTGGGTTTCTACAAGGAGAATACGGATAAAGGCGGCGAAGAGATATTTGACAAATTCGATCATGCAAAAGTGCCAGAGATTGCGATGGCGCGTCCTGTGCCGCCGCCATTGTCCCCGGGCTTCAGCACCCCGAATTATGGCTCAATGACCCCGATGATGAGTCCTCCAGCGAGTCCTCGATTCCCTGCAAATAACGAGTCGAATTTCGAGAATCCAAGATCACCGCCGCCTATCCCGCGCGGAACACCAAGTATGGGTTCTCAATCCAAGCCTGAGCTCAACGGAATCATACCCAACAGACCAGCACCTAGGCCACCCGTATCGATGCAAGGACCGTCTCGAATTGCACCTCCACCATCTGCCGCTGGCAAAGATTCTGGAATTGGAATGACTCGTCAGAGTGATGATTTACCGGCATTGGCATACGTCCCCCCGACTGTGCAGGACAATGGTCCTATGCTCCCGGAGGAACACAGGTCAAGGTCAAGATCGAATTCAAAAGTCAATGGCACATCGCCATATGCAACACCAGTGCCAGCATCCCCACAAGTCTATCAACAACAAATTTTGCATCACCAGGAGCAAGCAATGCAGCAGGCCCAACAGGCAATGAGTCGGTCAATCAGCGTTAAGAAGCCCACTCAACAAGCTACTCCACCAACACCTCAAGGTCAATTCTCGGCGAATGGTCTTCCACACCCGGCCCAACAACCTAGACAAGTACCAGGCCCGCGTCCTAGACAAAGAACGCGACAAAGCACTGGTTTTGATATAGTTGCAAGGTTGAAGCAAATTTGCACAGAGGGTGATCCTCGAGACATTTACAAAGAGCTCACTAAGATTGGTCAAGGTGCATCTGGTGGTGTCTATACTGGTTATGAGAGGGGGACAAACCGATTGGTTGCCATTAAACAAATGAATCTCGAACAACAGCCAAAGAAAGATTTAATCATTAATGAAATTCTTGTCATGAAAGACAGTTCCCACCCGAATATAGTCAACTTTATTGATAGTTTCTTAGTTACTGGGGAACTTTGGGTTATTATGGAATATATGGAGGGTGGAAGTTTGACGGATGTTGTCACGTTCAATATCATGTCTGAGGGTCAAATTGCAGCTGTTTGCCGGGAGACTCTGAAGGGTTTACAACATTTACACTCCAAGGGAGTTATTCATCGTGATATCAAGTCGGATAATATCCTGTTGTCAATGGATGGAAACATCAAATTGAGTAAGTTTCCTGGCTTCCGAGATCTGTAACCCCAACCCTAATGTCTTTTGCAGCCGATTTCGGCTTCTGCGCCCAAATTAACGAAGCTCATAACAAACGTACTACCATGGTTGGTACACCTTACTGGATGGCACCTGAGGTTGTCACACGCAAAGAATATGGACGCAAGGTTGATATTTGGTCTCTTGGTATCATGGCCATTGAAATGATTGAAGGAGAGCCGCCCTACCTCACGGAATCGCCCTTGAGAGCTCTATACCTGATCGCAACAAATGGCACTCCTGCTATCAAGAATGAACAGGATTTGAGTCCTGTCTTCCGAGATTTCCTCTACTTTGCGCTCAAGGTCGACCCAGAAAAGCGAGCTAGTGCTCATGATTTATTAAGAGTAAGTTCATTCCTTCAGCCCATCCAAGATCAACCGAGGTTAACAAATATTTTTCTAGCATGATTTCATGAAACAATGCACAGAACTCGTACAATTAGCACCCTTGGTACGATCTGCACGCAATGCCCGAGCGCAGGAAAAGGCCCAGAAGGCACTATCATGATCTTCACAAATTTAGATCATGAACGAATGATGAACCCAAAACATGATGTTGGCGCTGCAATGTTGCATTGGAGCAATGATTTGACTCACCCTGGCGTTCTATGGCGAAATGTGGCAAGGAATGGCCTCAATTGCTGGTCGCATATATTTCTTACCTTTCGATAGAGCACATGAAGCCATTACATTACCTCTACTTTGTAGTATTTTTTTGGTTCTTTGGTTTCGGGGCTCGTCATAGATTGATGCACATAGCTGCATATATGGTGTGCGAAGCTAAGGGAAGCAAGAGTTTTTGGATCATGAGCGTTTTTTTATCGCATCATATGTTAGCGTTTGCAGGAAGCGAAACCACCTTCCATCGCGAGCAAAAGCTTGTATTTGCAAGTACAAAGTTTGGTTATTTTGTTCTTCCCTTCAAGCCATAACACAAACCTTTGTTCAAATTTACTCATTTTCCTTTTTCTGGTTAGGTGGAGATGGAAAAACTCCTTTACATATATGAAATGTAGGACTCTCCGTGGAGGAGATTGGGAGGACTTGGAACCACCGTTGAATTTGGATAAAGACATCATGACACACATTTAGAAGACTTGGTCGGCGGTGGATGGTTGGCGAATATATGATATCCTGATTAAAATCAAAAAATTTACTTTTGCATTTACCTTAACGCTTGGAGGAATAGGATGGCAATAGAAGTTGAGGGTGTAGGAAAGGAATAGGGCATTTGTATTAATGGTGGAGCCTTGTTTGATCATCCTCGTGGACTTTTCTTATGAGTATTATTCGGTGTGGGGGTTTTCCTTTGGGCTGGGACAGTGAATGGGTTCGGATGGGGTGATAGTGTGATGAGTTGATAGGGTGATATCGAAGGGATGTGCTTTAACCTTTTGGTTTAGGGAAAATGGATTAGATGTTTGTTGAATGAGTATAGCTGATAGTAGTTCAAAACGTGGAAGGCTCTTTCTTCAATTCATCTCTCTTTGATACATGTAGATCGGTTGTGCAGATTACGTGGTAAGGTAAATGATTGTGATGAATACTATTTGTGCTCACAAAGCAAGTATCAGGTATATAAATCTGGCTGTGTGTGGATTTTTCTTGGGATGACTAACGATGGTGATAATGATGATGATGATGGTAGTAGCTATGGTAGGGTAAAGGGTTTCAGAATGTGAAATTATTATATTGTTACTTTTGATAATTAGTAAGTTGATAACTTTTGCTTTTGGGAGAGAAAAGTGTGGGTGAAATATCGGGAAGTGGATTTGTATGTGTAGATTTGTGAGTAGATTGATATCTATAAATAGATAGGTAGGTATAGATGGGTGATGGGAGTTAGAGATCGCAGTTTGTGAGGTGGTTGTTGAGGATGTACGAAGGAGGGGGGAGGAAAGAGGAAGATGTGAATTATGGATTATGGATTATGGATTATGGATTATGGATTATGGATTATGGATTATGGATTTTGGTGATGCGAAATGGTGAATGTGATGTGATAGGAACGTAATCTTATGATGAGTTTCTTAGTCTGGTTTGGTCGTATACTTAGCTGTAGTCTGTAGATTTTGAGGTTTAAAGGTTTGTGGGTAGTTTGGGTACATAGTGGGTAGGATAAACGATGTTGACCTCAAGTATACTAGGTAGTTGGTTGATTGATATATACTGACATTCTTTGAATAAGAATGTCCTCAGTTGTGTGGTGAGAAGGTGAAGGGAGGTGCTGAGAATGATCTCATTTTTCGTGTGTGTGTTTGGACAAGGGGGAGATTTACTGTGAAATATAGAGGAGAGGAGAGTAGAGTAGAGTGCTATTTATATACTTGCTAGAGATCCTAATAGTTCCTCTTTGAATCGTGATATTAGAACCCAATTTCAGCTCTTAAAGTCGCAGATTACCGCTATGCTTAGTTATACTCGCTTGGGCTTCGTATTGTTTTTTTTATCTTCTACTCCATGGTTTGAGGCGAGGTTTATAGACTCGAATCAGTTTCTATCTTCCGTAGCAGAGGTTAGGAGGGTGTTTGAATCTTGAGCTGGATGGACATTGATGATCGATGCTTACCGTGCATGTTAGATAGATATATACGTCATCGCTATATCCTACTAGGATTTGCCATATTTCCTAGGTAGAACTTGTATTGAATGTGGAGATATATAAAGTTCTGATTTTCAAAGTCGAAATTATTCTACTGCAGTTGTTTCGCTCTATTACAACCAAATATTTGTCTTAGAGCTCCTGTCGATGAAAAGAAGACGTGAAGTTTAAGAAACACTGGAATTTCATGTGATATCCAGCGAGAAAGTTCCTTCTTGCAAGGTCCTGGTATGTGTCGTCGTTGTTGTTTACGATGATCGTTGGGTTTCCCGACTTTCAGAAATTACCGCTTCGGTTGTATTTTTCGAATGAGATGAGTGACATTAACTTCACTTATGTCAACGGTTGAGCGTATCCCAGGCTTCTATAAGGGAAAGATGGATATCTTTCGGACTATTTTCCGGTCAAAAATGTAGTGCAAGATCCAGCGGCCAAACTTCACACGGATATTCCGACACCATTCTCTGGTTTCAAATCCAGGTATAAAAAGGAATCCTATATCTTATACTCACTCCACGGGTAGTAAAAGTTCTGCCTATGTGGAGCCGAGACGACGCCGAAACTGCAAAAGGAAAAAAAAATATATTTTCCGGTACGGGGAATTGAACCCCGGTCTCCCGCGACTTGATTCAAGCTTAAGAAGCTTCGAATGAGAGGCGGAAATGCTAGCCACTACACCATGCCGGATAATCTTTTATATTCGATGGGTGGTGACGGTTGTATGATAGTATATTGTATTCATATGTGCGGGACAAAATTGATACAGAGATTTAAGCGATATCTGTGGAGTCAAGTTAGACGCTTTATTATGGTGGATGTTTCGCTGTTGCATTGGAAATGATGGTGTTAAATGTGGGTATGCTGTGTGTGGTCAAGGGGGAAAATTTGCTGACAGAGTTTTAAGCGAGAGCTACAATCCCTAGAGCCGATAGGTTTTTACTAGACTGGATATTTCCCGATTCCTTTAAGGTTTTATCATTTTCAATATTTAGGTAATTTGAACAAATCCTTAGGATCATAATAATAAAATTATAAGAAAAGAAGGCCTATTTTAAAAGGAAATTGAGAATGGTTATGTAATTATCTAATTTCGATATGCCGGAGTCTCTATTAAAATTATACCAGAATTGATTGGCTGAATCTTTTGGTCCAGTATAAAATACTTGTAACTGGTGATCTAAGGTACTAAGTTGGGATGGAACAATAGTTGTACAAGAAAGTGTAAAGAGACTTTGGTACTATGTCGTTGTTAAAGGTCTCCGACAAACAATCAATAATATGGTCTTGAGGTATATCTTTTCCTCCTAAGACGGACAGCTTAGGACCATCATCCGAATGCCCTCAAGAATACCGAAAAAAAAACTCAATGGCTATTCTCCGATGTCAAAATTCAAACAGAGTAAATAGATGCTGTTCTCCAAAGTTAGGTGTTGTCGATTTTACCGGAAGTGCTTATGAAAGATCTACTACAGGTCGTCTTTTGATAGTACTCTCGATGTCATCAAACCACTGACTCTGAATCTCCTCTAAATCTATCTGCCAAATCTATTCCACCATCGATCATTTCACCCAAGTTGTCATCGGTTTCTGTGAAATTCTCGACAAAAACCGACCTTTTTTTTGTGGAAGCAAAACAAAAAGGAATTTACTTGGTATCTAGTTATATTTGCTATCGGTATACGATCAGTGCTGTAATCCCATTGAAACTTGGGGATATGATATTTCGATGATATGAGGAGATGCATATGTGGACTTTCCCATCATCCTCTGTGCGTAATAGCCTCTGCCGTAACGATTTCGATAGGGCTTCAAAATCCACAATGTGTTTCTTCGAAACTGAAAGGCTTAGATAAAAGACCTCTGAGTTAATAAACCCAGGGTAAAAGCATTTCGTATAGATTCACCACGGTTTGACCACAAGCAAGCGAATGGGCCAAATAGCATACCATATTTTATACACCTCTCCTTTAGTAAGAGCTCCAACTCGACTAATTCTGGTGTTGTTGCACACCTGCTGGATTCCAGAGAATTTCATATCGAGTGCTAGAATAGAAAAAAGTGCCGCCTCTGTCTCCAGAACGTTTAAATATGACGTAGAGCCCAACTATCATGCGTCAACAGCTGATATTGAATGCCGGTAGATCTATCCAATATGCATAGGTAGGTCATTTCGCTTTTCGCTGTTAAATCCGGGCTACAAGCCACATGCACCAGCCACTTCCAGCAAATTTCGGCCGAAATGTCAAAACCACGATTCATACTTTTCCACTTTTCTTTGCAGCCAGAATCAAAAGACTTTGAAAAGAGATACTTCTTGCTAATTCCGGTTTTAACACTCGGCGTTTTGACGGAGTTTAAAGGATAGTCAGAATTTTCATTTTGCGTTTACTCTATGATGATACCTACAGCACCCCTAGGCTGCCGGCCTTCTCGCTTGTGCGAAGTACCTGCAACCAAGGGGGAAGGAGGACGCAGATGATTCGTCCAAAATAATGCATCTGTTTTGGGATTAATGGCTGCTACGACCGTAAACTCCGCCGAGAACTTACTATATCATCTTCGTTCGGACGCTTTATAACATATTCGTCTTCATTAACAAACAAGTTTAAACAAAACAGATATCTATCTCTTCCACCCCCAGCAAAACTTAACTTTAAACACTGATAAATATGGCTACTCCAAAAACTGCGATGAAGGTTGTCTTCGGTTCCATGACCGTTGGTAGACCAGGTATACATCCCCCCTTATTTAACTTTATAAACTCGAGCTCATAGTCTCCAGGCGAAACCATTCGTATCACAACCGTTGAAGGTGCCCAAAAGATCCTCGATGTATTCCAAAAACATGGACATTCAGAGGTCGATTCCGCCCGAGCCTACGGCGGCGGCTCAACCGAAGAAAGACTCGCAGAAATCGGCTGGCAAGATCGTGGTCTCATCATGCAAACCAAGCTCTATCCCACCAAGGGAAAAGGCATGACAGCACTCAGCAGAGAGGAATACTCCCATTCAGCCGCCGATATCCGTCGCGGTTTCGAAGCCAGTATGAAAGCGCTCAAAGCCGATAAAATTGAGATGTTCTACCTCCACGGCCCAGACCGTAATACACCATTCGAAGAAACCCTCAGCGAAGTTAACAAGCTCCACCAAGAGGGGAAATTCGACCGTTTCGGTATCTCCAATTATGCATCCTGGGAAGTAGCCAGACTGTGTGATATTGCCGAGAAAAACGGCTGGATCAAACCATCCGTCTATCAAGGCCTGTACAACGCATTCAATCGATCCATTGAAGCCGAACTTATCCCCTGTCTCCGTTACTATGGAATTGCCCTTTACGCATTCCAACCCCTAGCCGGAGGGTTCCTAACCTCCAAATACCACCGCGATCAAACCGAATATGAAGCCAACTCACGTTTCGATCCTGCCAAATTTCAAGGAAAATTGCACCACGGTCGTTACATTAATGAGCGAAATTTCTACGCTTTAGAAGATATCCTTCGACCTGTGTGTAAGAAATATGGACTCACGGAGGCAGAGTGTGGATTGAGATGGATGGTGCATCATTCGGTGATGAAAAATGAGTTAGGCGATGCGGTAATTGTGGGGGCTAGTAGTCCAGAGCAGTTGGAGGAGAATTTGGTGGATTTGGAGAAGGGAAAATTGCCGGATGAGGTGGTGGAGGCATTGGAGGCGGCGTGGAAGCATATTTCTGGGGTTTACAAGTATTTCCATTAGGTGGAAGATGTATAGTGGGAGGATATAACGGAAAAGTGAGGATTAAGTTATTCGGCCAAAATTAAAGATGATGATTAGGAAGCAGTCGATCGGCTCTCAAATCCCAATGTCTGGGATCCATAGAGGAAATGAAATAATAAAAAATTCCGAATATCTTAATGAATCTTAATAGGGCAGCCACGATGGAGTTCTCTTTCTGGTGGACATGAAGTAAATGGAGAGTATCCTCTTCCACTCTGTATCCTCAAGACATCAATTCATATACCTGACTTGTATGATACTGAAGAGAAGCATGTGATATCAAGGGGTGGTCACATGAGCGTAACCATGTTGTTATCACTGTAGTTAAACGCTAGGGAGCTCGTTGCCAAGCCCCTACCAGTGTATGAAATTGAGGTCGAGGGTATTGATAGAGTTGCTCTGGAGTATCAATATTTCGGCGAACTGGTTAAATTAGTTATTATCCGTCACTCTATAAGGAAATGACTAAATCAAGATAGGACGAATCGTCAGAATAATAAGATCACAGCTTTCTGCTGTATGTTGTGTAACGTCTGCATAGACTAACTGTATGGCCGACGGGAAACTACAAAGTTTCCCGAACACCCCACACGGGAAACGTTATCGAATATGGAGCCATGTTTTCCGAGATATCATGATATCAGGAAATATGAAACAAAAATTGAGGAGATTGGTAGTGAATTGGAGGGGGATATGTGATGATAATTTTACTATATAAGACACACCTTGTCTGCCCCAAATGACAATTATACAACTGCGATAGTTCCAGATATCAGCTCAGATCCAACACTCAAATTCTACTTTCCATATTCTCACTTGCCAAAACGTACGATAATGATGCCGCTTCAAGAATTATGCCAGCCTGATCCAGATTTGAATCATGGAGCTCTTTACTACAATATTGACGGAAAAGCCATGAGAAAAGCTGCAAATTCGTCTCTCATACGATATGGAGGAAATTTCTCATCCGATATAATTACAAGAGCAGAAGGCATCTACATCTACACCGCCAATGGCAGGAAGATCCTCGACTTCACTTCTGGGCAAATGAGCTGTCTTGTTGGTCATGGAAATCCCGAAATCGTCGAGACAATCACTGCTCATGCTGCCAAATTGGATCATTTGTTCAGTGGCATGTTAAGTCCGCCTGTGGTAGAACTCGCACAGAAACTGACGTCTTTGACACCACCTGGACTTGATCGTGCTATGTTCCTCAATACTGGAGCGGAATCAAACGAAGCGGCGATTAAAATGGCTAAACTATATACTGGGAAGTATGAAATAGTTGGATTGGGGGCGAGTTGGCATGGAATGACTGGAAGCGCGAGTGGTTCAACCTACCACTCTGGGAGAACGGGTTATGGTCCTTGTGTATGTTTTCCGTGTTCCTATAATCAGAGCCGTTGACGAATCCATTCGTTTGTTATCTCGGAAGATTAAAGCCTTCATATTCAAAGTTGCATAGAATATCAGTACTAACTGCAAAAAGATGCCAGGAAATCTTATTCTACCATCTCCAAACGCATACCGTTCCATATTTCGCCATACAGATGGCTCATACGATTGGGAAACGGAATTGAATTATGGGTGGAATTTGATTGACCAACAATCGACAGGATCATTGGCTGCAGTTATTCTCGAGCCTATCCTCAGTTCTGGCGGTATGCATGTTTTACCAGAAGGTTATATGAGAGCCATGAAGAAACATTGCGAGAAACGCGGCATGCTTCTCATCGTTGATGAAGCACAAACAGGGATTGGGAGATGTGGTTCGATGTTTGGAATCGAGCACGATGAGTGCACACCCGATATCCTAACCCTCAGCAAGACATTGGGCAATGGACTTCCACTTGCAGCTGTTGTTACCTCGGCAGAGATCGAAGAAACTTGCTTCGCCCGCGGATACCTTTTCTACACTACCCACGTAAATGACCCGTTACCTGCTGCTGTGGGTGCTAAAGTTCTAGATATTGTAGTTAGAGATAATCTTGTCGAACGCTCTCACGTCGCGGGCCTGAAACTACAAGCTGAGTTGAAAAGTTTGCAGGACAAGTATGGTTGTATTGGAGATGTTCGCGGTAGGGGCTTAATGGCAGGAGTAGAAATTGTGAAGGATCGAATCACCAAGGAGCCAGCGCCCGAATTAGGAGAAGCATTAACGGGAAGAATGAGTGAACTCGGTTTATCTGCGAATCTATCGACCATGAAGTCGTTTGGAGGTGTATTTCGTATGGCTCCTCCTATCACTATTACGGACGAAGAGTTGATGGCTGGAATTCGAATCTTTGAGGAGGCTTTGAGAACCACTCCGGGTACAATGCAGATTAGCTAAACATAAATGCTTAACTTAACTAGACCCATTGATCAATTCTATCTTCAAGCAATACTGGTTGCTCCAACAGTTTTTATATATGGTGAATGCACAAACGATCTCGAATGATGTAGAATTGCTTGATGCCACAGATGAGGTACACCGTGCAAGCCAAGCCACACCCGAAATTATCCCGAATGATACTTCGGAAAACTTCACTCACTGGCTTTCGCCTTTTCATGATCAAGTTTTGCAAAAAATCTTTACTTTGCACATGTGCAACGTTTAGTATTAACAGCATTGTGTATATGGTTATTTTTGTACGCGAGCGATTCCCACAGAAATACTTGTCAACCAATGGATTCTCCCGCTACAGTAAATGGATCCCGACCTTATCGATCCCACAAAATCCCAGCGTGCGATCGATGCCGAAAGCGTAAATTGAGATGTGAAGCTGATTTATCGGGGGGGCCATGCCGTATTTGCCGGGACCAAGGTGTAGATTGTATTAGGTCAGAAGCTCCCAGAAGCAGCAAACGCAGCGCTCCAACCACAAATAGCACGGGTAACATAGAAACACCATTAGTGCGTTCGTCCAAACGTCCCAGATTGCCTGCAGCTGGCTCAAGTCCTCTTGCTTCTCCGAGACTTAGAGACAATTCCCACCTTTTTATTGAAGAAAGTGTTGCCGAGCAATGTGGTCTCCAAAATCCCGAGTATAGTCGACAGGAAAGAACCATTGTTAATGCAAAATCTTCTATGATTATTGGTCCCGCTATTGCAGAGGATGTCCAAGTACTGGAGCAATACATGGAATCTCAATCTGGACCTAAAACATCTAAAAGAGGACGTCTATATGACACTGTTTCAGACAATCCGAAAGATCCCGTGATTTATCTCAGTGTTTCCCGGCGAAGGGAAGGACTTTCTTCAAGTGAGCGACCGGGGGAAAAGCAGAAGGAAATATTGGAACAAATCCTAGGACCAAACGTCGGCGAAGTTGTCAAGCTGTATGGTCTTTGCCAATATCTCGTTATATGTGCTGAATTCTTCTCAGTTATTTTCGTCATATCCATCCTAGCTTTCCCATTATTGACGAGCATAATTTCAATCAACTGTATTCAAAGGGCGATAAAACCTTATCGCCTGCCCTGATTTGTGATATATTAGCTTCATCTTTGGTATACTGGAGGCAATCCCCTATTCTCAAGCAATTTCCTGTTCCAGACCAGCGGTATTGTTGGAACCTGGCCGTAGAGTCACTTCAAGGAGACTTTCTTGCACCAGGCCTCTCGACACTTTATACTGCACTCCTGGATTTATCTGGGCGACCTGTTGTCTCTATTACAGGCAATACGCTTACTAGTGGAAGGACTGTTGCTCTGGCTCATAGTTTGGGATTAAATCGTGATCCTAGTAAATGGAGAATATCTAATCATGAAAAAAATTTACGAACTCGTCTTTGGTGGGGTGTTTTGATCCATGACCGTTGGTAGGTATCCTATTTCTCACCCTTTTTGTACAATTGATTAGCCTCTTACCAAAATAATATGTTAGGTCGAGCCTTGCGCATGGTGTTCCGGCACATATCCGAAAGAATGAATATGACGTCTCACTCCCTACACTCGATGGACTTCTGACAGGAGAAGATGGAGACTACACAACACCACGCAACAAGCCAGCAGAATGCTTTATCCTACTATGTGCGTTGACTGAAGTACTTGGCGACATACTTCCACCGTTATATGACCGTAGGTGTAGACCAGCTACAGAGACCAACAAGCTGTTACGTCGACTTGAAATCGATCTTGATGAGTGGGAGGAATCCCTTCCACGATGGGCAGCAAATCAAAGCAATTCTGCACTAGTATCAGGCTTAAGCAGTCTAAGACTCGAGTTTCTTTCCGTTAAAATGCTAGTGTGCCGAATAGGGTTTCATGTCAGTTCGTATATAATCCTAGAGAAATCTGGATACTGATTGTTTTTCCAGAGCGCAACTCATTCTTCCGAGCAATGCCTGCCGGAAGTTAGAGCTTACCACCACGCAATGTTACGCGAGTCAGCAAAGGCAATAATCACATTTCTAACTTCTCTAACGGAGCAGAATCTTAACGAGTTCTGGATGCCATGTATGTACCTAGCATTATCGCCGCCTACTTGTGCAGTTAATAACTAAGTTTCCTACCAGACAGCGCATATCATATTTGTTCAGCAACAATAATCCTCCTTCGTTGCGCAATTGATGCAAGTGATAGGGAAACCGCCGATTCTTGCATGTCTTGTTTATCAGAAGTAAAGCAATGGTTAACTTGGGCATATGTTACTCATCATTGGGATTTAGCAGAGATTTGCCTAGCTCAATGTGCAGAACCTATTGATAGATTGAACGCCTCGTCGAGATCAGTGGCAATAGATGCTCAGACAGGTGGCGCCCAAGCTTACAGTATAGGAACGGGGGTTGAAGACCTAGGAGACCCGGCAAGCATACCTTCTCTCGCAGATACCGAAAGTTTTATAAATGGACTTGAGTATCCATTTGTTGATCTGTGGGATATGTTCGAGCAGGAATATCAATAACTCAACAGTGAAGAAATTTCTTTAGATAATTTCACTCACTTTTAGTTTCATCCTAGGCCTTAGAGCTATAATTATACCTCTGCATCATCATGGGGTTGTCCAAAATACAACGAATTCGGAATCTTTCGCAATTCTTCGTTTCAATTACCCCCAGTTTGATGCTATGTAAGCACACTAAATCTATCACAATTTTGGGGACTATTATTGGTGCAGCCCAGCTTTTTCGCGTCAGCTTCATTTTGGCGCATTTTTGTCTGGACACCTGCTGCGGGATCATTTGTTAATCCTTCATCCTTTATGAGATATCATCCTCGATGTGAATAATGTTCACTTTATCTAATATATGGGACATTTAAAGTTAGAGATATTCCATGCTCATTATACCAACAGTGAAGGAATGAAAAGTTGAGAAATTGTCAGTGACTCAGCGGTTTTCTGATATCTTTTGATATTAACATGGAAATGGTACCTAATGTGCTTTGGAAATTTAGCTAAGGGCTATATACTATAGCGATCTGTCTTGCTCGTAGCAGTACGACGCAGGTTTACGCATAATAGACATTAAGTACACATCTACTGGCATTGGCTTTGGGTATTTCCTCCATCCGCAGACCTTCAATGTTCCATGTGCATTCAAAGACTCGTCGTGATCTAGAATACTGATTTCAAGTTGCCTCAATATCATATATTCTATTCCTATACTTATGAAGTGCTTGCATGTCCACACTTCTGAGCTCATGATCATACATTTCTCTTATGATTAGCTGGCGGAGAGGTCTACTCTTTATGTTTAGGGGGTAATGAAGGAAGATGTGTATTAGGTTATTCCTAGCTTGACATTTTATAATACTACATATTTCCCGAAGTATTACTACAGGAATATATACAGCTGGGAAACTTCCTGGTAATTAGATTTTTGTGGTGATTCATTGCGACTGATGATAGATATATCATGCTCATTCGGACGCCCACACTCAACATCATCATTTTCCAGGAATCGTGACCATCCTTTCTGATTTTTGACAACCTAGAAGAGAAACTCCACAACTGAACTACACCCCCATCACTCCAAAACTAACATCAACATAGACACTAAATCTCCCAAGTCTCAAGCAAATCATCAAAAGTCACGTGACTTTTCAAAATTCCACAACAAATCTCTGAGTTTTATATTAACATAACCAGGATCTCTGCATCAAATCAGGTTAGAATAGCCTGAATGTCTCACGGCCTGATAGTTCAGTGGTAGAATTCTTGCTTTGGGTTGGTGAAATCTAATTTGTAAGAGGTCTCCGGTTCGATCCCGGATTAGGCCCTTTGAAATGTTTTTTTTTGAAGTTTTGTTTGTTATTCCCTTCTTGAAGGGGAAGGAACGAAGGAAGGAAGGAGAAGGAGTCTTCTTCGCCCTTGCACTTTTTGTGTGGGTGGGATTGGTTGCTTATCGGTCGGTGGGTGGCTTTGGGTGGCTTGCTTATCTATTATTGTTATTGATTGATTGTGGTGGCAATATCCCCGCGTGATTACATAATTTATTGGTTGGTGTATGTCTATCTATACACACACACACATACATCTTGTTTGTATATCTATCTGACTTATTCATGATCAGCCATTGAAATGTGACTCCATCGACCACCCTACATCATCCATATATGTATCGGGTAGAGAAAGTCCCAGTGCGATACAAATCTCTAAAAGATACATTTAAGAGATAGAACTGTATAAATGACCTAGCACTTGTGTTTGTTAGTCATCCACCAGATTTACTTGTCAACTGATTTTCACGACATTAACAGAAATTTTATGTTATAGATTGACTCGACATTCACTGATTATTGATAGATGGTGTTGCTACCTTATGGCTTGCGTAGCATTACCTCCATGCTCAAACTTTCAACTTATTAATAAGTCCTTTGAAGATCTCTAATCATGATTTCAAGGACCAATGAGAAAGGGCATTCCTTATTATCCCTTTGCGCGGTTTGTGCGGTCTTGAGTGTTTTTTGCGGTTTGCGTTTTTTGTGCGGTATAGATCAATTGCAATGGCTTGCCACCTCTTGGATAGCAATACGGTTTGATATATCTCTATTTCCTTCTCTAACCTTGATTAGAGTTTACCTTTTTTTCCAAACTTGACTTTTAGTAGAAGTCTCTTTCCTCTAAAGTTATTATAGATTTAACAAAAGAAATGGCCGGTCCAACAACAACCAACAACAATATTCCAGAAAGCATCAATTCTGGAGAATTCGAGAAAATGGATATCCCTTCAACTCATAACCCAACATTGATCACAACATCTTATTTATTATCAAACCTTCATTGTCCCTCTTGTGTATCAAATATTCAAAAATCCCTTTACGCATTATGTCCTCGGCCGAAAGAAGTTATACCATCTCTCATGTCATCATGGGTGACTGTTCGACACCAAAAAGATTTATCAACTAAAGCTATTCGAAAGGCGTTGCAATCCGCTGGATTTGACGTGTGCGATGTTACATCAGAGGAGGACGGTAGCGTTGCAAGATCACACATACAACATGACACCGATACAGGTTACCTAGATCAAGTACTTCAAAAGTGGTCAGCTACCAGAAGACCTCCTAGCCAGCTTCCATCGTCTCACTTTGATTCAAACTCTGATCGTCACCTTGAGAATTGCGAAATATGTCGTCAAGAAGCCACCAGTGGAGGGGCTGGACACAATATTTCGAAGAAGTTGAGACAACAGAATATACATCCGCCCTTGGAACGGCCGTCCCAAGCAAGCGGTGTGGATGGTATCACTGAGACTTCCAGCAAAAGAATGTCAGATAACGGGAAGTTAAATTTGGTCGCCATTGATTCTATTGATTCTATCTCATCCCAAACCTTTCGAGCATCATTGGCCATTGGTGGAATGACATGTGCCGCTTGCGTCAATAATATTGTGGTAGGATTGAAGAAGAAATCTTGGATCAAGGATGTGGTGGTCAATCTCATATCGAATAGTGCTACAGTTGACTTCGACGATGAGAAATACGCGTCTCAAATAGTTGGAGAGATCGAGGATCTTGGCTACGACGCTGCTTTGGATAGTGTGGTCAATTTGAAGCCGGAGCCTCAGAAGCAAAAGGTGGTGAGAACGGTGGAGATCAAGGTAGATGGCATGTATTGTAACCACTGTCCTTCACGAATCAATGATACCCTGAAAGGTTTCGATGATCGCATTACTATCGAGAGAGCTTTGAGTTTGCAGAATCCGGTACTGAAAATAAGTTACATCCCATCAGCACCTACTTTCACGATTAGACAGATTCTCGCCAAACTCTCCAGCATCGAAGAAGTATTCATACCAACAATATATCATCCACCTACTATCGAGGAACGATCTCGTATAATTCATAAAAGAGAGCAACGACGAATATTGCTTCGAGTTATCGTCACCTTTATCATTGCCATTCCTACTCTGATTATCGGTATTATTTTCATGAGTGTGGTGCCATCAACTAATCCTACCAGAAAATATCTTATGCAACCTCTCCCAGCCGGCGTCGATCGTGCGCACTGGTCTCTTCTTGTTATGGCTACGCCAGTATACTTTCTTTGTGCCGATGTCTTCCATAGACGAGCTCTGAAGGAAGTTCGAGCATTATGGAGACCTGGCAGCACGACACCAATTCTTCAAAGATTTTATCGTTTTGGAAGCATGAATATGCTCATGTCATTGGGTACTACAATTGCCTATGTGTCATCCGTGGCTCAATTGATTGCGGCAGGAGCTCATCCAAATGCTATGGCGGATGATAATTCCTTTTATTTCGACTCAGTTGTCTTTTTGACATTGTTTCTACTCGTTGGACGTCTTATCGAAGCTTATAGCAAATCGAGAACTGACGATGCAGTTACCATGTTAGGAAAGCTACGACCCACAGAAGCGCTTTTGATTGTCCCGGCTTCATCAAACGATCACGGGGACTTTGTCAGAGATCTAAATGTCCCATACTCTGACGAAACTTCAACAGCCTCAGATGGCCACACGTCTATCAGAAGCGTTAATGTTGATTTACTTGAGTTTGGTGATACCATTAAGGTCTTACATGGTGGTTCTCCAGCTTGTGACGGTAGAATTATCAAGGGAGAGACCAAATTCGATGAATCAAGTTTGACAGGAGAAGCAAAGTTGGTGAAAAAAGTTGTAGGCGATGAAGTGTTCTCTGGAACAGTCAACAAGGAATCACCAGTGACTGTCAAAATTACTGGAGTCGCCGGATCTTCAATGCTTGATCAAATTGTCAAAGCGGTTCGTGAAGGTCAAACCAAAAGAGCACCCATGGAACGAATTGCAGATACTTTGACTGGATACTTTGTACCTCTCATTACTCTCATCGCCATCATTACTTTCATTGTCTGGCTTTCCCTAGGACTTTCAGGAGCCTTACCAGATGATTACCGTGGTTCCAGCGGGTGGGCTGTTTGGTCTCTTCAATTTGCCATTGCTGTCTTTGTTGTGGCGTGTCCATGTGGTCTAGCATTAGCTGCTCCTACTGCACTATTTGTTGGTGGTGGTCTTGCAGCGCACCATGGCATTTTAGTGAAAGGTGGTGGTGAGGCATTTGAGAAGGCGAGTATGCTAGACTGTGTTGTCTTCGATAAAACTGGCACATTAACCCTAGGTGGTGAACCGACTGTTACCGATTACGTATTTATTCCAGACGATGAAAGCAATGTTAATGCCTCGAACAATCAGAATATCCCAGAAGGCCACATTAATCCATTGAATGATAAAGAACAGAATCTCCTCAGTATGGTGAAATCGGCCGAGGAGAATAGTAGCCACACGGCAGCTAAGGCCATAGTCTCATTCTGTACGAGCAATCGGAAATCCACTCCTACAAATATCGAAGAGATCCCTGGTTATGGTATGAAAGCTACATTCGACAAACAAATCCTCATAATAGGCAACGAGCCGCTTATGGAACACTACAGTGTCGGGATAACCCCTAGTCAACAATCCAGCATCGATAATTGGAAGAAACAAGGCAAATCCATTGCTCTAGTTGCTTGGTCCTTATCTGGAGATCTATATGAACTCGTAGCCATCTTCGCCATCTCCGATCCCATTCGTCCCGAGGCAATTTCCATTCTCTCCGCGCTCAAAGCCCGTGGTACAGACGTCTGGATGCTTTCTGGTGATAACCCCACCACCGCCATTGCCATAGGTCAACAAGTCGGTATTCCCCCCAGCAACATCATTGCAGGTGTCCTCCCCTCAGAAAAAGCAAAACAGATTTCCTATCTCCAGAAATCGCTACATTCCCATCGTTCTAAAAGACACGACTCTTCTACAAAGAGAGCACTGGTCGCCATGGTCGGAGACGGCATCAACGATTCTCCCGCTCTAACAGTAGCAGATGTCGGAATAGCCATTGGATCCGGTTCTGACATCGCCATCTCATCCGCAGAATTCGTCCTCGTTTCTAGTAATCTCAATTCTTTAATCACGTTGTTGGATTTGAGTAAAGTGGTGTTTCGAAGAATTAAATTCAATTTCGCTTGGGCTTTGATATATAATATTATTGCACTTCCTGTCGCTGCGGGAGTCTTTTATCCAATTGTTAGTAGAGGTATGCATGTCAGGTTGGATCCGGTCTGGGCGAGTTTGGCTATGGCGTTGAGTAGTATTAGTGTGGTTTTGAGTAGTTTGGCTTTGAGGAGTAGCGTGCCGGGTTTGGGGTTTAAGGTTAGGAGGTAGGGGTTAGTGTTATGGCTGGCTGGCTGGCTGGTTTTATGGTTTGGTGGAGTTGGGTTGGGAGAATGGAAAGGATGGTTATGGTTATGATTATGGTTATGGGATGCATGGTTAGTTATATATATAACTTGATGCTTTGAAATCGTACTTACGAGTATGATAATTATTGGTTATTCGTTATATTTTAACATTTTTATCTGCGTAACATCAACGTGAATGTCTGCTATGTGATTAAACATGAAAAGCTCTCCTATTTCCCGAGTTGATTTGTTGATCATATATATATACCTAGAAGAGCTATCAAAGAGATCGAAGAGATCTATTCCCGTTCCTTAATTCCCTTGACCTCCATTTGTATTATGGAGCACTTGAGGTAGAAATTCCTTGCATAAGAGATCTATGGAAGATGGTAATCTTAACCATCGACGAGAATGAAATTCCTCATCTTATCTATCGAAATTTGGAGGTACAGTATTGCCTTTGGACCTTGAGGATGAATTCCTAACCTCTTTCTTACCTTCCTCAAATAGCAGACTGAAAATAATAGAAAATAGTAAAATAATCTTCCTACTCTTAAAAAAAAGTTCAAAAGAATTAAGATCTTACCTCAAACCTATTCTTCAAGTGCCATCAAGGTATAATTATCCTATATATAGAAAAAGGAAGAAGAAAAGCCACTAAAACTCCAATATTATCGGAGAGCTTTTTCAACCGCATCATTAAACCGTATGATTCCAGTGTGCTCAGAAAGCAAACCAAAGCAAGATCTAGCTCCTCACAAAGCCCTAAGGCTAGACTCAAACTCCGTGCCCCTAGTACCAGTTCGAAAAAGAATCCTTCCTCTAGCTGCCTACTTTCCCACAAACAAATCATTCTGACTATTTATTTTCAGATAGGAGAGGAGAAATGTATAGGAATAGATATTCTATATATATATCGATACAGATCGGAGATATTAGTTGGTTTTTTGCTTTGATCACAAGGTGAAGATAAGGATGAGGATGAATATATGGAGGTAGAAGATATTTGAAGATGACTAGCTAGGTAGCAACCTGTTGGAAGTTAGTATTTCCCATACTAGCCTGCTTAAGAAGAGGTCACTTAGCGCATCCTCGAAGTAGCGAGATATCAATAAAAAAACGAATTACACTCCCGCAGAGAGGCCAACTTGTCTCTCCACAATCTATCTCGATGTATAAGCTGGATTGTGCAGGATTGGTATTACTGCAAAAGTGATTTCTTATCTATTTATTGGAAAGATTTTCATAAGTATTACGACTAAGGTGTTCAATCTAAGATTTATGCTCTACGAAATTCACTATATTGAATATTTAAAACTAAATCTCACCTACCGTATATACCCTAAAAACCGTATATTGATAAAACAGAAAGCATGGCAAATGTTTAATACGTCCAAATTACATGCGCTAAATTTTTTAGTTGCGTACGGCGGAGGAGGCACAGTAAAATCTAGAGATGTAAGTCTAATGCATTATAATGAACGTATTCGGTGTTTGGACTGTATTGACTATAACATGTACCTATACTATGTTTAAAACTCCCGGCGTTAATGCTTCTTCTTCTTACAAAATCACACACTGCATGCTATTGCAATACCTACAACAATTATCCAGGGAATTTGCAGTTCGTACTACATTGGTAGCAAATCAGTATTTAAACTATCAGATAGTCCATCCTCCCCGTTGGCTGCGCTATCAACTTAACAGCTAGCAGCAACAATCTCCAAAAATCCACATTCAGAGCTTCCGATTCTCACACATGAATCGTCTCATTAACTACTTCCTGGGAAAAAACACATCCATACCTAAAAATTCCCCTCCACACTCCCAGTCACCTGCCACCAAGATATGCCAACTTTACCACATCACATACAGCTGCTACCCGCAGTGTAAAACAGGAACAAATGAACCGCCGCAATTGGTACGTTGTGAATTATTCCGCGATACCGAAAATTTACCACGGGATAATGATAGATGTAGTGATGAAGATGGTGGGAATGGTAAAAAGATATCAGTTCAGAGGTTGAGATTGAGACAGCGCTGTTCTTCTTGCGTTACGAAAGCAGTGGCTGCAAGAGTGGTAGAGAGAAAGGAGAGAGAGGAAGGAGAGGGCGGTGCGGAGAGGAGAGGAGAGAGGGGAGAGGTTTTGAGACAATTAAGATTGGAGGAAGATGAGGAGGAAGATGTGACTCCTAGACTTAGTCAGTATCCGTTCACTAGCGCCAATTTCCGAGTGTGTGGTCGCGATTCTGGTGGAAAAGTGAATTGTGGTGTGGAAGAAGACTTGATAATAAAGATGGAAGACGAATTGAAAGCTGGAGCAAGTTTCGAAAGCATCGATAATAGATCTGCTTCTGCCCCTGCTACTCCTCCTTTGTCCCCAATATTCATGCCGTTGAGCGAGAGTCTAGAGTTGGAAGAAGGGCATCCGGAATTCCTTGCTGACAGTGATGGGGACTTTGGTCTGGGTATTTATTACTAGACCCAGGGAGGTGAAGGGAAAGACAGGATTAAGAGCTTTTGAGCTATTCAAGATAGCAGACGGATGAAATAGCTAGGATCCATATATCTGCAAGGTTGTGGAGAATTATGGATTGGGGAAGTTAGATGGTAGAACTTTAGAGGTGAATGGATAATTTATTTAATTGTTGCAGTGAATAAAAATCAATAAATTCAAATATTCATCTTTGCGTGGCGCTGGCAATAACTTAATGCACTATATATTATTATACAAAGCCTGGTGGGGATGGTACGCTGGCTACCAGTTAAGGGTTGGAAGTATTTCACTCCAACAAATAAGCGAATATTTCCATGTACTCCGTTATTAAAAGAGTCAATTTTCATCCGATTCTAACTGCCTAATGAGGTTTCCGATATTTAATTTGTGGAAATATGCCTAATCATACCTACCTAGTCCGATGCTCAACAGTCTCGTTTTGGCAGGGCACTGGTATAGCTCATCTAGTCAACCAACTTGGCCTCATCCTGATTAATTTAATCCTGCTACTGATTCAACAGTATGTAGACTTAACAATCGAGGTAGGTATAATAGTCATACTAAATGATTCCAAGAATAAATCTTCTGCTAATCTAGCGACTCAATGGCGTGATTGTGCATAGCTTTCAACACAATTTCTGACTTTACAGAGTCGAAGAAGCATAAACCCGGTTCTATTTTGGCTTCTATACATACATTCACAGAGCCCCACAAACAGAAGTTTTCAACGCCTTGGTTGAGACATCAAAATTCATAATCAGAGATTTTATATGCACTATCATGGGTATATTTGTTATCCGCACCACAAAATCTCGACGACATACATCCAGCAAACTTGCGAAATTGATTCTGTTCTTTACTTAGGGAAAGACTGCTTCATGTATCGATCAACACTATATACAAAATCCGATTATGATCGTTAGTGAACATAATTCCTTGGTCATTATGGAAATCAATGATCCAAGAAAGCCTTTCTCATACTAAAAAGGCATAGTACTGCTTTCTAACGCCTTAGAATCCACCTCATGAGAAGTGCGCATAATATACTCAAGTTCGGATATCCATAAGAAGCGCATTGGAAATCAGCATGACGATGGCGAGATTCAACAGTCAAAAGAACTCAACTTTGAAGCTTGCCCGTCTTGCCATGATGATTGGTCAATTGGAAGATCAAATGCGCCTTGGATGCGCCTAAAATCAGCAGTGTGAAAACTGCCAGATCTCATGCTGAGCTATTGTCTTTCCATTTTCTGCACTAGGGTTGTTAGCGCCACAATGACAAAACAGAGATTTCATCTTGAGTAAGGCAAGGAAGCGGTCTCTACAAATCAGTGACGCTACCAACTGTTTCGCTGGAGATGTATCGAAAGGCCTTTCGAGAGTAAACGCTTGCTTCTCTCGGAGGATTGTGACATGGTAAAATTTGTAGATGAACTTCCATTGACAGCAGCAATGGAGCTCACCGAGAGCTGAAAAGAATCTGCAAAAAAGGTAGACTGGAGGCCTCTGATAAAAATGGTAAGCTTGCAAGAGCCATTGAAACTTATCATTGACTCAGCTAGATGCATATACCTCTTCTGCAGTACATGGAGGGATCAGAAGAGAGAAAATTGTGAACTCGGACGATGAAAGCGGAAGGGAAAGAAGGTTAAAGCAGGTCACTAGACGGAGGAGGCGGGTAAATTTTGGCATCGTGATGGTATGTCAGTATGATATACAGGCTACTGTACATCAAGAAGCCTTCAAAATGCAGGACTTGGACCTCCAAAAATTTCGTCTCATTTGTTCTTGCCTTGGCGATACGGGTAAAACACGGGGTGATGCGTGCCGCTTTAAGATAGCAACTTGATATGGGCGAGAATCTAAGGAATCTACCGCCGCTTTACTTTAAATTGGTCGTAACTTGTAACGAATGATCCTGCCGATCATGCCCCTCGTCGCTCCTCCCTGGAATGTCTTCCAACGTCACCAAAGGGGTCCATACAGACAGATACATAGTAATCAACAAGATAGCTACCTTGACGGGTATCTTCACGGATGTCTCTGATACCGAAAACATGACATTTCATCCCTCGCTCGGAGTCGCTCCTGTCGCTTTTTCTCGCACAGGCAGTCATGCCGGCACAGTTTCATTCCTTCGCACAAGAATGTTGCAGAGAGTCAGTTGAGCTCTCAACAACTGGAACACAAATCAATCGATAGAATGATAGAATGATAGATTTGATAGAAGTTTTGTCCCCGGACCCACACATCCCACGTCCCTCGAATGCTATTCTGAGCTTATTAATATCCTAAATTCCGAGTTACTAACATTCACTAAGGCTCACTAATTGCTGATCTTCCGGAAGAGAAACATCCCGAACATCTCTAGTGGAAATCGTAGGTCGTCGACTTTTCTTGATATTTTGTGTTCGTTTCTGTTGGTTATTATATGTTCATTTTTACTTCCTCTTTTCTGGTTTTCCTTTCCTATGCCTACGTTGTCTGCATGATATGATCACAAGGTTCCTTTTGTCTCCAAGAGAAGATTGTTCGTAGCACGCACAAGGAATTGTGAAACACGACGGGTAGGATTTGAGACGAACACGACGATCAACATTTCACACAGGAAGGGATCCTTGGCTAGGAATGAATTGATCGTTTTGGACATCAGATGAACAATTGAGCTGTTCAATACAAAGATACACAAGTACCTTAAGACTTCAGACGAGTGCTGCAAGACCTCGAAACGAAACAACGGCCTCAAGATTGTATCAGAGTAGAAAATCCATTGCGCATTATCTATCAACGTCACAAGCAAGAAAATTTTCGAAATGCTCTGCACAAACAGGGCAGAAGCCTTTGTATGTTCCCATACATGTCCCTTCAGCTTCACCCTCACTGACATCATCCAGGGCTCAAACTCCCAACTAAATTCCTCTTCCCTCCCCACAACATGTTTTACAGACGTCGTCCTCATTCCTCTCCCAACCTGGCTCGCCCTCGTCTTCATACCCATCCTCTTTGCTCTAGGACTCCACAACCGCAAAATTAACTACAACCCATCCACCGCACATCTACGCTCCAATAGCCGCTCCTCATGGCCTTACCTCATATTCCTTAGTATCTACTACTTCCTCATCGTTGCCAACATTATCATGCTCACTGTGGAAATTGTACGATTATCAATGCTTCACTACGGCATTGGTTTAATCCCATTCGCATACGTCGGACTTCTTCTCTCAGCCTTCTTATTTTGGAGTGAAGGAATGCAAGGACGTATAAAATGGTGGCAGGGAATAAACATGATAGTTTGGATAGGAGGCATTGCGGTGAGTGTTGTGCAAGTCATTGCATTAGAGCAGCAATTTGGAATCAATGGGAGTAAGGGGAGTAAATATCCTGTTAGCGACCAGATCCTCGATATAGCTGTTATGGCAGGTGTATATGCCGTTATTGCGCTACTGGAGATAATATTGGTGACGTGGAAGGGGAAAAAAAGGACGACAGCGTTAAGAGAGGAGAGAGGAGAAATGGGCACGTTTAGTTATGAGAGGGACGCGAGTGAAAGCCCCATTATGAAGGAGTGAGTAGATTCTCGTCTGCGATTTTGAGACGTATTAGCTTGTATACTCCTTCCTGTATTTGTACTTGTAAAAGTTTGCTTCAGCTGGTTTGGAGTTTTGTAATGAGATACTTACATTAGGATTTCTATTGGGATATGGTCATGGGTCCTTTTGTTGATACCCTATTAGGAAGAAAATAAACATAAGATCTTACTTTCATTTCCATTTACCTACATCATGCTGAGGTCATTACATGTACCTAATCTCATATGACTTCTCATTTGATGAATTATTACTACCAAATCTTCATTAAAGCAACCTTACCTGATACTTTTATACATCTGTGAATTTGCAGTATTAAAACATCATAACTTTACCCATCATTGCATTTGGGATATGATTACTCAATGACATTTGTTTTTTCAAGTTATTACTATGCCTATATGGGATACTAGAAGTCTGATTGCAAATTTTGATTTTTTTTTGTTATTATATATCCTACTAAAAAACCCCTATATATATACAGATGTGCTACAAGGGATTTGCACATTGAGAACTATCATCTTTTTTCAACGCACCAATGGCGATAACAAGTAAAGAATTACCACCTCATACAGGTTGTAAGCGAAGAGACGCTCAATACTGACAAACTCAAGAAGCGAAACCATTACTGATGACAAAGCTTACGTCATTATTGAATGAAGTGGCAGCGTCAAACGAATGGACTCCACCGTTACTCGCGGCGTAAAGCACATTATCGTAGTGACGGAAATAGCGGGTAGGATAGCTCCAAGCCCGGATCGAGTTACCTTGGCCATTGAGACCAGCCTGTGGGCAGAACGTAGCATCTTCAGAAAATTGCTTGGAGCCGTCATTGGCGTTGAGGAGAAGTCCGAAGTTGTAGTGTCTAATGTAGCTACCGGGGGTATCGTTTGACTCGAATGAGAAACAGGCGCTGTTTCCAAGACCAGTGCGAACATACCAGCTAGATTGCTGTTTGAGGGCGGTGGCGCTGGATGTTGTGACGACCTGGGTATTGACAGTAGAGCCAGTGTGCGCGATGTAGCGTGTTGTGTACCCAGGTGTGGTAGCCCGAAGAGAGATCGAGGAACCGACGGTGAGACCAGGTCCGCTGGTCAATGATGTGGTAGCGTATTTGGCAGCGGCGATGTTAGCTTGCACCGAGTTCTCGGTAGCATCAGTGGGATATCCGGAGGTCATCACGCCCTCGTAGAATGTTCCTTGACCACCAACACTATTGTCTCCACCAATTCCGAGAATGATAGCACCTTCTTTGCTCATTGGATTATAGCCACTAGCATCTGGGCGCACTCCACTGTAATATGTCGACAGAGAGCCAGATGCAGAGTTAGCGCCGCGAAGTGCCCATTGGTTTGCTTTTCCCTTGACGATTGCAGTTAAGAATCGGTAGGAGATAGATGGATCCCCTGTGTTGGTACTAGGACTCACACCAGAGAATAGTCCATTCTCAAGATCAGCCATCAGCCAAGGACCACTGCCGGCTCCGCTTCCCCAACTAGTACTGTCACCAAAGTAGATGGCCTCCATGTGACCATTACCAGTATCACGAGTACTAGTTTCGGCATTACCGTAATCAAAACAGCAGGCGCCATTGTAATGAGTTCCATCGAGAACCGCGTACATGCCTTCAGCTGCGTCACCTGTGGCTATTCCACTAGGAGCATTGTTGCGGTAGCCAGTACCGGGTGAAATGAAGACACCATATGCCTTTTGACCGTTCAGCGTAACTGGTGCACCTGTTGCGCTGGCAAAGTTGTCGTAACCATTAGATTCCGGGCCACTAAAACCACCGGGAGGAGCTTGAGTGAGATGGTTGCCGCGGCCGGATTGATCGTAAATGACTGTGATTAGACAGGTCGTGCTAGCACAGAAAGTGTCTTGAGCAGCAGCATTAGCGACTCCACCTGCGGATACCGGCGAAATGTTTGTCGTGGTGTTGTCAGAGCCGCGTTTCACCTATTACGCATGAGAGTTAGTGACTGCCTACTAACGAGTATTAAATGTAAAAATCCATCACCTACTTGGTAAAGTGAGCCGCTGTAGGCACTGTACAAAGCGCGAGTTGTGCTGTGTGCAGCAACTGTAAGATGAAGAGTCAGCAATTGCGTATCCCAAAGAAGTTTTACATAGAAAATAAAGAATCGGATTTATTTGGAAAAGGGAGGGAACGCATAAGATAAATACAAAACTAGGTTCTAAAATGAAAGAACAGATTTAAGGATTATAGAAGGTGAAATCAATGAACCGGTCAAACTTTACCACAAGTGTTCCGCCAGACGAGTAGATGTCGCATGGCCCAGCGGCAACAAGGGAGCCAGTGCCAATGAGGCCGAGAGCGAAAGCGCGAGCGCGTTGGTGTCTTGGTCGTGAGAACATGTTGATCACTTTTCTTCCGAGGGGCGTTGAGATGGGCACACTTGCAACAAGAAGCTTTGATAGCTACCGACACAGAACAGCACATCGTAGGCTTGGGGACCGGCGTGCCTTTTATGAGCTTCATTTAGTTTGCAACACTTAGCTTGCGTGCTCCCAATTGGCACGCATAGTACATGCACAAAATCGTCACCCATGGAAATACCCGAGGCAAAGCGTTAGATGGAGTGCTTTATTCCACCTCTGATGCTCCCTGGAAGCAGTCTTATGTGTGTCACGAGGGCCTGTTTGTACAAATGTTAAAAAGCAACAGCACCATTTCGATGCTGAGCCGGACCGCCCCGAATGCACCCCGCATAATGGTAGGTAGTATTGGAAAAAGCTTTTATACTCCGCGCATAATGATTGGAGAGGCTTTTCTCCACTCCAGTAACCCACGCCACCTTATTTTAAATGTTAGCAGTTAGATCTCCTGAGTCCTGACTAAAAGAGTGGATCTTACAGCTGCAGATAATTCATATCCAATACCGGTAACGAAAAGGTCCAAATATAATGGTATTCCATGCGCTCCAATCGGCAATACAGAGGTTGATCTTGGTAATTGACTAGATCTGCGGGGTAAACCGGAGGATTTACCAGCCGCAGTTAGACTGAACCATGCATCGAAGCCCGGGTCCGCAGTCCGGCCAAAACTGCCGAATTGAGTTGACCGTCCGGTCGTGCATGTGGAAAAAGTATGTTTGCTGAAGCATCTGGAACTGAACGCGCAGTTGGCGGAATAATTCATTGAATGCAGGTACTTTTGTTAGTTCGAGGATAAAATATGCACATTTTGGAGCTCATTATTGGTCCTGCCACAGTGAATAAATGAGAGAAAACTTGACGTCACCAAGATTACTTCAAGCTAATATTCTTCTCCATCCGAGGTCCACTATCTAGTCAGTGTTGTCCTGTCCACTGTCCAGACTCCATACCTCATTTAGTACCGATATCGTTTACCGATTTGTCTTCCGTCATCGAATGAGGAGTACTGTCTACGTCGACAAAATGGGGCTTCATTGATGTGTTTGAGAGTCTAGATAATTAGCTCTTTAGACGAAAAGAAAACTGTCGACAATATAACTTCAAAGTTCATGAACGCGAGCGCAGATGCAGGATTGTGCCAACCGCTGACATCCCAGAGTACTGGTAAGCTTGAGGTATAGCTCAGACCACTCTTTTTATCGTCTCTGGAGGACGATTCGGCATCAGAAACGCTCACTCTGGAAAGAAATGATTAAAAATGCGAAGAGTGGAGTCGAGTGTGGGAGAGGCGATGAAGCACAGATGCCAAGCCCATTTATTTCACGTGACCCGTACACCCCGCTCTCGTGCGCTAGTTTCTTTAGTTGTTGTTTCCGGCGGTAAGTACAACAGATGTCTAACCCACACGCACGAACCATAAAAGGTTAAGATGCCATATGGAGCCGTACGATATTCCTGATTCTTGAGTTCCTGACCCTGACTATCAGATCCACTCGAACATCGACTCCATTTGGTACATGGGATCCGAATACTGACGTACTTAGATTCTTAAGCTACTCTGAAATGTTTACATATTCTTTGAAATGAGACTGTGCCTTTCGTGGAAGCATTAAACAGAGTTCATAAATAATCCTATGATTATTCTTCAAAGTCATAAAGAAAGAGAAGAGCGACTTGGACATGTTCAAACTACGAACAGCATGTCATCAACTAGTCGTGAACAAGAAAGTTTTTTTTAAGAACCTCTTGGCTGCAGTAAATACGTGGAAGAGTGTTTCGATGCGTCAGTCATGCAAGCAAGGTTCGTGGACACATTTTCATGGTCATAAGAGGCATTTTGCTCAAATCCAGAGCACACTTATTCGGGTAATCACGTAAGAAACAGCGGCGAAGGCTGCTTCAATTCTCTTCGAGCGAAAGCCTACGGGCAGATACCCTGGAGACAATGACAGTTGGGAAGCAATGTCAAAGTTTGATTGATGTTATGGTTGTCTCGTTATGATGGCTTCTTGAGGAAGTGGTCAAAACAGTACATTCTTAACACTTCGCTCGGTAATAACACCTAGGGAACGTCGCATTGAATCAACTGCAGCGGATATATTGAAATGACCGAAATTTCAAGGTTATTCTTCTTCGTATCCATGCATTATTGAACCTTTCAGCATCTTTCGCCTCGGTTGGAGGTACAAATTGCGATTTGAAATATCAGAAAGTGGTTCAACAAATGCAATGCTACCAAGAGCCTTAACAGTAAATGCATCCTCCGGGCGGCACACCCTCCGTAGACGAACGTTATGCTAATACGGTCTTACATTACAACAATGGAGATTGCGCAATTAACTTGCATACAAAGATATCCCGTTGGAGCATGATCCAAGCCGACAATGAGAAATTGGACATCTCTACCATAGTACCATTTGGTATCATTTAATAAGAAGCTGTCAGTTGCATGATATCTGTGGGTTTGAGGTTTGCAAATTTGATCAACTACGACTCATTGATTTGGGAACAGGGTTATAAACATTGAATTTTTATATGCTGAGAGTTTCGATGGGTGTTTATTTAGGCGAAAGATACTTGCTTGCCAGATGCCTGAGATTCCGCGTTTAAATCGGATCACTTTGAACGACACAAAATGCAAGATCATTCATTACACAATAACACGTCAAAATTGAGGAAGAGCCATCATTGCCTTCAGGCCGATATCTACTATAAACGAATGATCCAGTACCATCTCTCTTAAAGCTCATTGAATCATCCATGAGCCGTTGCGAAATTTCCAAGAAACATGACTCCTACGCATTTTCTATCCATCCTAGTCAAGAGGCTTCCGCCACATCATGGGATTTAGATGGGATGATGCATTCCTTGATGGAGTCAACATCCTCACGCTTGGCCTTTTCCTTGATGGGAATAATCTAATCATCGATGGGCTCAGCTTCTGCTCGGGCGATGCTTCCACTGCCGGGAGACTACATGAGATGACATTAGATGAATGATAAATGCTCAAATCAATGCTTATGCGACATGCGTTAGGAGTTGGAGCTGCTATGTAATTGCTGGCAAGAAAGGCAGTGACGAGGACGGTAGTTTTTGAGAAATGCATAGCCGGTTGTGAGGTGTGGACTTGAGGATGGAGCTCAAGCTACAATAGGAGATTTGAATGCCTCGAGATTATTGGGCTCCCTCACCTCATCAACCTACTTGCATCACCGCTTCTCCGTAAGTTACAAATTTCTCTGTATTTTGGGGCCGGTTTTGGATGCTCCTCTGGCGTGGAAGAGCTATTTGAGAAGCAAGCAGACACCGAATACGAAAAAGGTCAAGTTGTTGAGGCCACACACAGATAGGATGATTCTGAGGCTGAGTGTGCAGGTCGAAAAGATATGTTGAACCAGGAGAAGGGAGGATATGTACTAAAGTCAGGAGATTGCTCAATCCTATGCACACATCACCCGAGCTTTGGCCGGAGCGCTGAAACTAATCTGCGTGATATTAATCTTGAAGTTAGTACAGTCCAAGCCCTTGTAGTTACAGGCCCTGTCGGCTGTGGCAAGTCTCTCTTGTTACAAGCAATCCTTGGGGAAATCGAACTTAAGACTGGAAGCATGAACGTTGGAGGCATAGGTCTTACGATCCAGACTCTATGTTATCTCAAAAGATGAGTTCACACATGAGCCGTTCCCGATGCATTAGGTCGTGCTGGAAGTCTATCTGATGAGACCATCAATGACGCCCTGCGTGATTGTGGTTCATTAGACAAGATCAATGCAGTGGCATCTCTATCTGCCAATTTCAGTGATACAAACCTGCTCGTTGGCGAGATTCAACTGTTTGTTTTAGCCCGAACAATAATTCTTGATGCTGGAAGTTCCAAAAAAGGTGGTGTCGTACTTCTCGATGAAACCACTCCGTCTCTTGAAGTCGAATGACAACCAAGATATTGATTAGCATCGATGTCTCAACGAGCGAAGAATAATGAATATTGTTGCTAGAAGACAGCACGGGAAAACGACGATCTCGGATCTGTATCATCTTGAGGCTGCTATCCAGTCTGATAAGATATTGATCTCGGAGAAGGTCTCAATTGCACATCTTGGAACTCCAGAGGAGGTTATCGGAAATTCAGAATTATTCTCTTCTTTCAGGAGATGAACATGAGATTCGAGAGACATCACACTAACATATTGTGTAAATTTACCTCATCGCCAGTATTTCTATTCGTCAATTCTTGGCTTGAAATATATGATCTTGCGTTCTTAATTGTCGCGACCAAGCGGGCAATCTCACTTATTGGCAGCCGACATGATATATCTTTAGTAGCTTCTCATTTGGTTTTATTGTTATCACTCTTGTCACCCTTGACTTAGGTTCATATCTACACACATGGCTAAAGATCATGACTATGATGAAGATTTCACCGTTCATTTATTTATACAGGGCCTTTCAAATATCATTCGTACCGAATGTGGTCATCGATCTAGTAGTAGATTAGAGTCTACTGTGCGCAATAAAATACGGACTTTTAGAGAAACTGACGCCTTTGAAATTTATTAGATGATAGCGATTAAGCAATCTTTGCATAGGTAAAAGATGAGGCGCTCAGCACTTCTCGGCAGAGAATTAGTTCGATTACTTATGTGGTAATGAAGATACTGCTTGCATTTCGTCTGTACACTTCCATCGATAATTTGCATTCCCTACTGCATCATTTAATGTATCTTATGATTTGTCAACTCTTTTCTTTTAGCCCAGTCAAATACTCCTCCATAATCGCGACAAATATGTTCGTATCCCCATCCAGTACTCTCCCGATCCAGTACTCTCCCGTATCATTGGATGGCGCCGACACTCAATCCGGCGACGTGTTGCTGAGCACATAATTCCTTGCCTCAGGTAATTCCAATAATGTTACGAATGTTTTAGGTTCACCTCACCTGGTTTGAAAAACCTCGTAGGCAATGAACTATATGCGCCCAGTCAATAATGGTAGACTCTGATCAGGAAATTCGAGGTATCAGGACTAACGAGACAATGAAGCTGGGGAATCACAGATACCATGGTTTGTTGCTCTGGTAGCGATTGAAATAGCTGTGGCATATCTGGAAGAACCGTGTCATCTTTGATAACTACAAATCCTTTCCCGCTGAAATATCGTTAGGCAATAGTCTTTGCGGAGCCTCTTTTCAACGTGCTGGGTATCAGATTGGTTCAAGCATTTTGAGCCTCCTCTCCATTCTTGGCCGCGTAGATCGGTTTGTAGTTGAATATTTTTTTGTGGAATCTTTCTGGCGGAAGCCATGGCTCGGATAATGACTTGTACTTTCGATCTATTTCATATGTAGAACCAAAGCTACGAGTAGAGCCAGAAGCACTATCATGCTCAATAGTAAGGCAGTTGGGTGCATCGAGCAACCCTCATAACGTCGCAACCCGTTTTTACTCCTCACTACTCCTAACTCTGTCTTTCACTTCGTTTCAAGTAAACATTCTTCCTATCCATCCGTCGTTGGAGACTGTAAAGTAAAACCAGATTGACTCAGCTAAGACTTTAAACTCCGAGGGATCTCAGTACTTTTCCTCCGTTTCCAGCCGTCTACGTTTGAAATAATTCGCCATCGATGGTAGAATATATTTCTACAACAACGATCAGGTCTTCCTATATAAAGACGAATGTTTGAGGCCCCCTGGAGGGTATTGTGCTGAGGCGCCAACGTTGAAACCAAGTGCGCCTACACCCAGCTGCCTGAGCTCAAGTCTAAAACTCCCACGCTTTAGGTTATTCGGACAGCATTATCTTTTGCGCAAGAACAAGATATCGGATCAGAGCTTGGTTTTTTTCATTCCACGTCGAATGAAGTTATTTCCACTGATGAACAGTCACTTAAGAATATAGGCAGCACTCACATAACAAACTCACTACACTCGCTTCTGCCGATCGATGATGCTACGATCAGACGAGGATGCTATCGAAGCTTGCGATCAGAGGAAAAAAGGAATTTGAACGGGAAGGTTTACAGATACCCATCATTGAGGTATCTTTCGGAAACAACGACGATGACAGTGATTTTAAGGTAGGAATAATGTTGTGTTTCAGTAGAGGTCGGTATGCCCTTCCTCTTGCTGAACATTACCTAGTAGCTCAACTAGGTTCCCAACACCAATTTGAATTTCGCATTACAGACAACCGCATACCATCCCGGAGGAAGATGAACATCCTGCTGTGGCTTATCTGTGTCATAATTGACAGAAACTACTCCGTTCGTTCCAATAGAGATACGACTAGGACCAGATAAATCAAAGCTACATGGACCCTCCCAAGACATCCACCTATCCACATCAATGTCGTCGAAAGTATACCATCCGATCTCTTCGTAGTCGGAGTCAATAGTTTGCTCTGCCTATATTCTTTTGCGTTAGGATTGTGGAGAATATGATTTGGTCAGATGCGACCTCACTTCAGGCATTGTATTGTATACGTAATAAGCTGGATTCTAAACCGTCACGGATTCTCAAATCCAATGCACTGGCGTCGAAGATTTTTTTTAACTGCAATAATAATCAGTAATGGTGATAGGAATATTACATGGTATACTTACAACGCTCTAAACACAACCTTGAATGCAATTATTGATGAGATTCCTCCTCTTTCAAGTGAACCCAAAGAAACGCGTAGCAGTATATAAATGCCCCTCAATACAGCAAAGTTAATTCAACAAACTGTAAAGTTGAGGAAGAAGATAAAAAGAATGACGTTATTCTGCTGATGGGTTCGTCGCCTCTTAGGCAATTTTATGCAGCAAGGCGAATTTGGTTGGTGACAACGCACCTTATTATTAATCTGCTGGTAAGAATCTTACATCCAATCAAATTCCGGCTTGGGTTACATTTGTTATGGTTTTTGACAGTCATAATTATTAACAAACTTATACGAAAGTTGGTTATCTAAATGCGAATTCCAAGAATGAGACTCCTCCCAAGAGAAACATCCATTCCAAATGGAATTCAGAATTTAACTGTGGACGGTCACGTGAGCACCGTCCAAGTTCGATCATCGGCGAACGCATGAGCTTTTGCTCTATTATAATAAGTTATTCTTTTTGTGACTTCTTTTTTAAGTTCTCTAATTGATATGATATTTGATGGCGGGAATTTGGGTGGGTGAGACGTGGGGTTGGGTTTTTGATAATCTTACAATTTTACTACCTAGCCAAGGACGGGAGTGATGCTTCTGTAGTATTGGCTGTGGATAATTTTTCCCTTTCGAATACTATACCATTCTATCTAGAATTAAATCCAAGATCTAGGTTTTAATTCACTTCTTATGTAAGGAAGAGGTGTGCATTTCTCATATATTCCTGAGTGAGCTATTTGTGGCAGTCCACCTAAAGCTTCTTAGACTAAGTACTTTTATACAGTTGTAAGTGCTACTATGTCATACCTAAAAAGGCTTTTTTTTTAAAATTCTTTTTATAAAATGGATTTGAGTATTTCAAATGATTCTATTACTCATATTGTCGGACTGCAGAGCTTAGTATCACTCGCTCTCTTTCCCCATTCATGAACCTAATACAACAACTCTATTTGACGGCTTCCCACAACAGTGTTTGTAGGGAATCCAAACAATTTAATAGCCACACAAGTATTCATGGTCTGGGGTTCAATTCCGATACTGTAATATAGATTGCAATATGATCCCCAAGGCAGTCGATCAGGCATGTCCAGCATAGGCGAGTATGCTGAGTCTCTGGTTAATCTTTGTAAGTTTATATTATCGTCTCAAAGTGCTGGATGAAATCTTAACTCATGATTTGCAATGATCTAGAGGAACATGAAGTTCACAAGATCTATCACAAGTACCTATAGATTCACGATAGATCTGTGGCAAATCCCAGCTGAGCATGTTTCCTTGCCCTATTCCCAGAGCTCTACTTCGTGATGCAATGCAATATGTGCAATATATACCAGAATAACGATTGTAAGCCATAACAAGACAAAACATCCCTCGTGGCGCAATTGGCTAGCGCGTTCGACTGTTATCCTGGGTTCATCTGAACCACGAAGACCGGAATCGAGAGGTTGGTGGTTCAAGCCCACCCGAGGGAGATTGCTCTTTTGCGTTCCTTTTCCTTCACCCGCTGATGTGATTGTCTACTTTTGTATCTTGGAAGAGCAGATAGATCTTTTTGGTGGAAGAATACTGGAAGCAGGGGAGCAATATCTTGGTCCGTGCATTTGAAGCCTTCACCTTGGTGATTCGCATTTCTCTTACTTTCCTCCATGTACTTTACAAAGGAATGTGGATGTAGTGGAGAAATAGGGATTTATTAGCGATTGTGGGTAGGGTTGAACGCCTTGTGGAGTATGTTTGCTCAAAGTGGATCTAATTGGGTAAAAGGTAACAGAAAGGCTCCGAAGTGGGTGCTATATCAAGCTTTTTCAATATGTGTGAAAAATTCTGTCAGACTGAGATGAGCATCGACTTTTCGAGTAAAAGACTAGATAGAACTTTTCGATCTCATGTCAGGACCTATGAACTAGCTGTTTCTTGTAAAGTCATTCCTCAAAATGTCCAAAAAGAATCAAAAGGTATCTTGATGTGGGATTGTTCAAATTGAAAGTCTTTGATTAAATCGAGGGTCTTGATGATATATAAGATCAGAAAAGGGGTCGGTCCCTCACCGGACGACCAGGCCGAGTGTTTACGCTACTTGAAATTTTTACTAGACCAGGAGATTGTAAACAACCTTGTGTTAAGAGTTTAATACCTTAACCTGGCGCCTTAGACCAACTTGGCATCTCACCTATTTGATGTCACCGGTACTTCAGGCCTGTGATATGAACATATTCCCAAGGAGGGACCCTCTCCTTCACGTGATCGTTGAAAAGTCCCCATCACACAACATATTTTGATCTTGATCTTGAATTTGATAAGTTTCTATGTTTCTGATTCGTCGAAACAAGACATAGTCTCACTTTAGAGGGATAATGTCCTACCATGAACTTCGATGGTGATTCCTTGATTCCTTGATTCATTTGTTCCTAAAGGAGGACCTTGTCCTCTTAAACTTTCTTTTCTTGAGAGTGATGCAAACTCCTCTAATTCAAAATCTGTCCGCCAACCTTAACGCCTCGCTATCCCTTCTTATGCTTTTGAAACATTGTGATTCTCACTTTTATTATCCTGTGGTAGTTTTTCCATATGCTCCGCCTGCAGCCTTTCTCATCTCAAGAGCTCTCTTGTATGGAGGTGCTGTTGGAGGTTGTACTGGATCAAGTGTAATTCGATCCTTTGGTAAATGATATGAAGCATCAGCGTCATAACCAGATAAATCTCCACATGCCAAAAATGGAGCTATCCATCTTCCCGATTTTCGAGACTTGGCTTCATCAGTAGGAAGTTTAACTTCCCATATTCCATCTTCTCTTAGTGTCATTGTCTTGATTTGAGTTTCCGACCAAGTCCCATCTTCAGGATTTTGTGAGTGGGTAGGTGAAACTATTGGCTCTTGACTAACAACTGTATCCACCATCTTGGATAATCTATCTCCAACACCCATTGGATCTTCCATACTAGCTTTGAATCCCTCCGGAGGTTGGAAATTTAGACAGACAATGAAAGCTTCTACACTGCTTGCACGACTTGATCTTGGTTTTGCAACAACCACTCGCTCAAAGAATATTTTCAATTGTGCGAAGAGAAGATCAACATTTCTGCCCCGGAAAATCTTCGCAACAAATTTTCCACCTGGACGAAGGACACAAAGTGCAAGATTTAAAGCCGCAAAAAGTAATTGTGATTGAACATAAATGTCTAGATCATGGAGACCAGTAACATCAGGAGCACCATCACTGATAACGAGATCCACTGGGTTGGAGGCTTGTTGAGAGAGGGATTTCGGATCATATGACGAATCGAGAGCATTTAGAAGTAATGGAACTGTAGCCGGATGTGTAATATCTGCTCGGAGTGTTATGATTCCTTGTAAAGGACTCATGGGTTGTAAATCGATAGCCACAATTTTGACATCCTTTTTTGGTTTCAATTCGGACACACCTGTCGTCTGCTGCTCCTCTGATATAGGCTGAGTTGCAATTCCAAGTATGTTTTGCCGCATTCTTGCCTCCTTATCTTCCCATGCTGCTCGACCAAACTTTTCTCCTTTGATCAAGACTCGGGACAAAACTTGAGACCAACTTCCTGGGGCAGCACAAAGGTCGACAACTCGAGTGACATCAGAGAAGAGATCAAATTCTAATATTGAGTTAGTCATGGTAGGTACTTTGCGCAATACAAGACTGCAGCAGTGTAGTGGGGTTCAATGCCTTCATCAAGTTGTAGTAATTTGAAAGCACTTCGAGCTCTCCATCCTTGCTCTTTCGCGAGTCTGTAGTAAGCATCCCGCTTATCCTTTGAGGATTTTCCCATCTTGGCCAGAGGACGAGTACTATGAATGAACAAACTTGTGGAGAATAATTGAAGTCATCGATGAAATTCAGTCGATTTTTTGCGACAAGGCTGAGTAACTAAACTAGTGCGGGGCTGAGAGGCTAGACCGACAGGGTTACTGACAGGGTCTCCAGAAAAAAAGTTATGATAATGCTTTCCTGAAGAGAAGAGAATTGATTCGAGACAACAAGAAAATAAAAGGATATCGACCTCGACTATCTTTGATTCGAAATGGATACAAAGCAGAAGAAGCGTTCTCATTCAGAGACCAATGGCTCTCAGAAAGCTCCAAAACGTCAAAAGATTCAAAAGACATCCAAGAAGCAAAAGAAAGCCGCGCCTAAGAAGCCAGTTGCCGTGGATTCCTTACCATGGAACGAAGTAACCATGCCAGATATGTTCGAAGATGCTGAGGGTTTCTATGGATTGGAGGAAGTAGACGATGTTGAGGTTGTAAGGGATGGCGATGTTGTTACATTTGTATGTATTCTCCGTGGGAAAGTATAGGAAGGATGCTCATTTTTCTTAGGTATCTTCCAAAATCCAGACGAAAAACAACGAGGATGAAGAGTTCGAAGGCTTTGGGGATGAAGTTGAAGATGGTGGGAATGCCGCGACGGATAATACTGGCGAAGTGAAGCCAATTTTGAAACCTACGGAAGAAAGCACGAAAAACGACGTACCGCAGGGAAACAAACAAAAAATAGAGAAGAAAGCAAAGCCCGAGAAGAAAGACAAGAAAGAAGGGTCAAATACCGAAGAAGGAGAAGAAAAGGTACCAAGCAAAAAGGAGAAGAAGCAAAAACAAGAGAAGCCGCAAAAACAGCCAGTTGATAAAGATGCTACCCTCAAACAAGATCCTCTTAAGAATGTCTTCGAGGCACTTGACGAAGATGCCGCAGGAGAAGTCGAGGTTTCAGGTTGGGTGGAGCTAGATCTTTCATCAAATACTTTAATGGCATTATCAAAAATGGGCTTCTCAAAGCCAACTCCAATTCAATCAGAGGCTATACCAGAAGTACTCGCGGGACATGATGTTGTTGGAAAGGCATCTACAGGTTCTGGAAAAACATTGGCATTTGGAATACCGATAGTTGAAAAGTGGCTTGAGGTATATGGAGAACTTGATGAAGATGAACTCAAGAAGAGCACAAGACCTCCAACCGCTTTAATTCTTTCGCCTACGAGAGAATTGGCGCATCAATTGACTGAACATATCACAACTTTATGTAAGGGCATGCCTACAAGTCCATATGTAGCTGCTGTTACTGGAGGACTTTCTGTACAAAAACAACAACGTCAATTATCCAAGGCAGATATAATAATCGGTACACCCGGTCGACTCTGGGAAGTTATCAGCTCCAGCAATGAATTATCAGCTGGTTTGAAACAGGTTAGATTTTTGGTCATCGATGAAGCGGATAGACTTTTGACCGACGGGCATTTCAAAGAAGCAGAGGAGATTCTAAATGCGTTGGATCGCACGCACGGGAATGAAGATGATGACGAGGAAGACACATTACCTCCCAGGCAGACTTTGGTTTTCTCGGCCACTTTCCACAAAGGATTGCAACAGAAACTTGCAGGCAAGGGCAAACAATCTTTCAAGGATGATAGTCAATCTATGGAGTACCTCTTGAAGAAGCTCAATTTCAGGGAAGAAAAACCTAAATTTGTTGATGTCAACCCTATCTCGCAAATGGCAGCAAATCTGAAAGAGGGCATGGTAGAATGTGGTGGAGAAGAAAAGGTAATGATTTTGGAACTACAATTGAAGTAAATTTTTGGCTAACACTCCATAGGATCTCTACCTATATTCTCTCCTTCTACATCATCCAAATCAACGTACACTCATCTTCACAAACTCAATCCATTCCGTCCGTCGTCTAACCCCTATGCTTCAAACCCTCAACATCCCAGCCCACTCCCTCCACTCCCAAATGATCCAAAAAGCACGCATGCGGTCCATTGAAAAATTCTCCCGAACAAACAACACCGGCTCAGTCCTCGTAGCAACCGACGTCGCAGCCCGCGGTCTCGACATCGGAGGCGTCCAATTAGTAATCCATTACCACCTTCCCCGCACCGCAGACATGTATGTGCACCGCTCCGGTCGAACCGCGCGTGCCGCCGCATCCGGATCCAGTATCCTCCTCTGTGGCCCCGAAGAAGTAGTCGGAACCCGCCGCTTGGTAGCTAAGGTCCACGCGCAAAATGCTCTTCACGGAGAAGGCAAAAAATCCAAATTCTACATCCGCTCCCTCGATATCGACCGCAGGGTAGTCTCTCGTTTAAAACCGCGCGTTACCCTCGCGAAAAAAATAGCTGATAGCGCTCTCGCAAAAGAGAAAAAAGGCCACGATGACGATTGGGTTAAAAACGCAGCGGAAGAACTAGGCGTTGAATACGACAGTGAGGAATTCGAAGCATTAGGCGGAGGAAGAAAGGGGAGAGGAACGGGAAGAAGAATGAAGGAGAAAGAAGCGAGGGGTATGAGTAAAGGGGAGGTTGGGGCCCTCAGAGCAGAATTGAGAGCCCTGTTGGCTCAGAGGGTTAATGTGGGTGTTAGTGAGAGGTATTTGACGAGTGGAACGGTTAATGTTAATGATTTGTTGAAGGGGGCTAAGGGTGAGTGGTTGGGTGAGGTGGAGGGTATTGGGATGGAGGATGATTGATTTTGTGTGTGGTTTGGTTTATGGTGGTGTTATTGTATATATATATCTAAGTACTTAGTGAGGGAATTTAGTATGAATAAATAGAATGTATTTCATGCCCTCATTTCATACCCTCAAGAATATCTTTCACTCCACTCTCTTAGAGTGTATACTTGAAGCATAATTGAGTGTTTTACTGACTTGTTCACTCACTCACTCACTCACTCACTCCATAAATTCCGAAGATATAATACATAACTACAAGGCAACTAGGTAGGTAACCGCTAACTCAATACACACACATACTGCTTGCTTCATCCTTCATCACTGCCGCTCATCCCCCTTGATATTGAACCATCTCAATTCCCCATGAACGTCGACAATCCAATAAAGTATTGTACGTTATGCATGATAGAAGAAACCCAGGTATGGCCTAACCACAATAACGCTAACCATATATTTGCAGCATTTCCACTCTCCTCACAATTTCCTCGTATCTGCACCTCACCCCATTCACCTACACCTCGACCCCTCTTCAAAGCAGAAAAACAAAAACAAATCAAATAAAAGCAGTCCACCATCCCCTCCTACCCACTCCAATATCAGTCTCCCATTCCCTATCCTCATACAACCCCCTCCCCCAGACCAACCCAAGCGAAAAACCAATAACAGTTCAATCTGAATCTGAATCTCCATCTTGAACCCAAACCCAAACACCTACCGATATGCAGGGTATGATAATGCAGCATTCCCCATGTCCTGAATCATTTAAAAAAAACAATTGAAGAAAAGAAAGGTCATTTCCTATACTCCGAATGAATGCAAAAAAAGTAAAAGCGCGAATTAAAAAAAATCCAGGTCCTTTCTTTTCCTCCTAACCCCTCCATTGTTTTTTCCAGCCAGACAGAATTGGAGAGTGGAAAGAAGCTTCAACCCGTTATACAACAATGAATATAGTGGTTGTTGTGATCACAACAAAGTTTCCCCATCCCCGACCAAATAATTATATTAGCACAATAAGGAAGATTAGAGCGAAACTAATAGCTCAAATTTGCCTCATCCTCATCATACTCATCCTCCAAATCAATCTTTCGTTGCTCATCAAGGAAATCCCTCGTCTTGATTCCCACCTTTGCTCGGACATCTTTCTGAATTGCCAAGAAATATTTCTTCAAGCTTTTCAATCCCCTGAGAAAACCCAAATCTGGTTGATCAGGGTGACGAGGTGGACAATGTCTTCCTGGTGCCATACAATCTTCTTTGATTGCACAATTTGCAAAATCTGCCATTTTGAGATCGATTTCTCTTCTCCTGCTCAATGGCTCAAATGCATTGCTATCAGACTCTTCCTCTTCCACCGTTTCTCCATCATAAAACAGAAGAAGACTAGCAGCATAAAATCGATAACCTGGTAGACCTCTAATCAAAACTTCAAGTGTAGAAATCTTATGTATGAGAGTCGGAATGTGTCGCAGAATACTTCCATCATCAACGCCATCGTACAGGAAACGAGTGAGCGCCTTTTGAAAGTCCGGTCCGGCTTTAAGATCTCTTCCGAAATACTTGTCATGGAAAACATACTTCTGAGTCTTCACATCCCAAACTTGTAGGCCACAAACTCTAACACCTAAATCGTGAGATGTTGTTGCTTCACACTTGGAACGTTGAGATAATTGTTTTTTCTCAACTGCATCGATACCGTATTGACGAGTACCCATCTTGAGGTCCATGATACAAGGTTTCTTCATACCAGCTGTCAAATCTTCTAAAAGTAGGAAATATTGAATGCGCTGCCCTTGCGTCTGAGCTTCCTTCGGATTAACCGGTCGAGGAGGAATCACAAGAGGGCTTGGCGATACCTTCGGAGTAACTGGACGCTTTATTATGACTTTCGAATCAGCAGAGGTCAATTTAGGACTCGCATTTGCAGTTGCAGTTTTAGCCGTCGGCTCCTCCTTCATAGACGATGGTAATGCCTTTTGTTGACCAGCCGGTTCGGGATCCATAGTAAAAACGTCTTCTTCATCACCCTTGTAGCCAGCATCATCTGCCTCTTCAAAGTATTTGAGATTTCCTCGGCCATCTGCTACTTCCGTGGGCCTGCGACGAAGGCCACCACTTGAAAAACGTCTCTTTGGTCGTTTTGGCGAATCCTGAGGCCCTGCGATCTCTGGTTCAGGAGCGCTTGTCCCGGCCATATGATCAAATTCCTCTTCAGCTTCTCCATTTCCAATATGACCATTCACATTTACATTGTCGTCGTTTGTGGAAACTGGTGGGGCGGCTGTGACAGGCGTCATTGGTGAGAGTCCAGTCCTTTGCTCAGCTGCGCTCTTGATAGCTCTTGTACGCATTGAGTCTTTGGGTGGCTGGCCATCAGCAATCTTACTCGAGTGGACTGACTTTAGGCTAGATTCCGAATTTGCACTTCGTAGTGAAGAACCATTTCGGACAGCTCGATTTTGTGAGCCCGGCTTTTTATGTCGATGAATGGGAATTGGTTGTTGTAGAAATGCTTCTCCAAAGACTTTGTTTCGAAGTTCCTTATTGATGGTGGTTGCACCCCAGCTGACTGCATGCTTGTCTGATAAAGTCGGCCGAAACGTAAAATCGCCACTTGGCGGTGGTTGAATTTGACTTTGACCTTTTTGGATAGCTTGATTAGAATCCTTGGTACTCGTTGTCTCAACGGGATCAATGAGATGCGGATGAGGTTGTAGGAAGCTTTTTGGTATAATATGTCTATTGTCGGCAAAATTGACAGTTGCAATAGGAATAGCAGATGTCCTTAGTGACTGACTGATCATCCTTGGGGGCTCTGGAGCCTTGTCAGGGGTTGTATGTCCATTTGTATCAGTAGAGGTAGCAGTCTCATCTTTTAGCAATTGCCCATCAGTCCCATTGGACTCGACCAGAGCATCTTTGTCATCCTTGGGCAATACTTTATGCTTTTTCTCCAAAGTCACATTTAGAACACCGATATATCTAAAATCAACCAACATAAGTACATTAGCCCAAGTAAAAATGACACCGAAAGGCAGGATGGGTGTGTTCTCTTGATGAAGATTCAGCTTCGATGCCAGAAGCGGGGTTGAGTCAATGAAATTTACACATACCTTGGTAGAAACTTCATAAGCTGGGGATGCTTTTGCTCACATATCTCGTAAAACTTGTTTTCACCATTATTAAGTTCCTTGCAAACTGCACGGTTCGAAAATCTCCACATAGTTGTGTGACCGCCAACTTGATGCTTATATGGGATTAATTCAACTGAACCTTTTGATTTTCTAGCCTCGTCTTGGTCTTCGGTAACATGGATCTTGGGCGTTGGAACCATGAAACTACGACGACGGCGTCTTGAAGATGTAGGCGTTGCCTCAGGATCATCAGTTAAGCTTGATTCTTCACAAGTTGTCGATCCCCCTTCATCATATGAATCTTGACTTGGGTCATAAGTATCTGTGGAAGTAATATAGCCATTGCTTTCTGCGGCGGTCTCATGCTGCTTAGGAAGACGTGGCGACTGCAGTGGTCGTAATTTACCTTCTTGACTGTCATAAGTGTTATCTACTTCACAGGATGGAACTCGGTGTTCTTCAAGCCACTGTTGTGGGTCAGAATCATCTGATTGAAGTTGATCATTATTCCCAGGCCTCACAACAAGGTCTAGTCTGTCTCGCAGGCCATCTCCCCTTCGTTCAGATGTACCATGAGCAGTTTTGTGAGGAACGAATAATGCAGATGAAATCTTTTCCTCACCAGATTCATCACCCTCATCACGACTTTTGGTCTTTTCTAATTCAGCACCATCCTCATTACCCTCTTGATCTACGTGAGATTTGCCTATTGAATTTTCCTCCCCTGAATCGGACTTCGACTTCTCAGATTCTGGAGCTGGTATGCTTCCTGAAAAAGAAGATCCTTTAGCATTGCCGGGTGTTAAATTGTGGTGCTTTCGGATATCGGCCAGTAGTTGAGAAGGCATCCGTCTTACTTTTTCTGCAGGAAGTGTTTCAATATTGCGAGATGGATCAAAGTATCCAGCTTCGGCAGCAAGTCCTTCGGTCGGATTAGAGGTAGGATCAAAACCCTTGCTGTGAGTTGGTGACTTAGAACCCATCTTCGGATCTGCGAAAGGTGATAACGGTTCATGTCTCAAACCCGGTGCCGACTTTGTTCTTATGTCCAATTGCTCAAGTTCTGGAATGCTACTGATTTTAGTAGAAGAGTTCGAATCTTTGAGTTGAGGCCTGTTCTTATTTTCGCGTTTCTTTGTTTTGTCCTCTGGCAGACCTTCTCTGAAAAACCTCAAACTGTGACTTGCTTTTCGGCTGCGGTTGTTGTGCTCGACTCCTGATAGAGCTTCTGCGATAGCCTTTTCAACTGATCCACCTTGGTCATCGTCACCTTGTTCGCAGATTGACCAGGCTTTCTCCACAGGTGGGCTTGCTCTGGCATCTCTCCAAGATCGATAGCTCGCTCGGACGCCATCTATAGGAGGGGTATCTGAGAGCGAGCGGGATGGCTCTTGCAGAGGTGTTGAAGGTCGAGTAATAATACCAGTATCACCAGGATTGGTTGAGAAAGATCCTTTTGGTAAATCCTGAACTCTTTTCTCCTTCGCCGTTCGTTCGAGAGAGGTCCCTCTTCCTTTGACTTTTGCATTTCTGAGGTATTCCCGGTGGCCAGAGAGAATGTCATTGACTTGCTCCATATCGAAAAGAAATCCGGTGGACACGGATGGAGTTGCCCCAGCACTGACAGGTCTATTTGAATTGAGTTGAATAGATGCTGTGCCGATCACCATATCATTCAATGCCTCTGCCAGGGATGCGTTTCTTTCATTCTGATATTGATTGTTCGAGGAAGAAGGATACGGTTGCATTGTGCTGGAGAGTGTATTTCGAGATCTGCGAGAAGTCGGATCGATCTGGGCTGCCGCGGATTCTGGATGAGTCGTGGATAGAGCTTGGGTTAACAAAGAGGTTTGAGTAGACCTTGGTGATCTTGGTGGCGCGCTGGCCCATCTTTGTGCTTTATTTTGATCGCCATCCTGAGAGATTTGTTGACCTTGCTCAGTACTCACCGGAGAGGTGTGTGCGGCATTTCTGGAGTCAGTAGGGGAGTTTGACATGAGGCGCACATTTATCGAATCCAGTGACAGTGTGAGAAAATGATTCGCAGGTATTGAACCCTTTTCTTTTCAATGGCTTGTACCTGGGAAGAAGAGGATTGAAAGCCAAGGATCAATCAGACAAGGATTTACGATCAGAGAAAAATGTAATGTTTGTTAGAAAGAATAATTTCTAAGAAACAACAATAAAAACACGTGGAATTCTCTTCTTTAGAAAATAAGGAAATTCTATGGAATTTGATGAATTGGATGGATTTCCTGTGTTTTTCTCTTGCTTCTTCTGCTTCTTCTTCTTCTTCTGCTGCTGCAGCCGCTGCTTCTTCTTTCTTCCTTTTTGGTTTCCCCTCTTGTGATCTTTGATAAGCTTTTTTGGATTCTCTCGTCTTGTTCTTTCCCGATTGATTAATTGATGGAATGGTGGTTGGAGGAAATTATTAAGTTTCTGGGTGGTATAGTGGTTGTAATGTTGTTGGTATTGTTTATTGTTTGATGGAAGAAAGAAGGAATGAGTAATAATATAAGGTACGAATGAGATTGGGCTGAAGGCTAGAAGAGGTTAAAAAAGTGGGCAACGGAAGATAGGTGAAAGTACGGGTTAAGCTGATAGAATTGTCCGATGATTCAAGAAAACAAGTGAAGTTTAAAGTTTTTAGTAAAATCAATATCCAGGTCAGGAACGAAATGAAATAATATGTAATAAACGCTTTCCTAGAGTATAAAGTATTATAAAGGAATTGGGAGTTTGGAAAATAAGACTGATTACTTTACTACCTTGGGTTCTTATTTCCTAGTTAGATATAAAACAAACAGACAGACAGACATCAGTGAAGAGAAGAGATTGACCCAAAGTATATTAATGATTAGCTGGGCATGAATAATAAAAACGTAATTTGGGCCGAGAATTATGACGAATGAGGATAATAGAGACAAAGATGAATGATGAATGATGAAAAAAAAAAAACATGTGCGCATTTTATCTAACCCTTCAACATTTTCCCTGCATTTGCACCACCGAATGACAAGAAGGGTTAAACGGTACAGGGCTGTCTTATAAGAATTGATTACTCTAGTACAACATTACACAGAGTAGTAACAGTAACAGTAACGGTATGACGATGACGGTAAGAATCGATTACCTCAAAATGTGATAACTGACTGAATGACAGACCAGGGTAGGTATTGAATGGAATACATGAGAAATACACAGGGTATCATCGGATTCCACCTGTATTCCAGAAGCCGATGCATTGAACGAGCGAGATTCCATTTAGATTCCAGAAGCTGATGAATTGAATGAATGATATTGGTTAGATCTCAAAAGACCAGGGAAATATTGACATCGATCCGTGCCATCACACCGGTTTATCAAATACTCCGTAGGTAGATCGTTCTACCTACACAGCACAGAGCTCCGTCCTCGATCATCTCGATGTAAAGAAAGAAATGGACCAAACCTTGCGGATATAAATGACCAGGGAGACACGCGGGTCCCAATTAGATTAATAGATTAATAGATCAACAGTTGGATTAATAGATTAAATAGATTAAAATAGGATCACATCTCCAGCAGACCATTCTCCACCACGACTCCATTATCTCGTGGCCTTTCTGCATCCATCCTTATCAATCGTGAATGCCGGGTGACGATGGTATGGTAATCAAATGGGATATTTTGCACGGTAAAAGTACCTAGCGAGAGTACTCCTTAGGTAAGTGCCTAGCTTTCTAGCTTCCATCATGATAAGCCGATACAACACGATACCAAAATCCCAGTTCGTTTCTTATCCAATTTCAAATAGAGATACTTCCGATCATTTTCACTTCACAATCCATCTATTTTCTATCCAAGATCTTACCTTGTACCTAAGTAGGTATTCATTCTACTTTAAAATACCCAAGTTTCAAATCTTCCCCAATATCTCCCTTTATATAACCCCTCATCCATCCCCCCCTTAAAACCACCACTGCACAACACCTCAACAGGCACCCCGACTCCCGAACGAATCAAACCATCACACAAAACCCCATCCCATCCCACATCATCAATCAGTCCCCTCGTCCCTCCCTCACAACTCCACGTTACACCCACCTACCTAGTACCTACCAATGTCCAATGTCCAATGTCTCACACCCAAAAGAAACCTCCCGTCCCCTCCCCAAACCAAACCAATCCCCAACCCCTAACAGAAAACGTGGTAACATTAAACACATCACAACACATACACACGCCGCAACAACAAATCACTCTATTGGCCACAGAACTCTAAGTACCTAAGGTACCAAAACCTCGAAGCGGTCAAACAAACAATTAAGTTTTGGATTTTTGAAAGTCTAAAAGTTTAAAGCCAAAATAGTAATTGAGCTTGCGGGGAAAGAAACGAGTGGATTTCCGTTCTATTATACCTTGTTTACGGAGTACTACGGGCCACAAAGTGTTTCAACTCTCAACTTTCAACTTTCAATGCTATCTATCTGATCTGTTTGTGTGATCTTCTTATAGGTATTAATCTTATACTTATGTTACCTAGGTAGGTACTTGTATTGTATTAAAAAGCAAGAGGTCAGATTATAGACGGTAGATATTTCCAAGCTAGTTGTAGCTACCTGCCTATCGTATTTAGATATCTACTTTAGTACTCTGTAGTAATAAGTTCATTATAAGATCATCTGTCCCTTCATGCTATATACCTAAGCAAGGGTAGGTACATCTTTATCTCGTAACCCATCCGTCCCATCCGTTTCATCCATGCATCCGTAACACCCAAGCCAATTTACAAGATCTTATTTACACACTCAATATTAACCTGTTTTGCTATAATACCCTATCATGTCCATATATTCTCAAAAGCAAAAAGACTTCCTCGTGAATGTACATTATTCTCCCGTCTTGGCGTCGACGATTCAAATTCCAGACTAGCTTTCTTCAATTCCCCCTCGACCGACCAATCTTCCCCTAAGAAATCTTCCACTTCATCGAGGGAATATTTTGGTGTATGATCTCCCAGTTTTGCGTTGCTGGATCTTTCATTCAGAGCTACATTTGTAGAGATGTGGGAATTTGGGGGTTGAAACACCGTATCGTCTCCATCTTCATCTTCATCCTCGAAAGTTATATAGTTTTTCCTCTTGGATTTTCGGGTTGGTGAAGGGCTGTTTGCGAAGCGACGTTCTCTCTCTCGTGAAGAATCGCGATCAGCTGCGATGAAAGCTTCTGCCATTGCATCGATTGCAGGGCTACTAGTAACCAGATTGGTCGCATCTGAAATGGTTGACTTGTATTGTGCGATTAACGGGCGCTTGACGGAGCCATTGGCCTTTAAAGAATCGTCGCTTACAGGCTTTCTGTGGACTGCGGAAAAGTGATTTTGAAAGCTATTCATATCTGTGACACCATCGTCAAATTCAGCCACTTTGCTTCCGAAAGACCCTGACCGATATGTACTCTCGGGAGACGGAGAACGACGTTGACGCTGCGAATTGTGTTGAGATTGAACTGGATCTTCATCATCCAATAGGTCGAATAATACGCGTTTGCGTTTCAAATTCTTCTCGGAATCCTTCACCCAAGGATTTTGTGTGGCTGCTTCTACAAGAAGCTGTGTGTTTGATGGCTGTTGTTCAGCTTCCGGTGGAGGACTTGGAGTCATTAGATCACGGAAAGGTCGAATAATGTCATTATCGGGTGTGGCTGGATGCCCTTCCTTTTGCCACCCGGAATTGGGAGAGTCGGCATCGGATAATCGCTCGGCCTTTTCAGTAGTTGGAATTACTTCTGGACAGACCATAAGCCCTGCCTCACCTGGTCCCCAGGGACTCTGTGGGCTGAGATTTCGTGTGGTAGTCTTATCTTTATCCGGATCTGGGTTTAAAGTATTAACAGGTCCTGCATCTCTGGAAGGAATAGCTACATCTTCTTCTACAGCAGCTGCTTCTAAAACGTGTTCATTAAGATCTTGGGTGCTAGCTGGTGAAGTGACATCCTCCTCGCTAAGCAGCAAGGGTGTGAATTGTTTGGACATAGTGCTTTTAGGAATCTGATTGACGCTCATGGCTCTTTGAATTGATGTGGGGCTATGTATGGTGAGGTTGTCTCTTGTTGCTGATGATGATGACGTTGATGGTTGGCCGCTAGAAAGAACCGAATTTTTTAGAACGTCACCGGCACCCGGCTCGGCCCGCATAGCTTCCTGCACCCCTTCCTGCAATTTTTCTTCTTGATTGACACCCGGCATATCTTCTGCATCTTGAAGTATTACAGAAACTTCTAAATTGACTCGAGGTACCATATCAATATTAGGTTCTCGACTAGTCTCTAGCACGGTAAACTCCTGGATTTGCTCACCCTCAAGCGCACTATTGACCTCCAGAGAGGCTACTTGGGCATGATCCCCATTCTTATCGTCGGATCTCTGCACGTGTACTAACTGGCAACATCTAGGATTGTCATCGCGGGTATCTTCATTAAATTCTGCTTCAGGTGTGGTTGTGACTCTAAGCGGCAATTGTTGGCTTGATCCAAGATTTTGTGGTAAGATGCAGGCCTGTGAAGAGCTCAGATTATTCTCTGCTAATCTGACTGGACTGGTGTTGTATGATTGTGTACTCGATCCATCGAGGTTATTATACTGCATTGGAACTCGTTTGTTCGAATTTTCCGGAAGGGCAGGTGAATGTGGTGATTGAGTGGGAGGGCGTACAGAAAGTACAGAAGAAGGGTCTTTCAGAGGCGATGATTGTAAACTACTTTTGTGCTCGTGGCCTTTAAATGCAGGAGCATCAATATGCTCGACATGATTCAAGCGTGGCAAAAAATTCGAAATCTTATAGATCTGCGTTAAGTCCATTGATGCAGACGATGCTGGAGCGTGATGGAAGTCATCTTGTGTTGTGACCCAACTGTTATCGAAGTTTTCATGTTGTGGAGAACATTCACTCTCCATTGTTCTCTTACTATCCGAAGTCATTGTCGATGGACTAAATCCAACTTCTTCTTGTGTAGTAAGCCAACTTTCATCCACTCGAGAGCTTCTGCCAGATGAACCTTTCGACCTTGGAAATTCAGTACGTCGAATTAGTGATGTTGATGACCCACCTTCCCCCTGAACAGGGTGTAGGATGAAGGGGGTCGAAATTATTGTATCTCTTTGGACACTTGGAGCTGGCATGTTGCCTTCGGATAATGGAGCTCCAATCTTTTCTCCTATATCACTCAGAGGTCGATTGGTTACCTCTGTGGGATCAGTTTTGCGTCTACGCTTCTTTCGAAATTGAAAGTGCTCCAAGTTCACAGACGATGGTGCAACGTCGGTGATAAAACTAATGTTTCCTGGGGTTTCGTGGTTTTTATTAAGTACAGCACCGATCCTGCGATGCGATGGGAGTTTCGGGGAAGTAACCAGTTTTGTTGCTGAATGCTGTGAGGCGCGAGCTTCCTGGCCGGCCGGATTGTCGAGTGGTACAGTCGGATAGGGCTTGGGGGATTCCTCAAATGGATATGTGGCGTTGATGTCGGGTTCGGATGCGGTAAAGCTAAAATATTGTTGCACTTGTTGTCCGATATTCGTGTGAAACGAACCTTCCCTATCGAATGTAGTACCTGATTGCTGTAGAGATACATAGCTCTTTCCTGAAGCTGGCGCGTGCTGAGGAGTCTCCAGAGACAGACCCAATCGCGGTTGAATTGCATGCGAAATTCGATTCTGTGCGACGGCAATATTTCCTGTGACCTTTTCCTGATATTTCTGGCCTGTTCCATGAGGTAACGGGGTTGGCGATGAAACTGCTGGGTCCTCCCAACGAGCACGCTTCGAGATATGTGAGCCTTTCAACCAAGCTATATTTACAGGTCTCTTGACACCAGCCCATATTTCCAACTCTTTACCGTCATTATCTTTATCCAGAACCGAGCCTCCTATCATTGGCGTATCCCCAAAATCTTCAATATTCGCGCGCGTAGAAAATGTCGACGACGAAACCCGTGGTAATAGTGGCCCGCCCAACGTCCCCTCGCCTTTAGGTAGAACCCCTCTCTTTTCCATTGATAGATCTTCGTGTATTGTCTCATCCACAACTAGTCTATTTGAATGAGTCGCAGAATCGCTATCTATATCCATATTATCGTCGATTCCCATTTCTTTGGCCTGTCGTTTAGCATCCCGTCGGCACCAAGCAAGTGCTTCCGTAGGACTCATACCATTTCTGCCATGTTCTTTAGCTCGTCGCATAACGTCCTCCCTTCTGAATAGCATATCTTTCGATCCAGGCTTCCACCAGCCCCCCTCTCGATGTCTCCATGGGTTCACCCATTCGTTCTTGTTATCTTTATAAAAAGGTCCCCTGAGTGCCGCAGATTGAATAATTGGTAGTTGTCCACGTAGCACCCTTTCCGCACACTGTTCATATCGCCGCTGTTTTTCGACTATGGCTCTGGGATTTGCCTCAGTATCGGAGCCTTCACAAATGAGGTCTTCGGGCTTATATGTGGGCGTGAAATATAAAGGTTCATCATCATCGGAAGTGAACGAGCGCCCGCTCATATGGTGAGACATTCCTGCAAATAGTCCATATGCTGCATTCCAATAGTTGGCCTATGTCTCAAAGTTTGCATGCTTGGTGTGAATGCAATCACAAAAGTAATCAGTTATCGCATTTTGATGTGGCTGACCCGGCAACTCTATTTCGTGTTTGCGTGTTTTCGCGAGTGATACGAAAGCACGTGATGTGGATCAGACTTAAGTGGTTTTCTGTTTTTGATTTATCTCATCCTCAGACCCTTCTCCGATTACCTAAACATAAAAACCATAAACCAACCAATAAAAGGCATATAAGATACCACCATAGGATCTCCAAAGCGTCTGAAACATTTTGATTCTAGCTTTAATATAAAATATAACATTTTGATCTTTATTCGATTTTTCAATTAATAATTAAAAAACCATCAATAATCATAACTTATGTTACGACGGCGTAACATAGCCCGCATCAGGTGACCAATTAGTTAACAGGATCATGTGACAAGCGTTACCTGATCCGAAAGCCGACCGACTTCGTAGGAATCGATCGGCCCTTCAAGAGTCGATCGACTTTCGGAACACGAAGGTCTATATAATCAAGATGGATTTCCTTTGTATGGAGCTTCGTGCTCAAGATCAATCATTTAGTATACTCTACTATTAGTTACGAATTGTATATCATCATTGTCATTACTTAAGTCCCTGCTTGACGCCTAGTTATAAACCACCTCGAGAGCCTAGAGCGCTTCCACGTGATCTAGACGGCAAACCTCGTAACACTTTGAGGGCTCCTAGGGCTCCTTATCACGTGATTCCTTTCTTTCCCAGGACACTAACCCTAATGGTGAATCGTGACAATACTCTCATCAAACAAAAATGATTATTCACAAAAAAAAAACGACCAAAAGCTCTCAGACCTTCGAGGAGATTATCCTTCCCCGAGTTCTTATTGGCCGGATTACACCTAAATTCTAATTATACAATAATTAGTAAAAATCCGTGCATTTACCATAAAATGACTAAAATATAATCGAAACAGTGTCACACTCAAGAATACTGGGTAGAGTATCTTGTATTAGAAAATACTAAGCTAAGGAGAAAAGAAGAAGGAAAACAAGAGTAGCGAGTTTTCCTGTGATTAAATACAAACGGGGCATGCCACGTGACCCGAAGGTGTGAGGCGTCACAAACAGAGGGTCTGAGGATGAGATAATTTTTGATACGCATAATTATGACCAGCAGTGAGTGAGTGTTCTTATCAAAATACTGGATTAGAGATTGTTTGTAAACTTTTGCTTTTCATAGATATCCGAGTTCAGTCCAAAAATTCATGATTCGAATTCAGACAATACCTTGATGATCCAAGCAAGCTGGAGTTGGTATAGAATGTTATATATGCAGTCAATTTGGAGCTGGATCATCAGTAGTAATCTCACCAGTGACGACCAAACAGCCTCTTCTCTTTAACCTGAATTATATACTCGAGTATGTCTCCACAGAATATGCATAATAGCTATTTCACCCACAGGCCTTGCCTCAAACCCAAAAACATTTTAGTAAATCCATTTCAAGCCATGATAAACCAGGTATCTACCAGCATCTATCTCCCTTGCTTGCAGATAGTCTCGTAAGTGTTAGCTGTGACTAACTATACTTTTCAATGTTAACGTTCAATACTGGTAGAGTGAGGTTTAGACAATCAAAGTTCATTGGCCAATCAATTGCTTCAATGAGATCCGCTTCAATAAGGTTATCGGAAGATTAAAATGCTGGAGCAAATCGACGAACTGGTTTGCAGGACTCGGTGTACTCCGTACTGAGTATGATTATCTGCATTGCCAACTCAATTGAGCTCCGCAAATATGTCAAGGAATTGTATACGATGGAAAGCCCGGCTCAACCTCGACTTAAGGTTTGGAATATCTGTCAACTGAACATCTTGCACCAAGAATTGATGTAATATAACTGAAATGATTTTTGTAGTATTTTCGTAGCTGTCCACGGGTATCCTAGGTGCTTTAGATACGTACGGACGGTATCACATGAATTTTCGTCTTTCTCTTTTTAAACGTGGGGTTCGTGGCTGCTGTGGCTTTGAGAGTACATACTACCTTGTCCCTAGTATTTACTTACTTTTTGTTTTGTTTTGATAGGCCCCTGTTCTGTTGTTCCCTTGTTACTTCCTGCACGACTTTTCAATTAAAAAGGTCCAAGTGCCACCCCCAGCCCAGACCACAATTCATCAATGTTCAATCCCACTTCGCGATCATCTCAATTCACCCACGCGTTACTTCCATGGGCTGCAGTATCTTAACACAAATAGGTTCTAGTCTACCCATTATTTTGGGAATGGCACATTTTCTCAGAGCATATCTATACAATTAATAATACTGTCCATGCATAGATGCGACACTATTTTACGCGATCCTACCCTTCAACAACAACATCAACAACAAAATCAACAAACAATCAAAATCGAATCAAAATCAAATCAGAATTCATGCTCACTGCTTACACCCTCCCGAACCTTTCAAGATGGATCAGGCCTGGCTAGATTCTTTATCCGAAGACTGGGTATCTCAACCTCGATCCGAATCACCAGAGCCAGAACTCCCATCTCTCACAAATGGCACATCTGATTCTTCAAACCCACGCCCAACCGTCCTGCCTAGTCGCATACCGAAGTTCAGTACGGAGACGAAATCCTGGTCGAATGTGCCAGACAGTAACCCGTTGAGCGAAAGGAGTCAGAATGAGATTAATATTCCCTTGTCACAACGAACACATCAGCCATCAAAACTGCGAAGTGAGATACCGCTGAGCCCGGTTGGTCGGAAAGTCTCTCGACCTTTGTCAGCTTCTAGCACACACACAACAGAATATAATACAGTCCAGCATAACAAATCTCTCAGCGCATCGCCCAAGAAGAGCTCAAAAGACACACCAGAATGGAAGAGGAGGCTCCTCCAAGGGGACGTTGGATATGGTGAACAGCGCGATTTATTCAGCGCAGCCGGTCTCGAGACGATATTTCAACCACCACCTACCGAAAGTTCGATCAAAAAGCTGCCCGCCTATGGAGAGAGTAGTATAATGCCATCCAGTCCTCCGCTCTACCGCACAAGATTAGAGCCTCCACAATTCGATAGCGACTTATCATCTGAAGATTCTGTGGCAGAAGATGGAAATGGCCTGCCACGAGCTGTGAGATATAAATTGACAGAGGATTTTGGTAGTGAATTTTCTACCAACGATTTGAGTCGAGGAAGCGATTTTAGACCTACCACACTGAATACTTTGAGTCCGGTTAAAGAATACTTTTCTCCCTCAAATTCTGCTCTCAACGCGGACTACCAACCTACCAAAAAAGAATACCTAGACGTAGGACGAACCATAAGCGGACAAAGCGATAAGCGAAACGAGTTTTTGTCACCGATATTTTTAGCATCGCAAGGTTCCAAAGGTGGTAAAGCTGAAAATTCGCCATTGGACATATCACCTGCTGAACTCCAGGAACGCCTGGAAAAGCTTCGTACTGATGATCCGAATGTCGATGAAGCTCAAAACCTCGAAAATGCCTCGCGACCTATAACCGGCGACGTTACAACAGATACGGATGATTTCAGGCGTAACGGTGAATTTGTCAACGTTCGAAGAGGCGGTAGTTCTGAAGAGGGTTCTTTCCAAAAAGGGATGCTTAGTCCCTCTTCCCTACCACCAATTGATGAATCGGCATTATCACTCGATGATTCCCGACACGACATCTCTGAGAAGCAACTCCCTAAAATAAGAAAGACACGAGCCTCCAATGAACTTTTGAAACCACCGGTGAATTTACAATCCCCTTCGATTGTGTCAACGCCTCATCCCAGCCCAGCCAAACCTCCCGTCAAAAGCAGTTTTGGAAGCCCGTTGAAATTGTTTGGTACTCATGATACGTTTACAAGTCAAAAGCTTCTGCGTAGACTGAGTCAATACGAGGATCGTGGAAGTGATCCTGAACCAGACGTACCACCGAACACTGCCCATGAGACCGCGTATCATCATATGGATACTACAAATGAAAACCGACCCGTATCAGAGGGTAGTCATTTCCTAAAGGAGCGTAAATCAAAGAGGTTCAGTAGCTTTGGCGTCGGCGATTTGGATAGTTTCCGATTTAACGAGGATGTCTCCTTCGAGTCGGATGGATCCATTTTACATAACGACGATGTAGAAGATCTGGCTTTTCCTGTCTTAGATCCGAAGTCACAAACTAGATTTCGCTTTCGACTAGATTCTTCACCGAAAATAAAGGAAGAGGCCGATAGGCAAACTAGTGGTAGACACAGAAGTACTAGCAATAGCAGTAGCAGGCGCAGCTTGAGCGTCAGAAAAAGGTCTAGCACTGGGTCTTTTACGCCGTCTAGTGTCTTACCGTCTTTTCAAATGACTGAGAACCTAAAGACGCCCAGGAGATCGAATGGTGAAGCTGAAGGAAAACGGCTTCTCAGATCTCCATTGAAGGATCCAACACCAAAAAGACGCCGTACCTTGCACAGAGCGGATATTTCTCTTCCACTGCAACCTGAAGGGCTACTAGTCTCAATTAATGGGATTCAGCGTCCATCAACGCAGCCAGCGATGGGCAGGACGCGACAAGACAACGAGCGAAAGTTTCAAGCTGCCGAACCGAAAATACTCGCGATGCGAGAGCTGCTCCGTCCTCGAACACCCACACCTAGTCAGCGTAATGGCCAGCAGCATGAAGAAGCACTTTTCGTTGAGCCGGAACTCGCCTCAGACGCACGTGCAAGAATGTTACAAGAGCAAAAGATTGCTATGGTTCAAGCTGAGCTTGACCTAGCGAATTCTGATATGCCTCTCGGCGCTAGTCAGCAATCGCAGGATAGCCGAAAACCTTCTGTAACCACCCAGGACTTCCTGGACGAGGCGAAGAAGATTATGGCAGGCATTCGAGGTAAAGCAAGGCCTCGTAGTGGTCTCACAAGCCTTGAAGAGTCGGAGTCCGAAGGCGATCAAGTCATCTCACCTAATGTTGCAGCAGACGATGAGCTAGAGGATTCCTACCAGGAGTCAACCCAGGAAGTATTTGAGAGACCACCAAGTCGCGAAGGAGCCCCAGTGTCAAGAGCTCCACTCACGCAAGATCCGGAGCTTTTGGATCATTTACGCAAATATGAAGAGAAGAGTGAAATGGATGGCATCATTGCTTCATCTATAAAGTCTATGGCTATGGCGGAAGAGGTCATCAGAAATGCGAGAGAAATCGATAGAATTGCGGATGGTACAATTTCAAAATCGCTCGGTCACTTTCTAGATCCTATTGATACAGTGCAGAGCGACCCACCAAATATTCGCATATCTAATAATCCGGAGATTCAGCGAAAGCGCAAACATTCTGGCTCTTCACGACAGCTGGACGAGGAATATGATGATCCTGATTTTTTCACACATGGTTCGAACAACTCGATACCGACCACATCATCCAGAGGTTCAGATTCGAGACGTGTCATTGCGCCGCACACAGTATCCCATCTAATTCCAGAGCAATTGGCTGGTATGGTCTTTGATCGAGAACGGAATATGTGGGTCAAGAGGAAGTCTACCAGAGGAGAAAGGGATGGACAAGATTCCCCAAATTCCGAAGGAACGGAGGAAGATCCCTTCGAAGACATCCCTGATCTGTCATTCGATGAAACGCAGGAGCTCATGAGGCTAAGGGCCGTTGCCGCCAAACAGAAGGAAGACGCACGATTACGATTGGCTGAATATCTTGACGATGAAAAACAGCACGACGAGTTAACTGGCCGATCACCACCTCAAGACAATTTGAACATGAGTGTTCCGCCTGTTGATATCAGGCCTAAAACAGCACCTTCAAAGCCTATTCATCTTGGCCTGGATAATTCGGTGCCCGAGATTAAAATCCGATCAGCCTCCACAGGCGAGGATAGTGTCTTACGGCCAAAGAAGATTCGTAGTGGGAACACAAACAAACTTTTTCACGGAAGTCATAGTTCAAGCACGAGCAAGCCCCCCCAAGACAGCAGGAAATTGGCCGATGGCGAAATCTTCCTTCAACCGGACGGAGACCTGAGCACCACAACTCCAAAACGTCAACGAAATGTCACAATCACTTTCTCGTCCCCTATCGCGGAACTTATCGAGATTCCTACTTATAATGATGATGATAGTTCCACGAAAGACGAGCCTTACCATTCTGACTACGACAGCGTCAACGAATCTGATAGTGATGATGGTGGAAGTATTCAGGTTAAGAAAGGAAAGTCTAGACAAGGAAACGGAACACATGGATATCGAAGCACCTCCCGTAAATTATCAGTTGGAGGACAACAATTCATGCCCCGTCCAGTATCACGCATTGACGAGCAGGACGAAGACTCCGTCGACAGGGGAAGTGTTAGTGCGCGCAAACACGGAAACAATCTTCTACCCACGCCCTCCGCCTCGCCGAGAAAAGCGGATAGTGTAGTACTCGCTACACCACGCCCCCCTCATGAAATTGGGACCCTTGAACTCACTCCACTTTCAGAATTTACGATGCATCAAGCAGACGAATCATTTGGACTGAACGTGAGCTATGTAGCGAATGGGCAAAAGCATATTCCAGGAGCTTCTACGAAAAAAACACTTTCCCACTCAATCAAGGCAATGGTTGAGAAACTGACTGAAATTGAGCCATATGAGCCGTTCTGGGAGCATATGAAGGGCGCCGATCTGCATCGAAAGAAACTAACAAATTTACACAAACTCGACGAATTTTGTGAGCACCTCGAGGAACTGAAGGTCTCCAACAACGAAATCAGTCAGTTAAATGGTGTTCCTTCATCCCTTCGCACTCTTATCATTAACCATAATCGCCTCTCCGACCTGACGTCCTGGGGCCACCTGTGGAACTTACAGCAAGTTGATGTTTCTAACAACGAGATTGAAAGCCTTTCCTGCTTCAAAAGCCTGATTCATCTCAGGACCTTGCAAGCAGACAACAATCAAATCACTTCGCTTCATGGTATCGAAACTCTTGATGGATTAATAACAATCCGGCTTCGAGGCAACCCAATTGAGACACTAAACTTCAAAGGAACGAACCTCAAACATTTGGAAAGATTAGACCTTAGAGACTGTCAAATCTCGGAAGTTAAGAATCTCGGTCAGCTGCCGAAATTGTCGAGCCTTGATCTGGAGAATAACAAATTGGTCAGTTTCATGACTTCAGACGATTCATGCTCGGCTAGAGAAATTAGGCTGAGCTTCAATAACCTCGAATCTTTTGATGCAAGTCTCACACCCGAAATCCGCATTCTCTACCTAGATGCGAATCGCATCAAAACCATCACTGGTCTCCTCCACAAAAGAAATTTATACAGCCTCTCAGTACGAAAACAGCAATCTGGCACAGTTCTAGACAAGTCTTTCCTCCAAGATGCTTACGAGGTCAGGAAGTTGTTCTTATCTGGCAATTACCTGGGAACCTTTGATCCGGGTGTCGAATACCTCAATCTACAATACCTCGAGCTCGCAAACTGTGGTATTACTTCCCTACCAGATGATTTTGGTCTTATGGTAGCAAATGTGCGGGTTCTTAACCTTAACTTCAATGGATTACAAGAATTCCAGTGCCTCCTCGGCATCGTCCGACTCAAGAAATTACTTCTTGCAGGAAACCGGTTGTCAAAAGTAGAAAGACTCACGAGGACTTTACGAGCATTTCCGTATTTGACTACTGTTGATATGAGGAATAACCATGTTAATCATAATTTCTACCCAGTAGCATTAGAAAGATGTTTGATTAAAGATGGTGGGTTCGAGAAAACTGAGCTAGACGTTATTGATCCATATTCGCTTGGCAATGCGGATCCAGTAAGAGATGCTCATTACATATCATGCTCAGACATGGGAACAAAAGCTATGCGTCGCGTATACGAAATGCTGATCTTTGGCAAGAAGAGCGATAACCCCAGACTCCATAAGTTGGATGGTCTGCCAGTAAATAGAGAGGTTTCGAAGATTCGAGATGATGTTTGGGATAGACTTTTGGAGGCGGGTTATGTAAAGGAAACCGAAAAGTCTAACGAGAAGACAAATGATGGTCAAACTAAGAATGAGAAGGCTGAAGAGATACTGGAAGAACCAAAGGGCGCACATCGGGAAACCCCTAATAAAAGTTCAACCGAGGAGAAAGTGGCAGAGAAAGGGGGTGAGAGGCAACAACACCAATCTGATATTAAAAAAGGTCACGGAGTAGCCCAAGGTTCACAGGCTACCGGATCTACCGGAAAGAATGTGGAGAAAATCGAGAAAGAGGCGGAGACGCCACATGCTGGTAATTTTGGCGACAAGACCTCTGGAACCAAAGTTGACGCAAATCCAGTGGCCCCAAAGAATGCCGAGAAACTTCCAACAGACGATGATATTGTGCAGGGAAACACGGGGGACCGATCTCAGAGCAGTCAAGCATCTAACACGCCCAAACACCGGGCCCCTTTTTCTGGGGAAAACCCAAATGTTGCGGCGCCTGAAGTTGACTCGGCATCACCAACATCCCTGATGAAGAGACATAAATTAGCACGCAACATGGAGAAGATTATCGCCAAGAGTGAAGCTACCGTTGCGAAGCATAGAGCCTTGGTTAAACGTATGAATGAGGAGACTAGAGAAAATGTGTCCACACACCCGAAATCGAAGCGGATGGAGACCAATAAGAACATGATAGGATTTCCTCCTCCAGTGATCCCGCTTGCTAGTCAGACGATTTATGAGCAACCATCACAAAATATTGGAGCTAAATTTCCGACAGCCGCTCAACTGAAGCAGGATTTTGAGGAAATGCTGCAGTCATTCGAGCGCGAGTCGAAGTCGAAAGGACCCCTAACTTTGCACCGAAACCGTGATGAGTATGGGTCTTCTGTTCGACAGAGTAGTCGAAATAAACCAGCCAATACGAGAGGTGTCAAGAAGGTCGAGTTCGCTGAAGGGAGTAAAGAGGCCAAGGTGGGTAGAGAATCGCGCTGGCCAGCTGAGGATAGCTTCGCCTGAGCAGCATGGGTTATGAATTATGGATGATTTACGAGTAATGCGGTGGGCTGGTTGGGTCTGTACAAAATAGGATAATCATCGAGGTATGGTGTTGGTGGTTCTACAAAAGAGAGTTATAGGCTTGTGGGATTATCTTGTAAAGTATTATTACAGTATTGATTGGTTGACCATGGTATGGTCAAGGTGATACCTTTAGGCGTATAGCGTTATCTACTAGATATAACAATATCATCTTTTCATAATTTCGACGTCTTTTTCGCCTGCTTCTCCCATTCAGCGACTCTGTATTTAGCATCCTCTTTCCTCTTCACTTCATTATCCATATTCATTCCATCCCTCTCCTCACTCTCCGCATGCGTCTCCAGGTACCGCAAACTCTCCCTCCACATCTCCGCTTTCAACACCCCATAAACCCCAGTCTTCCCTTTCTCCAACAATTTCCGCTCATCAACCAACTTCAACACATCTTCCCATCCTCCTAAAACATCCACAAGTCCTTCCTTTAACGCGGCCTCGCCGTTGAAGCGTTTCGCTTCAAGCACGAGAGAGCGGTAGGTAGCGGGAGAGGGCAGTTTTTGGCGGAAAATAGAGGACATTGGTGCTTTAAGAGGAGCGCCAAATTCGAGCTCGTTGAGACAGAGGTAGCCTCGGCTTGGGTTGAAAACTCGGTAGTCCGTGTACATGGCCGTCATGAGGCCGCCGGCGAAGGCATGTCCGGGAAGGAGAGATATAGTTGGCATGGGATAGCTGTATTTGGTGAAGTGTTAGATATTGAGTTATCATTCTAGGGTTGAGAGATGCAAGAAAATGGCAGAACATACGTTAATAATCGTTTCCACAGCGCATAAAGCGTCTTGTCCCAGAACCCTTCCGTTTCAGTAGCATGGCTGAGATCTAGACCGTTGGAGAAGAATTTGGGAATTGCGGAGGTTATGCAGATTGCGCCGACTGGGTAGGAGATCTCGAGGATATCGAGAGCGTGCATGAAGGCTTGGCAGAAAGTGGTTGTGAGACGGTTGTCGGGGGGTGAGGAGAAGGTGAGGAGGTAGAGATTGGGGTGCAAGGTAGAAGGGATCGTGCAAGTCAGGGTGCCCGGCTGCGACTGGAGAGAAGAGGAGATAGGGATGGGGAGGGTGAAGAGAGGCGTGGGTTGGGCCATGGTTAGAGATTGAGATTGAGATACAGTGGTGAGATTGGAAGGTAAAAATTGAAGATTGGGGCCTGGATATGGAGCTGTAGATTGTATGAGTTTGATATAACTTGACTGAGTGATGATTAATTAGTATCAAAGACGGAATTGAAAGACTTTATCTAATGTATCTACTTCGACGTGTTCTGGCAACCCGGTAATCATCATGAGCCGAGGTCCAACAAGGCTCGGTCCCCTGGTGGGAATGCAGGTTCGCATCCCTCAAACTTCAGTATCAAATAAAGTCAATTACCTTAACAATACCCGAATATACAAGCAGAGCCTATCGAATGTGATAATTGCTCCATTTTTGATACTACGAGTACAATATTATCATCAACAAGAGACAACAACATGTTATGTCATTGACATGTGAAGAAGTGGAAAGAATGATAATCTCAGTGCAAGGCTGAAGACCCTTACCATATCCCTGTCAGCCTACCCACCTTAATTCCAAAATAGCTTGAGACATGTCTATCTGTCACTTCAATGATCAACCGCCAAACATAAAAAATCTACGACGTTGTGATGGCTCCTGCAGGAAAGCAGAAGAGCATTGTGTTTTTCCATCCTGATTTAGGCATTGGTGGTGCCGAACGACTTGTTATAGATGCCGCGGTAGGACTACAGAATCGAGGACACAAAATCGTTATATTCACCAGCCATTGCGATCCTAAACATTGCTTTGATGAAGCTCGAGATGGTTAGTTGGATGGCGGATTTCTTGCTGTTACTGCAAATACTTATTGTAGATAGGTACGCTTGATGTGCGAGTGCGGGGAAATTGGCTTGTCCCATCCTCGATCCTGTCTCGATTCTCCATCATTTGCGCCATTCTTCGACAATTACATCTTATCGTTTGGGCTTACTTTACCTCTGAAATCAGCGACCTCAAACCCGATGCTTTCTTCGTGGATCAGCTGAGTGCTGGTCTACCATGGTTACGATTCTTTTATCCCAATACTCGAATATTCTTCTACTGTCATTTCCCTGATCTGTTACTAGCGCAAGGAAGGACCCATTGGTTGAAACGCGCATACAGAATACCGTTTGATTTCTTGGAGCAATGGAGTATGAGTTATGCGGAGTCCATTGCGGTTAATTCTGGATTTACAAAAAGTATGGTGGAGCAGGTATTTCCTGACTTGGCTAGGGAGAAAGATTTACAGATTGTACATCCGTGTGTGGATGTGAATCCGAAGAAAACCGAGACCAAGGATGATGCGGTTCCGGTTTGGCAAGATAGAATTATTTTGTTAAGTATCAACCGATTCGAAAAGAAGAAAGATATTGGTCTTGCAATCAAGGCATATGCGGGATTGGGCAAGCATGGGAGGCAGGGAGTGAGATTGGTACTTGCTGGTAGGGCATATTCCCGCCATTGTGTAAATCACACTGACATGATTGGCAGGCGGATATGATAACAGAGTTATGGAGAACGTCGTATATCACAAGGAGCTTGACAAATTGGCTACCGGGCTTGGGTTGAAGACGGCTACGACAAAAACCATTGTTACAGCATTAAATGTCCCTGATGACGTTGATGTTCTGTTCTTGTTATCAGTACCAAATACTTTGAAGGAGATGCTGCTCAATTCAGCACGACTTTTGATATACACCCCCTCTAACGAGCATTTTGGCATCGTACCTTTGGAGGCAATGTTAGCCGGGGTGCCAGTATTAGCTGCAAACACAGGAGGGCCACTAGAGACAGTAGTAGAAGGGAAGACCGGCTGGCTTTGTCCCCCCGATGATGTTGAGCGATGGACGGCTGTCATGGATAAAGTTCTGTACAAAATGACGGATGAACAGGTCAAGAAGATGGGAGTTGCCGGTACAGAAAGGGTCAAAAACGAGTTTTCTGATGTCAAAATGGCCGAGAAAATTGATGGATTGATTGATGGAATGGCGAATGTACCAAGGAAAAGTGCTCTACAGCTATCTTCATTCTTGATGACTATTGGCATAGTCCTGTTGGATATTACGTACTGGTGTGCGGGCCAAAACGAATCAGTCAGCAAAAAGCTGGAAAAGATTTCGTTTCCCCCGTTCGCTCTTACCCTTATATCATTGATATCTTGGGCTATATATTTTGTAGTTAAGGTCCAGGCCAAGCCAAGTTCGCAGCACTCGACTAGATGAGAATGATTAGAATATATTAATCAATCATAGAATTCCACTTTGTAGAATCTCGCGATAGGGATATATGTGCAGGATGAAAAAGGGGTTTTCTAACATATAATTGGCTGTAACTGTTTGAGACGAACGGAGTTTCCAGACACCAAGAACCTCAATCTTTCCCTAGAAATCCCAACACAACATAATATATCATTACATATGTACCTAGAATCCTAAGTATCCTATTCAACACTCGTTAATTGCTTCGTCCATTGGATCAAATTCATATACTAAACATTTTAAACATAACCTCATTTTGTTACGGATTGCATGATTTCTTCAAAAGCCTAGGCCACTCAAACTTCAATCCCAAACTCAAAAAAATCATTGATTTGCCCCACAATCACTCAACATAACGCGTAGTTTGGACAACAACTCCCTCTTATACTCCCCAACTGAGTGGGACCATATTTTTATACTCTGTATTAAATAAATTGCACCGATCAATATCCGTCTCTTGCTTTCACAAGCAAGGTAAATCCTGCAGATAGTTCTTGGGGCTGCAGGACGAGCAGAGGTTCGCGAGGTCCAAAACATTTCCCTGAGTCACCCGTCAACCAATTGATCTTGGTGCTCTTCGAACGGTTGGATTTCCTGGCTTTCTTTACTGAAAGGCCAGGCATTTACAGGAGATACTGGTTTCACAGGAGTATTCATTCATATCGGATTCTGTATCTGAACGTTTAGTCTGTTTGCGGGGAGCTCCTTCCACAAACGTATACCTACACCAAAGATGTTGTTGCTTAGAAGTTCTCTCCCGCCCATTGCGGCCGGAGGGGTATCAACACGAACTCTTTTCAACGTCTTGAAAAGTGGAAGATCCAGCAACAAGATGGGTGAATTTCAAACGTCGTTGTTTAATCACGTGCTACAGAGGTCTTACATTACTGATGCCGCGTCCAAGGAAAAGAGATATGGAGCTGTGGTCGTCGGCGCTGGGCCAGCTGGACTTGCTGTCGTGGGTAATCTTTTGGAACAAAAGAAAGGTCCAATTCTGTGGATTGCAGATGTTAAGAAATTTGGGGGTGGCAGATTACATCGGATGTATCGGGCTGTGCCTTCGTGAGTTTTGTTCTTCCACTTGGTGCCTACCTAGGGGTATGAATCTAATACTTCTTATCGTCATAGGAATACAAAAGTCAAATTTTTCTCTATGTTCGCAGAGGCTTTAGAACCTTTCCAACAAGTTATAAAGGAAACTGCTACTCCTAATGCTTACAGCCGTTTGAAAGATCTTGATCAGGAAAAGACCTGCCATATTGCTGAAGCTGCTGACTTAGGGTTGATGTTAGCAACCGGGCTTAATGAGTCTAAAGGTGTAAGCAGATTTAGACAATCGAGGTTGCGAAGTGCTTCTTGGTCAAAGGTAAGGGCAGCATCTCGTTTGATTTTCCACAAGCTAACTCCAAACAGGCCAACGGCTGGAATGTCGAATTCGGTCGTTTTGAAAATCCAAGTCGTTCAGCATCCTCGGATCTCCTCTTTTTGTGTACCGGATCTCACCCCACAGAGACCAACCTCCAACTTAAGCAGGGGGTGCCTCAGCCACAATATCTTGGTCTTGATTGCTGTTTGAAACCTGATAAGTTGTTATATACATTGCGTCGTCATTTTAAAGCGATGTCAGACTCGACTAAAATCACCACTATCGCCGTCATTGGTGCGTCTCACAGTGCGATTCTCGTACTACGAAACCTCTATGAAGCTGCGGATTTGCTCAAAGAAAAAGATGGTCAGATTCGCATTAAATGGCTCACTCGCCATGAGCTTCGATATGCTGAGGAGCGTGATGGATGGATCAAGCGTGACAACACGGGCCTCAAGGGTGAAGTAGCCACATGGGCAAAGGAGAATCTCGAAGCCGACACCTTGCCCACATCTGATGTTTCTAAATACCTCGAGAAAGTGAAGACCTCGCCCGAAACAGAGACGGAAGACTACGAGAAACATTTACCGGAGTGTCAATATGTGGTGCAGGCTATTGGGTTCACGAAGAACCCACTTCCACCGATTGAGAGAAATGGGAAGCCATTGGAAATTACCTATAACCACGAGACATCGGAATTTGTCGATGCCGAGGAAAAGACGATTACAGGATTGTATGGTGCTGGAATTGCGTTCCCGGAGAAAGTCGTGGATCCAGAGGGCACAACCGAGTACGCGGTTGGGTTGTGGAAGTTCATGAAGTATTTGAAGAGGGTTGCCCCAACATGGACTGCATGAAGAGGTTCGTGTACGGTGTATCCTGGTGCTGAGAAATATCACCTGATGAATGATGGTGACGAGATAGATTGTTTTTATTTTTTTATTTTTATGCCATGCCGCTACTTCAACACGCGCATACCCTACTCTTTCCTACTGTTGTAATTATTCGGCATAAGCAAAATTGAGGATAATGAGGAGAGGATTTAACTCCTTCACTACTTCATATTACACCCCTCCCTTTCATCCATCCTATAAATAAAATTACTAGACACTTTTCCTAAGTTGCTTAATCCCCATACCCTGAATTTATCTAAGATTTTGTTTTTCTCTGCGAAGGAATATGAACTTCCTACTCTGTAGATCTCATGATATGATTATTTGGAAAATTGACCGGTTCAATGATGGATGGATGTAATTTCAAGATATGATGGATTTGTTGTGGGGGGATGGATTTCATGTATAAGGTGTTTTGTATATGAAGTTTAAGTTATCTTGCCAGGTTTTGGGGAGATAGAGGAGGCGGCGGTGGTGGTGGTGGGAGTTGGTTGGTAAGTGATAGATAGAGGGTTTCTGGTGGGTTTGTGGGAGGTGTGTTTTAAGGGAGTTTTATTAGGGCTTGGATAATCTGAACTGGGGCATTTTGGAAGGTGGTTTGGTTGATAGGATGGATGGGATGACTTCACTGTGTAAAGTGAAGCCGGGCAGATTATTAACTAGATTATTGGTGATCACAACTCAACAAGTTGCTCTCTCGTTCATGTAACTCATAAGACTATTTGTCTATAATGTAAATTATGAAAAGAAGCTTGAAATTTCTCTTGTTCTGATCAAAATGTACTATTGCATATTTTAAATTACTTGCCATTCTATTTAGCTGCTGATATCTTCTTCGCGCAAGTA